CATGTTTAAATATGGAACTCTAAGGGTTTAAAAGAGCAGCCAACCTTCTAACACAAAAAATTACTGTCAATCTTCAGATTCCAACATCAGACCAAGATGGCCAAGGTCAAGAATGTTTATACATGAGCGTATCTACAATGGAGATGTTGCATGTGCAAGGAATTTGCGATTTGACTGTTGATTCTTATGTAACAATTCGCGAGAAATACGATGGTGCCTCTGGTTTTCCCTGAAATCAACTCCCAAGCTCGGAAAAGGTTTCAAAGTTGAGGGCGTAATGGAGGAGATATCCCACGCTATCCTGAGAGTCCACTTCTACATCAAGACAAACTCTCCATGCAAAGATAGGGAGCAAATACATTAGCAGGGTTGCCGTGTTTTCAATTTTGGAGTCCCCAAATAAAGTGGCAGCCCTGTCGATGTACAGGGTGTTTCAGACCACCCGTACCAGGCCTTTTTCTCGGTTGGTTTTGGTCGTACGAAGTCGGTGACCGCGGAGATGAGTAGGGAATTGACCCCAAGGAATCCGAATTTCGTGATCCCAAAACCCCCCCACCCCCCCTTGGGGGGTAAAGGGGGGGTCACGATGCTAAAAGTCACGGTTCCCGACCGAATGGCGGATAGATCGCATCAGAATTGAAAAGCACGGAAAATTACACGTGGAATTGACCCCTAAAAATCCAAAATCGGACCATCCAAGGCCCAAAAATGACCCCCTAAGGAGGGGGCCAGTACCTCCCTCCATAATTTCTCTTTGGTCTCTAAATTGACGTAAATTCGCCAGAAAAAGACGGTTTCCCATGTAATCGACCTCGAGAAATCCAAATTTCATGGTCTCGAAGCTCCTCTAGCCCCCCTTGGGGGGTAAACGGGGGGCCGAATTTTGAAAATCGGGGCTCCTTTCCGAATCGCAAATTGATCGCATTCAAATTGAGGAGCAGAATACATTTACATCTTAAGTGACTCCTAAGAGTTCTAATAGACCCCCTAAACGGCAGAAAGTAACCCCCTGGGGAGGGGGGCTTCGCCCCCGCCAAAAATTTCTCAAGATTCCTCTTTGGTCGCAAAATTGACGTCGATTCTCCAAAAAAAGACGGTTTTCTATGTAATCGACCCCGAGGAGCTCAGGGAACATGAAATTTAGAGTCCTCGGGGTCGATTACATAGAAAACCGTCTTTTTTTGGAGAATCGACGTCAATTTTGCGACCAAAGAGGAATCTTGAGAAATTTTTGGCGGGGGCGAAGCCCCCCTCCCCAGGGGGTTACTTTCTGCCGTTTAGGGGGTCTATTAGAACTCTTAGGAGTCACTTAAGATGTAAATGTATTCTGCTCCTCAATTTGAATGCGATCAATTTGCGATTCGGAAAGGAGCCCCGATTTTCAAAATTCGGCCCCCCGTTTACCCCCCAAGGGGGGCTAGAGGAGCTTCGAGACCATGAAATTTGGATTTCTCGAGGTCGATTACATGGGAAACCGTCTTTTTCTGGCGAATTTACGTCAATTTAGAGACCAAAGAGAAATTATGGAGGGAGGTACTGGCCCCCTCCTTAGGGGGTCATTTTTGGGCCTTGGATGGTCCGATTTTGGATTTTTAGGGGTCAATTCCACGTGTAATTTTCCGTGCTTTTCAATTCTGATGCGATCTATCCGCCATTCGGTCGGGAACCGTGACTTTTAGCATCGTGACCCCCCCTTTACCCCCCAAGGGGGGGTGGGGGGTTTTGGGATCACGAAATTCGGATTCCTTGGGGTCAATTCCCTATTCATCTCCGCGGTCACCGACTTCGTACGACCAAAACCAACCGAGAAAAAGGCCTGGTACGGGTGGTCTGAAACACCCTGTATTTGCTCCCTATCTTTGCATGGAGAGTTTGTCTTAATGTAGAGGTGGACTCTTAGGATAGCGTGGGATATCCCCTCCATTACGCCCTCAACTTTGAGAGCTTCTTTGAGCTTGGGAGTTGATTTCAGGGAAAACAGTGGCACTATCGTGTTTCTCGCGAACTTTTACATAAGATTCAATCGTCAAATCGCAAACTCCTCACACATGCAACATCTTCATCGATATAATAAATCACTCCGGATAATCTGAGTTCACAGGTAAGGTTGGCTGCCCCAAAAGCTCTATGCCCCAACGTCAAAATTACCGACCTGTCCGTATTCTTTCGGTACATGTAGGTACTCTATGTAGACCTGTGTTACATCATCCGAGCTTTCAACTGTAGGGGACAGAGGGTGATTAGTTTTGTGCGGTGCTCTCCGTGGAGCCACGGGCGCGTTGCTCTGAGCCTGAGTCGGCCCGGCGACAATCGTCGCAGTGTGCGATATCGTGCTCCACCACGGTGTGTGCCCTCAGACAATATTAAGGCTATTGTTCTGCGCCGCACCGGACGATGCCCGGCCGTTGAAATCACTTTCTCGATTCAGATTCTCGTAATGATCGCTGTATTATCCAAGGTAGAAAGTTCAGTCGGCAGTCGGATTTACCCTGAGACAGAGAACAATGCCCCGCATGCTGTGCCCCCCCCCCCCCCNCACGAGTCTACTACCAACGCTGCACCGAGATTGTTTCATCACAACGTAATTAAAAACTCACACATCCATCAGGCTCGGAGGTTGGCGAAAGAGGCAAAATCTGCGCGTTGTATATCGCGTATCGCGCGGAGAATTTCCCGAGTTGTGGCAACAGTATTGCAGTTTGAGGACATTATGGACGGATTGATGTATGGGCACCGTGTGCGCTGTCCTTTGTCTTGACAAGACAATAAACATCTAATAAACCCATTATTTTGTCTCAAATTACACTCAAGGAGAGCACGGCCAGAGCCAGTATGTTTCAGAGCCCCCGCACTAACAATCTCAGCAATGTAATCGGGCAAGGCATAAGATAATTTCGGGAATCCACGCTACTTTTTGCCTAATGATGATCGATGAGCAACGTGTTAAGCATGAAATATGCCAGATGATGACTGATGAGTGTCGAGAACAGCATTTTACTTGGCGAAGTTTTTACGAATTAGGTTAGGATTGCTAAACCATCGCTCAACTCTTTGGTCATCAGTCATCAGTAGCCGGGTTTAAGGGTTGACTTTCGAGGGAGACTTTGAAACTACACGGATGATAGTAATGCGAGGTCTCTCGCAAATTGACGAAAAGTTTGAATTAGCTCTCAGTCTTTCCACTCCTTAGCTGAACAGTACTTCAAACCTGGAGCTGGTAAAAACACCCCTGGTAAGAATTAGCAGTAGGGTCTAAGTTCCAAAACACCAATAGACCTACAGCCGGCTGCAAGATCTCTTCTAGCTTCTATATACATTATGTTACAGCCTTTTATAGCCGATGGCGGTAAATCTACAGGCAGACGATAAACTGCATAGCCCGTCGATAGGAATTATAGCCCAGCTGTATGATTTTCTATCGCCTTCCATAGCCGGCTGTAAGAACTCCTATAGCATTATGAAACGCAGCTCCTATTGCTAATTTCTACCAGGGATACCCTGGTAAAAATTGACGATAAGAGCTTCGTTTCAAAATACCATAGGAATTCTCATAGCCGGCTAAAGAAGGCTACAGAAAATCATATAGCTGGCTGTAGAATGCGGAGAAAATCATACGGCCGGGCTACACGAAGCGATAAAAAATTATGCAGTCGGGCTATAGTTCCTATAGGCGGGCTTTACACTTTATCGGCTGGCTGTTGCTTTCCCGCCGTAGATTATAAAAGGCTATAAGAAATTGTGTAGAAATTCGTGTGCTTTGGAAATCATTAAGTTTGATACGGAACCACCTTAATATTTACTAAACACACGTTATATTTTCCTTTAATACATATTTTTTTTCATGAATTAAAACGAGAATAATCCATACAGGATGTGCAAACAATTCAAAATCATGAGTTGAATAACGCTGACTCCGCCAGATTAAATATTAGAGCCTAACACAAAGCGGAGCGGCGACGCACTGGCGCCTACAAACCTAACAAGGATACTTCACGCATTGCGCAACGCGTGAAGTATCCCTGTTAGGTTTGTAGGCACCAATGCGCGTTTCGCGCTGGCTGCCCGCCTGCCGCACCGCAGCGTGCCACGGCGCTTGAAGCAACTATTTCACACCAGAGGTATTGCACAGTATCATACGAAACTGAAGGCGCTAAGTACGGAGCTTTCCTCGCAAAATAAATCAAGATACTACGGCCCAGAAAGAGAGCAGTGATCCGAAAACTCACTAAGTTCTAGCATCCGTCTTTCGTGAAGTTTAGCATACACTTTATCGCCTGGCTGTGAGTTGCTTAGTCGCCATCGGCTATGAAAGGCTATAAGAAATTGTGTAGCCGGCTATAGAAGCTATTGGAAATCTTATACAGCCGGCCGTAGGACTATGGTATTTTGGAACACAGATTCTACTGCCAATTTTTACCAGGAGAATCATGATTATCTCAATTGTTAAAAAAAAATGGCATCATCCCACGTACCTTCCAAGCCCCTCAATTCCGCTGTTTTAAATAGTCTGCGCTTACCTCATTTTCTTGAAGGAAAATTTAAAAAATATGGTCGTATGAAACCGTTTCAAAAACTTGTCCCTCATTACTAAAAAAAAGGGTTATAAGTTAAGGGAGGGTGACATTGAGTCACTATCAGTTACCGAACGGAAGAAAAAAAGAGCAAGATACTTTTTGACTCCGCCAGAAATACAGTTCCTCATCTGGAAAGTATTTCAAACTTAAAAATAGCTGGCACAGTGGGAGTCTACGTCTCAAAGATACCACTTTGAACTGAATAGATAGTTCTTAGAAAGAGCCGCTGACGGGGAGACCTCTGTTATACAATTATTTTTCCGAACGTATGATACAATTTCACGCTTACTTTCAACGGACCATGAGTGTGAAAATGGCATTCACTTGTCGCGAACTGTTGCGTCTGCTGATTTTACAAGTTCATGTGTAGAATCTTAATTCTTCATTCATGGGAGATTAATTTGACTTGTATTTATTTTGTTTCAGACGCTACTATGCACGTAAAGCCCGACGAAGAAAATGGACTCCGGAAGAATAGTTCAACACTTAGTCACTCGATATTAGGCTCGCCGGCCATGGAATCAGGACTACTGATCGGCCAACAAGAGCGCACAATAAGTTTTAATGACCCATCTGTTGAGAACATTCAGAATACAAGGTATGTACCTGAGGCGTTACCATTGGAAGACTTAGAATTAGGAGGCGATTACAATACTGCAATAGTGAAAGAAGGACTTGAAAGAGAGGGTCCAAACGACGTCGACGAGGAGAGGTTCCAAGACTTGGACGCAAGAGAAAAGAGAGAAGCGAAGGAAGTCATCGGCGAGCAAACGAATAACAACATCGAAATAGAACCAACCAAAGTTGAGAGGAGAACGAACAGGATAAGGTTTCCGAACGAGGACGAGGAGCAGGATAACGGAGAGCCGGTAGCCGACGAAAATCGGAAAATCTATTTGAGTCAGATCAGGCCGACGAAACCAATGCACGACTTCGGGGACGTCCGGTCGGAGATGAGCAAGTCGATCCTCTTCGACGGCGATGAGCTAGCGTCGAATTCGGGGGAAGCGAAGGGGGCTTCGTCGTTGACCAGAACCAGATCGTCGAGCAACTTGACGAAGCCCAATTTTGCACGCTCCTTGACCAATGCCAGCGACCCCAACCCGAAAGCGAGCCCCGATCGGAGCTCTGAGGGCCTCGCCTCCGGGGAGGAGGGCAGCTCAATGACACCCAGAAATTCGGACGACCGGAAAACCGGCGGCTCGGACATCCAAGACATCATCACCGGATTCGTCAAGTTACTCAACGGGAATTCGCAACTCCCCATACCGAGCGGCCCCAGTCCGTCGGGCTCCGGCTCCGGGCGACCGCTCCAGCCCTCCAGGACCCGCATCAACAACCGCGGTCCCCCGAGGATCACCGACGTGCCCCCCATTCTATTCGACCCCCCATTGCCACCGCCACCCTCCCTCAAACCCCCCGCCTCCATCAGCACCAAAATACCACCTCCGTACCCATTCGACATCCCGGAACCTTTGAAACCCCTCTCTTCGACTCCCAACTCTGTCGGACGGCCTCAACAGACGTCGCCCATCTCCGCATCGTCCGGAGAGATCATCCAGCCAACCAAGTCCAACATCGAGGACAACTCGAGCGTTTTCGGGAGCAGGCCTGCTTTCGAGTACAACAACCCATCTAACAACGCCCTCAACCCGAGTCAAAACCAATCGCACGCGAAACCGTTGTACAGTGCGAATCGGAAACCCCAGCTGGGCCCCGAGTCGAAACCTAAACCCAGCGCCGAGTCCAGCGAAGAGTCGCAGGAGGACAAACCAACGCACAACCGGAAACCGATCGGATCCCATTCAAACGCGGCCGAGAACAACGTCGAGAAGAAACAAAGCTCCCGTCCGAATCTGAAGAATCCCGAGCTCGCCTTCGATAAAAGTTCAGCAGAGCACTCGAGACCGACCGAAAGAATCCAAACGGTTGAAAATAACTCCATCACGAAGAACCAAGAGATGCCTTTCATCCACCCCTCGAAAATCACATCCATGACGAACCCCCTGCCAACGATCATCGAGGAAAAACTCGTCGAGGGTAGTTTCAGCAACCGAAACAACACTTATAGTGTGAATAACAAAAGCAACCCCACTGCGACAGCCAATAAGGAGACCCACAGCAGTGCTTCCAGTCAAAGCAAAGCTCAAACGCCGGCTGATAAGAGCGAGTTTGCCGACGTGAAGCCTTCGACCCACCGACCCTCATTACCTCCGCCAAGTTACCAATCTTTCATAGAACGTGTTAATATTTCCAAGAGCTCTTCCAACTCCTCGCACCCGAAGCCGGGCCCGGGGGCGTTCGTGGCGAAGACCTCCGAGGAGAGGGAGAAGATCGTGCCCAGCCCGACCAAGACGGTGCAACTCGGCTCGTCGACTGTGTCTCCGGAGATCGATGCCGGACTCGGGCTCAACTTCGCCACCGGGATCGGGGCGGCCGTCGCAGTGCTCGAGCCCTCCATCCAAGACATTCCGTTCCAGGATACCCATCAACCCACCAAATGGCCGCAGAAGAACCTCGATCAAGCCACCGCTGTCAAACGCCCTCCTGTCACCGGTGAGTACCTTTGAAATTTTGACAAATTTCCATTTTTGAAAAAATGGATTGTGTGCCTAGTTCAAAGGTATTTTTTTTTCTCTCTCTCTCTCTCTCTCTCTCTCTCTCTCTCTCCCCCGCTGTCAAACGCCCTCCTGTCACCGGTGAGTACCTTTGAAATTTTGAAAAATTTCCATTCTTGAAAAATGGATTGTGTACCTAGTTCACAGGTATTTTTTTATCTCTCTCTCACTCTTTTTCTCTTTCTTTTTTTTTTCGATATTCAGCCCCAAAAAATGCATTCAAAGTTGCATATTGATGACTTAATTCGGCAAATATGTATCTTTTATTACGAAGTTGAAATTCTTTGCTCATGTTTTGTTTTTTTATTTATTTATTACCTATTATTTTTTTTTTTTTTTAAAAAAAAGGCCGTTTAAAGTTTCTTTCTTTCTTTTCAAAAAATTGTCTCCACTTAATAAAAAATATTTACATAAACAGGGTTCATGGGTCAGGAAAAACCTGGAAAAGTCGGGGAATTTTGCTCTTAGTTAGGGAAATTCCAAAGGCTGCGACTAAGCAGCTAAAACTGTCATTGTGCGCCGGTGCCCCGTCGATAGATTAGATACGATCTAAAAGTTACATTTAGCTGTATCAGGATTGATAAATGGGCCACATTTTGCAATTAGGTATTACTATGTCTATCCTATCTGTGGAAGCTTTTATCTGCGTATTGACGCTAGTGGCACCTACTATCTCTGAAATGAGCTAGAAATAGTAGTTCCTTGGTGCAAAATGCGGTTCAAATGGTATAATCCTATCTGAGGCTCGTGTGGCTCGTAGCCTAAATTTAAGGATGCAGTGATACGAATCATAATTCATTAGGATCTCGGCACAGCAGAGGCCCCTTGCTATTACGGCAGTAGGCCAGCCAATTCCGTTAGAACCTGTTCCGAAAGAGGAGGATGAGGAGAAGGTGAAGCAGGAAAATGACCTTCAAAATTCCAATGAAAATGTGGGCAAGTCGTAATCGATCTTGAGGTGCACGCTCCTCGCGGTGGCGCGGTGGCGGCGACCAAATGTAGCCCGCGGTTTCGGGAGGAGGCGAATAGGAGAACCGGTTAAGTCATCGTCCTGTAATTTATCAACGCGTCTACTACTGACACATACTTCTCTGACCCAATTGTTGGGTAGGTGCGAGCCGCTTCCTTTGTTCGCCCCTGTTCATTTCATACGATCAGCGGCTCCCCGTGTGTCATCGAGCAAAAGAGACGCGCGCCAAGTCGATCTGCGAGCATCTCGAAGCGCGTGTCCTTTGCTACGAAAGCATGTCACGTGCTCATCTGTCTTTTTAAGCTTTTATTCAAGTGTCGCTTGAAGCTTCAGAAATCCTGGATCCATTCTCTTGCCCAAGTTTTCAGATGTGACTTGTTATTCAAGCGTATCTTACCCATGTCCGTCGAGGGACTTGCACGTCATTCTGTCACCTGGTTACGTCCAGCCATCGCGTCCTGGTGCGCAGATTTTTCTGCCCCTCCTCCCTTCTTCTCTTCTCCTTCCTCTATGAAAGTATTTTCCAAAAAAAGTACAACGATAATGCGTCTTCCCTTTTTGCCTTATTTTTCTTCCATTCTTTCCTTCCCCCTTTCCCCCTGCATTCTCCCATTTTTCTCCCTTTCCTTTCTTTTTCTCTCCTCTCTTTCTCTTTCTCTCCCCTCCCCTCTTCTCGTCCATTTTCTCCTTTATTTTTTTTGTTTCCACCCTTCTCTTCCTCCTCTTCCTCTTACTAGTAGCTTAAATAGTTGTATGTTTTCAGTCAATATTTGCAATTCCTTTCATTTTCTAATATTTTATAAACGTAATGTTATATTTTATGCTGGTAGACAGGACCATGGACAAGGTATACGGGACCATTTGGTTATTTTGTTAACAGCTAAAATAAAAATACAGTCATATCTCGTCACCCATTGTACAGTTTTTCAGGGAGAATATTTTTTCGAATGTTGCTAAATCAATTGATCAACTCTATGACCATGAATCATGATTAGGCGAAACTGAGCGTCAACCTCTGAAAATAGTTTGACACCATAAGAAAGAGGGGGAGGGAGGGGGAGAGAGTACGTATTGCGGAGTGTTTAAAATATGTTGTCTCTGGTTGTAATGGTGAGTGGACAAGTTCAAGAGCCGCTCGTTCTATCAAATAGTCCATCTAAAAGTCATATTTCGTGTAAAAATCACTCCATTATGCGCTCGTTTTCAAGAGCAATGTAGATAATTTCTCACAATTTGGCAACAATGCATCTATATCGATTCCCACGAACAGGCCCACTGCGTAGCTAAAGTATAAATGACAGCTGCTGTGTACTGCTCATCCCATTACACATACATTTTACGCGCAAAATGGAATGAACCAAATAACTAGATAGTAACATCAGCCAATCATAAATTGGACGTTATTTAGAGATAGATGAAAATACGTCAGTGACCTCTGCTAAGATGCATAAATGCTTTTCTTTTCCTTCGTTTCCATTCTTCTTTTCCCCCTGCTCCTCCTCCAACTCATGTCCTCCTCTCATCTTCCTCTTCTGGCGAATGTGGTAGATTTATTTTTCTGGCTTTGCCTGTCCTCACAACGACTGATGTAAGTTGTATATCGCAAAGTTGATTGTTGCAAAAGGAGATTATCTGCGACGAAACTTCACTATTTGATACGCCGGAAATCGTGTTAAGAAGAAACGTCATTACCCTTTTGCGAATTGACTAAAAACAATATTGGTTCATTTCCGTTTGTCAGCACTAAACATCAAGTCACGATTCACGAACGTTCAGTTTCCATATAAGTTACTTGGCATAAAGTAGTTGGTTTTCAAGAAGTTCAGTTGATTGGTCAAAGATCCTTTCTATCAATAGAGGTCCATGGATATAGAAGATCCAAAGGATTGATGACGGTCATAAAGACTGTATCGGATGACCAAAGTGTAACACTGCGTACCTTTTTCTGACATCAAGGGTTTTGACTTATTAAGGCTATCATAAAACAGAGGTCACCGCGCATCTACTCATGTAGTATTACTGCTCAAAACGCACGGGAATGGTTTATAGTGAAGAAAATAAAACACGTATATCACGGCTTAACGCGTTAAACACGCCTCTCAGTACGGACTCATCACCAAGCGCATAGCGCGTTTCATTGCAAGTGAGAAAGTAAAAGTCTTACACACCTTCCTTACAATCTCACATCACTCAAATATGTCAGGTTTGCTTCTCACTATATAATAATCATGTAACAGTTATACAATCTTTATATTCACTTTTACGGAAAAAGATAACAAAAAATGACTTTTACCAAAAAAACTCATTCTCTGCTTTGTACAATCGTAATACGTCCGATATTTAAAAAAATCACTTCATACATGCATAAAAGATTTACATTATTTACCTTTTTTACCTTTTCGATGTAATTTACATGATTTACCTTTTTAATTGTTCGCATAAATCGTCGTTTCCTGCACGAAGGAACGTTACTCCATCTCAAAGCTGCCAAATTGACTCATACAGTTCAATTTTTCACGAGAGTAAACCTGCATAATTTTCGTTAAAAATTTGTCCGATTTTTGCACGAGAAAAAATAGTGAACTAACGCTCCCAATATTCTCTAAGTAAACATGTAATTTACGCGGAAAACTTTGACAACATTAAATCATAGTTCAGTTTTTTCGCGAGAGATACGAAGTAAATAGTAGTAATAGTTCTGCTCTAAGTAAATATGTATGCCAACTTTCATTCGTGTGTCAACGGCGCCCTTTGACATACTTTTTGCAAAGACACTAAGGTTCAAACACTTACAACTTATTGAGACTTGTTTTTTCTATTACAGATACCAGTTTTCCGTACCTACCACGCCCAGGGATCGTATTAGATGACCCAGAATACAAACCCGGTGGTCAACAACGACCCATCATCACTGCACCTCCAACTCGACATCAGTCCGTCAAAGGGGATATCTTCGACGTTACCGTCTCTGCCATCCAGGGTCCCTCTGGTCAAAGTGGCGGAGGTGGCTCGCATCCTGGACAGTCCTTCGTTTATCCAGGTGGGTCAACAAGTCTTTGCCAATACTAGTAATAACTGGACAAGATCGGATTCCTACAGGACAATATATTTTAGAGGCCCTGCACCAACAATCTATGCGTTCGATCTGGTGACTTTAACGCAGAAGTAGAAAAGTAAACCATGGAGCCAACTCCATTAGAGTAGAGTCCCTTTATACTGAGAGTCAAGACAAGTCGGCTCATGGATGTCACAAACGGGAATAAAGATTACAGAAATTGAACGTTTTTCGTAATCTTTGATCGGCCCATTCTCAAATGCCTTTCTCCGTTCCTCCTCTCATTCCGTTTGTTCCTTGCCGAACCCGTAATTCCCTGGTCCATTCCAGATTATAATCTTTGCAATTGGTGAAAATGTAATCTTTATTCCCGTTTGTGACACTGTGGAGGCCTAAAATACGGGAACCAATCAGAAATGGATTCAAATTGTCTTGACTCTCAGTATAAAGGGACTCTACATTAGAGTCCTTGAAATTACTAATTTTGCTATTGGATCCAAATCAAATGTAAAAGATCAAGTGAGGGTAGAAGTAGGGTGGACGAGAGGGGCCGGTTCTCCCCAGAAACAATAGCCCAGTAACAATCGGTATATGACGTCTGTTTTCTTTTTAATATGATCGTTCGTGATTTTATAATTTCGGTTTTGTTGTTTATTTGTTCCTCAAAGTTGAGGTTGACAGAGTTCAGTTAGCGAACCATGGGAATGGAGCAGGCGAAGTCTCGGTGATCACAACAGCAGTTGGAGGCCAGCATTTCGTCTCCATCGATGGCAAGAGGACTTACATGAACCTATTTGGCGAGCCAACCAACTCAAATTCAGCTCCCAGTATTAATCCTACCAGATCCTCTCTCTATGGGTAAGAAAAAATTCATCGTTTCAAGTTTTCATTTCTCTTATAAAGACGTCTTTTTTCATGACCACCACTAGAAAAGAGATCGTAATGTATTATCATGCGAAGGAAAAACGTCGTATGAACATTTGAATGTTGCCAAATTTTTCTCGATTGAAAATATTATTCTGAAAGAAAGTTAGGCTTTTCCCCCTAGAAATGGGCCTGTTGCAAACTTTTGCTAGAGCAAAACTAAGAGTTGTTTCTTATAGATAATGCCTCAAAAATCACGATGAGCGCATCGGCAAACTCTGAAATGCACTCATAACTTCACAATCTGCTTAAGAAATTTGCGGTTTTTTGAGCTTCCCGCTTCAAAAACGATACTACGGCACAGGTGAACATTTTGTAAGAGGAGTCGTTCCATCGTCGGCAATAATCATCATAGCCGACGCCAATCCGCCAAAACACGTTTGATGGGACGAGATAACACCTGAACTGGATTAGACCAGATAACAATCGGTGTGTTAACGTTCATATTTTCCACGCCCGAATTGATTGACCTTGAACTCTCCTTGAATTACGCGCGGAACTGCGTGCAAGCGTCGGCCATGATGAATATCGCCGACGATGGAGCGACTCCTCTGACAAAATGTTCACCTATGCCGTAGTATCGTTTTTGAAGCGGGAAGCTTAAAAAAACGCAAATTTCTTACGCAGATTGTGAAGTTATGAGTGCATTTCAGACTTTGCCGATGCGCTCATCGTGATTTTTGAGGCATTATCTACAAGAAACAACTCTTCAATCTGCTCTAGCAAAAGTTTGCAACAGGCCCATTATCTATTTTAGGTTAAGTTAAGAACAAAATTGTCTGAAAAATATGAAGAAAAATATTTACAGCTTATCCAATGATTTCATATTGTATCAAAGAAAATCTGACAACGCGTGGAGGTTTATGCGGCGTTTCTCCTCAGCAGTATACCTATAGACACGGAGGTAAGCTTTTCAAGAGACTAATTTTTTCTTCAGTTAAAGCATCTAGAAAAATCGGGATTCGAACATTCTAGGTAATATTTCCCTTGTATCCCAAAGTATTAGTTGTGCTCAGCTCAGCACAGCTTAAAACGCTGGAAGAGCTAAATCTTTTTGCAACATTTAATGCCGTCAAGTTGCCGTATATAATGCGTCAATCTTGAACTCGGACATGCAATGCGGCGCATTAAAATTTTGAGTGACTTCTTATTTCGAACACATTTTTCAAACTAAAAACTGAAAGAGTTATAACTGAGTTTGTTTTCACCTTCATACTCGTAGTTAGTTATAGCGAACAACTCTCGTATTGCGTTTTGTGCAATGCGAGAAGTTTTCATGCAATCTTGTAGGCGCTGATATGCGTCGACGCCGACCGCACTGTTTGGCGCAGTGCGAGAAGTAGGTATTCCTGCAGTCTTGCAGGCGCTGATATGAGTTCGACGCTTACTGCACGGTGTCCGGCGCGATTATTCGAACTCGCGTTAGGATAATCGCGGCATCGAACAATGGGGATTAGGAGGCCCATGTTGTGTTTCGTGGCCGTATGAGCATTCCAACGTTGCCGCGTCAGAGAAAAGCAAAAATAATCAGGGAAAAATCGAGGAAAGTCAGGGAATTTGAAGATGAAAAAATTATAGCAACCCTAGTCTAACATGTGTTTGGAGACGAGAGCCAGCTCAGATGTGGGGTGGATGTGATTTGAATACTGCCGTACTAAGGGGAAACGCTGTAAGAACCTCCAGGCGTTGCCAAACTTCCTCTGATAAAATACAAATTTATTGGGGAAATGGTAAATATTTTTCATCCAATTTTTCAGACAATTTGTTCGCAATTTAATCTAAAACATCTGAACATTCTGAGGAAAAATATACATAAATTTCGTTAAAAATACATGTTTTCCGGGGAAATTTGGCAACTCTCGAATGTTCATACGATGTTCTCCCTTAGCACGGCAAAATAGGACACGGGTGTATTTCATTTCCTAGGTTAGAGCAATACATAAATGAATGGTTGCTTTATGCTTTTAGGAGTGGTAGTTATCAGACAAGCCAGTTACCCTCGAAGCCCTCGAAATCGACGCCGTGGCGACGGCCGACTCATCCGACGGTGCGAATCGACACGTGCATCGTCGGCGACGACTCCACATGCGACGCCGTCCAGCATGAAAGATGCCGCACGGAGATGGGTGTCTCGTCCTGCCACTGCAGGCCTGGCTACAGCCGTCGGAAACACCGGGAACCCTGCCATCGTAAGTATCATACCCATGGTGAAACCATCAAATATCCTATCTCGATTTTTGACAATGGGTCAGTTGCGCTGGTAACAGAATCATGTTTTGATGCTTGACTCTTGTAGATTAGTTCAAAATAATAAGGTCCGTCCAAACAGCTACTTTCTACGTTGAATATTAACTGAGATATCTTTTATTTATTTTTTTTATTTTTGCAGGTTTAATGGCTTATACCCCATCTTAGGGGTCTACAGCCAAATAGACAATATTTTTATTGTCAGGAGACGCCATGGGGATTTTAGTACATCCATGCTCCGGCTTTCAAATTTTATGGGATTAAGGTCAGGAGAATCTGTTTCTGCAGAGCCACTCGTCAGTTCCGTGAAAATTTGTCGCCACCACCGGAATTAGAACCCGGGACCTATTGGTCTAGAGTCAGACGCACTGACCGCTAGGACAATCTGGCCGGCTACCCGAGATATCGTCCGGGTTTTTGACGTCAACCACCGCGGCACTGCATAATTGCATAATAACATGGTATGCACTGCCGCGGAAGATGACGTCATAAATCGAGTTTTTTAAGGCGCGATATCTCGGTTAATATTCAACGTAGAAAGTTGCTGTTTGGATAGATGTTATTATTTTTTTCCTAATCTACAAGAATAAAGTATCAAAACACAATTCTGTTACCAGCGCAACTAACCCATTTTAAGTTAGCTGTATCAAAAGAGCGGCAGAAGATGTAGGTATCAAAAAGGTCGGGAAGTTACCTTGAAACTCAATTCGATCAAAGATGTGGAGGAGTGAAGCTCTCTAATGCTACGGGAATAAGCGCTTTTAATACTTCGAATGTTGTAAAATTTCACTCGAGACACACTGATGACTCTGATTTTCTCTGAAACGATTTCCCAAGATCAAAAAAACGGTTTATGATGAATGGAAGAGAGTAATAAAAAATAAAGATTTTCATGAAATAGAAATTTCGTGAAACAATTCAATACTACCAATATATTCTGTAAATTTTAAAGAGTGCGTAAAATATACTCAAGGTGTAAAGCATGTAAACTCTCTTTTATAGGCATTGTATCAGTGGTGATGTCAATGCGAGTGGACCGCATGCATGAACAGCGGGTAACTTGGAATGACAAGTTCAAAGACATTGACTCTCAAGAGTATCAACAGCTTGAGTACGAGGCTATAAGAGCGGTAAGTCGAAGCAAGATTCATTTCTTCTTTATAAAAATAAGTCTCATGCCGGGATGGGCAAAAAGAACGCTTGATACCCGTGTCTCAAGTGGGGAATCCCCATTTGAGAATGTTGATATTTTGGGCGGGTCCTCTCCCCCCCCCCACCCCCACCCTGACTCCTCCTGGGGTGTGGGGATCGTGACCCCTTCAAAAGTTTTCCTCCTCGACTAAAGCAACTTATTCATCAGCTTAAATTAATCCAAGAAACAAGAAAAAAAATCGCCGACTCGATCCTCAAAAATTCGTAATGTGTTCAAGGAGATAGTTGTCAAATTGCTACTCTTTTGGTTTGAGTGATGAAAGATCGAAAACTCAAGAAGGATGTATATCTATGCTCGCTGTGGGAGTGGGACATGAAAATTTGTAAGTAGAAATGTAGCATCACAAAGTCACAGACACGCGGAAACACGGAGACTTCGGGTGACTTTAACGCAAGAGTAGAAAAGTAAACCACAGTGCGCGGAGCCGAATCCGTGAGAATCCTTGAGGTTCACTAATTTTGCAACTGAATGTAAATCAGCTGGGAGGATCCTAAGGGATTAAGAATACAGCTTACCATTAAAAAAAAAACCTATTTGTCAAAAAAGACGGAAGCATGCTCAAAATGTGCCCTCATTGAAAGATGCAAGTACGAATGATGGGATTAGATTTACTTACATTATAAAGGGGGGGGGGGGAGGAAAAAAAAAGTTATCGAGCCTAATCTCCCTTGGAAGTTGCCCAGGGAATGGAAAGCTTATAATTTTGTTCTTTTGAAGTTTATGGAGTGAGATAAGCGTATGGTATTCAAATAGACGACTATTCGTGCTCCTTTGGTAGGCTTTTTGTTGCCTATGTGGTGACATTGAAGGCGAATTTCAAATGGATGATATCTACCAATAGGTTCACAGCATCGTTTATCCACTCAGTCAAGGCTTATGGACTTACACAGCGGCAGCTATTCACGCTCTCGGGTGCATATTTGCCTATGCGCTGAAATTGAAGGCGAACTTTAAATAGATGATACCTACAAATAGAATCACACATAGTTTGTCAGTCCAGTCAAAGCATGCAACAGGATAACTGTATGTTTTTCGAATCGCTGAAGCACCAGCTCTTCCTTCTTTTCCTCTGTAATAAATCTATAGCATGTATTGTGCATTTTCAGATGGACTCTGCTATGTCTATGACGCCTTTCTCTGATGTCTTCCTCGGATCTCGAGTGAACAATATGTACACTCAAAGGAGTGGGAGTGGTGCTGCATCTGGAGGCAGTCTAGCTAATCCAGGCCCAGTTTATGTGAATTTGACGCTGCAGCTGGCTGAAAGTGCAGAAACACTCCGACCTGCTGTCAAGCATGAAATTCAGAAACACTTAACAGGAGTTATCCATAGACGAAGTAACAATATTGGCAGCTCAGCTCTCTGGGTCGATACGCCTCCAGGCTCCATCTCTCAAATTCATGGTGCGTATTAGTTCCTAGCTTAATTTTTTAACAGTGTCTTAACATTATATAAAATGAATGAAATGAAAATTTAAAATATTTAAAAACTCACTTCTCTCCCTTTGCTTTTTGCTAGCAAGATATGTCTTGGGCCTTGATGCGACCCATCTTCTCATAAAAAGCAACGGGGAGAGAAGTGAGTTTTTATATATTTTAAATCTTCATTTTATACATTGAATCTCTGATAAAAGTTTCCTTCACCGCAGTCTTAACATTAATTAAGTGCAAATTTAACAGATAAGTCGATAATACTATGAGGGTATTTTAAAAACTGAGAATCATTTCCCATTCGAGCAAAAATAAAGATATTAAAAATATTTTCGTCCATAATAATTATCAATCAAGCAGTATATTTTGCTCTGACTTTTTGACACATTTTTGTGATTTTTAGTATTTTTGAAAACATTTTTGGTTTAAAAAAAATATCTGAAGATTAACACCTGAATGATTCATGTTTGTACATTTTCATTCAAATTTAGGTACTATGTACATTTTATTTCAATTCTTGCCACAAGAGGATATACATTTTTAACAATCTTATTACAAAGATCTGGTCAGTAATTGCAGGAATTTTGCAATAGAATAGTAATGAAGTCGCAATAAATTGCGCAATTTTTCTTGCAATGAAGTTGAAATTTTTGGTTGGAAAGTGCCACTTGAGTTGCTCAAATCGTTTCTATTTTATTATCTTCCAGATTTAGATGAGTGCAGCAGTCAAGATTTGCACGACTGCCACTCAGTAGCAAAGTGTACCAATGTCTTTGGGTCTTTTCAATGCACGTGTCCTGAGGGCTATAGGGATCCTTGGCAAGGGAACCACATGAAAGCTGGTAGGACCTGTGAAACTTGTGATCCAGCACACTGCAACCACCGAGGAGAGTGTAGTTATCAAAATGCGCAACCAGTTTGCAAGTAAGTTTGTACTCAACATTTTGGGCTATCTTGATTTAAGAGAGTGTTCACTAGAATTGTACTATAGTTTTCGAAAAAATTAAAAAAGCATACGATCAGTGAAGAAATTTTACTTACCCAAACAAAATTCAACAGATACAGGACGGCTCTAGCGGCTGCTACAAGTCGTCACCTTCCAGGCAAAGTATCACAAGCGCCATGCGACGTTTAAAAATTTCCGCCGCCATTTTATTTCTTTACTGAGAAATTGTTGGTTGAATCTGTTTGGAAATTTCACTAAATTTTATCGGCAGCACAAAGAAAATTCAGTGAAATTTTCGGACAGCTTCGTTGAACAATTTCTCTGTAAAAAAATAAAATGACGGCGGAAATTTTTAAACGTCGCATGGCGCTTGTGATACTTTGCCTGGAAGGTGACGAAGTAATGAATAGGGGAGGTGAAAGAGGCAATGATCGTTCTATTGCATCTATTCCTTTACCTCCAAAGTGAGAAAGACTCTCAAGTCTCTCTTCAGCGGCATGCATGTATCGTTTTATTTTGGAAAGCAAAGCAAAATTAATTGCAAAAAAAGTGGTTGATTTATCAACACATTTCAAAATATGCATAACATTGTTGTTTAGCTTAGCAGTGCCACTTTCTGTTGTATAAAAATACTACTGACGGACTATTCATTTAGGTGAAGAATAAGCTTCTTGAAAATTTTCGAATTTAAAAAGCAGTGCTTTTCAATTGACAAAATCTTGTTGAGTACCTAATTTATTCTAATTTTTATGATTTCAGGTGTACAGGGAGCTATTATGGAAATCAGTGTGAAATAGATGGAGAAGTTTTGGGTGTTGCTGTTGGTGCATCAGTAGCAGCAGTACTCATAATTGTATTGACTTTAATTTGTTTATGTGCCTGGAGGTAAGAAAACTTTTGCCTCAGCATTCTAATGTGATAATTGTATGATAGAGCTTTATTTCAATTTTTAGTCGATGGTTTCAATGACGTTATAGTACAGATTAAGAAATTTGACAACTTTACAATAATTCTCGGAGATAAGTATCTTTAAAAATCTCTGATGGTGCCTGATGTTGTATCTAATCCGCAACCCAAGTGGCACAGGTTGTACTGAATTGGAGAGTTGTGTATGTTGCCTTTTTACTAATTGAAGGGGCACTTCTCGTTGTAAGAAGCTGTAAGCTGTAATTTTCACTATCAAGCACTTCTCTCTGAAACATGACTCTCATTTAATTGATCATTTAAAATAGGCATTGATAGACCAAATGATGTACAAAATATTGCAATTTTAAGGTAAAAATTGAAAAAAAAAATTGCAATTTATTATATCAGATTGATTCTTGTGAGCGCAGAATTCCTAATTTCCTTAACAAATGTAAAATAAAAACGTTAATATCTTATAGTTATAAGTTGATTTGAGTAATTTTTACTGCCGGAATCAAGTTCTGCACGAAATCCTTGTTAGTATTCATATAACAGAGTATTAAATTTGTACCTTGTCTACTGGTTCATTGGATGAAATCTCTCTACAGCATGGATAAAATGAGGAAGCATAAACTAATAAAATATAGAGGGCTCAATTGAAATTTTTAGCAGGTTCCTCCATCTGCAAAAATTATGAAAATAGCCATGTTGTGGGTGAAACAATGAATATGGTCGATTTTTGTTTCAGTCGACGGTGGAACAAGGAGCAAAAGATAGGCTCTCCAGTATTTGGATACATGCCTACAGGGGGAAGTACAGTCAAAACTCCAGTAGTTGGAGCCCCTCCTTACCAAGTGTCAATTGAGGATAGACTAAGATGGGCACAAATTGCTGATGCCATGGCCCATGCAAATCATTATGGGGTAAGTATCTTGTTAACAACATTATGTACTTAATCCTCACAAAAATCTAAAATGTGATTTTTTCTGCATTTTCACAAACGTAGAATAGAAGAACATAGCATAGTGCTTCCCACATTATTCTGTAATTTTCCTACCTTTAAATATCTAACGCAAGAACTTAAAGTACATAAATTCCTAAAATCCTGACGATTTTTAGATTGCATCACTTGTCCACTTATTTTGGGAATGAGTTAGATGCCAAACGAAGTTAGTGGAAACTGTGCTCTTTTTAATGATGATCTGAAGGGGGAAAATTATTACAAGAGCTGTAAAAAATTTTCAATGATCCAAACCTGTGAACAGCATTATCGATCAGATACCTCGAGTATCATATTCCATTGCGGTGTCAGTTGCCCGAGAACCTCTGGGAAGACAGGCATATGTGGCGTTTGGGTGTCGTAGAACGCCAGAGTGCGTTGTAAAGCGACTTCATATATATATATATCATATTCCAACCGAATGCTATGTTTTAGTCGGCATTGTATGAGTTAAAACTCTGCTTATGAAACACATTTTCTGTTTCACATGGAAAAAACTTTAAAAAATTGCATTTGTTCTCTCCAACGTACCACAAAATCAATGGATTTTAACAACTATTCTTGCTATTCTTGCTTGTTAGCCTGAGCCAGTGGGAGGGCCAACTAGACCGTCATCTGCAATGTTTGGCTACACACTACCCCATGGAACGCATGTGCCAATACCGAGGTTAAGACCAGGAAGTGTGCATACAATGAGGACCCCTGAGTCCAGCACCAGTGAAGAAGAAGATCGGGCAGATCTCCTTGGACGGAATTTTCAAGTTCCTCGTCCCAAAAGCCGATCCTCGGTGGCGGTGAGTAATCCTAGTAACTTGCATTATTTTTCTCCTCATAAAAATAAAAATTTACTAGGGAGGAAAATTCCAATTTCCAACTTCTCCAGGGGAGCTCTCAGCTGTAAAATCAAACCAACAATATTTATCTATTTTCTAAAAATAAATAATCAAATAAGAGGCTTCTTATTCTATACTTAAAAAGAATGAGCATTTTGGGCTTAAACAACCGATCGGAATTGCTACTGTTTAAGAAATAAAAAATTAAATTCATATACGATGAAAACCTCCCAATTAAAAAATTCCCTCGAAGCATAGGGATGTCTATTAAATATGTTCACTGAACTCTCCTGTTTCTGCTGGGTGTGTAAGGTATTGATATCTGAGGATACTCGGGAATGATACCTATCTCAACAAAAATGATACTAATATTACCTCCCTTTTTTCCAATTGTTAGGCATCTTCTTCTTTTACAGGTAAAATGGACAAATTTTCAGCTCCTTTGCGAATCACAAGAACGAGTTTCCTAAGCCTTATTTCTCTAAAATTTTGACTTTATATTTACCCAGTAACTCAGTTCAATTAAATTCTAATTTATTAGATATATTTATCTTTGGCCCGAATATTTATCGTCGGCACCTCATATTTTGGGAAAAATTAACTTTCCCTTAATTTTAATAGCATTGATTTTGTATTAATTTTTTTTTATCTAATGTCGCCAATCAGGACGGAAATACAACGTTGACTAAATTTGAAATCTAATCGCAGTGTAATGATTTTATGTTTCAGAATCAGAGCGGAATTTACTATGATGTAGATTATGAACAAGGAGATTTATTTAATACTCAAAAGTCGCACCCTGGAATGATACCATTGAGTACGTATACAATGGGTAGGTCACACTATTTCAGAACATGATGAAAAAATGGGTGCCATAGATGTCTAAAGAGTAAGTCAGTTTGTAACATTCAGTTACTCAGTCAACTTCACTGTTATTAGTTTGTCCCTCATTGAAGTTTCAGGACCCGAATTATGTTTTTTTTTTGTTCTATATTTATTTCTCTTTTCTCCTTGTTTTCTCTTTCGCATTTCCTTGTTATAGACTTAAAATTTCATTGTTCAGAGTATTTGCCAATTTTTGATAAACACAATATTTAAAAAGGGAGGAAAAAAACCGGTCCACGAGAGGCTCATGAAAGAAAGAGAGCCTCCGGTCCACGAGATGCTCGTGAAAGAAAGAGAGCCTCCTCTCTTTGTTCATTTAGTATTATTTGTTTTGCAATCATTATCATTTATTGTCCAAAGAAGTTTTTAATATATTATAACTGTTGATGTTTTATATGAAAATTTGATGTCCTACATATTTGTTTTCTCTGATTGGATTTTCATTCATAAGTACTCATGATAATGGAGGCTCATAGCCCATTTAAGTACCTATATAAAAAGCAATAAGTGAATGGTTACATCATAATGGCGGCATATCTAAAAATTTGCTTGGGGCTAAAAAGAAAAATTATAATCAAAATTAATTATGATTTTTCAGAATCTCGGTGCTGTCTCTTGCGATAATGTCAGTAGAATTGTTGTATCTCCGTCTTCTGTTTGTATTGAGAAAGGCATATAAGCAGGGACTTTGTACAGTTTCTTGTCCTCCTTCTTTTCTCTTAAATTTTAAGATTTACTTCGATATTGGACAAAAAAAGAAAATTTGTGTAAAAAAATGGCGTTTTTTGCTGCTGAAATGTGAGTATATATATAATATTTTCAATGCTCATCACGGCTGCAAAACATAAATTTTCAGGAGGTCTAATGAACTCCTAACACTAATGGATACCGGAAACAACATATAACTTAGTAAGTTATGAAAGGACTTTAATCTAGAGGTATAATACTCGCATGGTTATCAAGTGATATCCAGGTGATGCTTCTTCACAAATCCATTGTAATATTGTTTTATTCTTTGTTTTTATTTTTATCTGTTCTTTAATATTTCTTTTATGCTCTGCTCCAAAGAGTATCTAAATTATTTCCCCTACTCTATCTTTATCTTTGAAAGTGCTCAACTAATGTAATATATTTACCTATCTGACTTCCAAAGATGTATAAAACAGACCTATACTATCTTAAAGTAAGGATTTTACGCTTGCAAAGCAAGGGAAAATGGTATTATTTTTCCTCCTGCAACAAAAGTGCGTTGTGAGGGATTAAGGATTGTTTGCCTGATTGATAACTTAATTTTTGTTTCCTTTTTCAAATGATACATTTTCAAATGTAGATTGAATCTAACTTTATTTTAGCTTCTTTAGAGAATTTCTTGAAATTCACAAAGGACCTAAGGCCCTGTTTAGACAGTCAAACTATGGAGTAACTTGTTTGACAAACTAGTTTAACTTGTTTATTAAAAATCGCAGGACTTACGTCCATCTATTAGAAAGACCATTCAACCAGTTTTGACTGATTCCCCTGTTCTATGTATTATCAACGTCAGAGTTTGCGTCAAATTTAGAAGTTGCTGATATCAACATTGATTGCATTTTTTTCTGGTTTGTGGATTCATTTTCATTCACTCAAAATAAAAAAAATTAAAGAATTTAGGCAAAAAGTTAAGGATTTAGCAGGATTCTTCTACTTTGGAGGATTCTATTAACTGCTCTTCTTAAAAATAATCTACCATACTTCAGCTTTAATTAGGTGAAAGAAAAAAAAACTGAAAAATCTCAGGTCAATAATGTCAAACTTTGAGGGGAAGGTCAAAGTGACTTCTCATATCCAAAATAAGGGACAAATTAAATGAAACATGGCTTCTCAATGGCGACAACAGATTTCCTTGTAGAGGAAAGGAATCTTTCACTTACCTCAAATAAAATTAAATTTGATGTAAATGAAAGTTAAAAAAACCACTAAAAATGAGGCAAGAAAACGTGTAAAATTCTTGTTTCATGATTTATGGGTTGTTTTATTGTAAATTATGCCATTCAGAACTGAGATAGTCAAATTATTAAATTCAACTGCTGATGTTGATGCTAGTGATTCTAGTATGTATATCTTAGGTTAATTTAATTTTAGTCGTGCATTTAGCTGTATCAGTTATTCGATTAGTGTTACTTCAAAGTCCAAAAGTCTCTATTTATCTGTGATGTTCATAACCAGAGTTACATTTTTTGCTTCGAGAAGTGTATTAGGTACGCCAATGAAATACCTAATTTTTACAAAATAAGTTGTTCCTTAAAACCAAAGGGTCTTCTATAACACCCTGTTTATCAAATGTTATAATGAAGTTGGTTGAGGAAAATATGATTTCAAAACCCCAAAAAATTGCAAGATCAATCTATTCAAATCATAAAAATTTGAGCTCAGGTGAAGCTAAACAAGTTCACTGCCACAGCGGTGACTGTTTTTTCGTTGATCTCTCCAGGCTTTTCACAATGACTGGCATTTTTAACAGCATGTTTTCATCTCATTGCCGTGCAGTAGAGATGCTGTCTGCAAGTCCTCTAAGGAAGTAAGTGTAGAGTGGTTATGTACGTAACTAATAGAAAGCACTAGCATCGCGGCAGTCAGTGGAATACAAGCTAAAAAGGGCTAAAATCTTGCTGTTCTTTGTGTGTTTTTATAGCCTGAAGAACAGTGAAGCAAAAAATTGTTGGCAGTGAACATATTTAACTGAGAAAAAAAATTGAAGCTACTTATTAAGGTACTGCTTTCAAGTAGGAGCATATTTAAAAGTCAGTGTTTCAGTGATTTTTCATGAACAAGGACAAAAATTTATTTGGTTGAGAAACTTCCTACCAAAATCTTTAGCCATTATTTATGTGAAAATAGAAAAAGATATATTTTTATTGTATGAGAAACACTTGATAAGTATCTGTTGAAGAAAAACTAATGTGTCTATAAGACTGTATATAATTTATAAGAAAATCCTCAGTGATACAAGATGTAATTAATTTAACTTGAAAACTGTAAATTTTTTAAAATTAATAGACAGAAAATTGAAACTTTCACAAGTGTATTCTTTTCACCTTTATTTCTAACAAACATTTCAAGATAAACAAGATTATATGAGACAATTTTGAAGTAACTTTCTTTGTTGTTACTTTTGTTTGGAAGCGCTCGCAAAGTACAGAGATTTTTAGGTCATAAGGCTTCACATTATCAAGCTTTTCCTTACAACTAACACATACTTAGAAGGAGCTGTGAAGATTTCTGGCTGAGGTTCCAGAGAAAAAATAAAAAAAAATAGAATAAATAAAAAGCATTCATTAAATAGTATTATATCACAAACAATTAACAACAAACACAAATTTCATCTCCCAAGACAGAGACCAGCTGCTGACGAGGAGTTTCAAAATCTGACATCACAGAACTTTCATATTTATTCCTTTAAATGAATCTACAACAATTTTATTAAGCATTAACAAAAAAATTTCAATGCAAAGCTCTTCCAACATTGGAAATTTTCTTTAAATAAAATGATAAAAATCTTCCCTGTCATACAGGTACTTTTGAAGGAACGCAAGCACTACCACAAACACTGCACCTGTCCTAAAGACATGGCAGGTTTGCGTTGCAACATCCGATCATTGATCTGAGTAACAATGAATAGCCCATATCTGACAGGATATCAGACAATCATGAAGAATTCCTATTTTGGTTCACTAGTCAAAATGACTTGTCAACCTGCGGCAACAGTGGAAATATGTTCTCAGAGCAATTGTAGCCGAGGTGTTAAATATAATCAGACCAAATGGGCATGGCATGGACTGAGATTTGAAGAGTTAGAGTCAACGTGAACTGATTGTGACTATGGCTGAGAATTGCTTTCACAGAGGGGTTTTTGTGATTTAGCCAAATAATGAAGCTATCATTCGATCAGGATCATTTTCTTGTCAAAGTATACTTTAAAACTCTAAAGCTCTAATATTCTTCAGTCGATTGAAAACCCAACAAAGGGAGTCAAGGATAGTTGCCTTTTCATAACCATCCAGGGTACAGGATAACCTTAGGGGTCATTCAACTATCAAATAACAGACTTCTTGCATTTTTTGTTAATCTTTTGCTCTTTCTATCACACATCTAAAACTTAACAGACCTTAACCATGGTTCGCCCTCAAAAACGGCTCTAATGTTTTTGATTGAGTTTTCTTGAAAAAAGCAAGCTCCAGCTTATCATATTAATCGGTTTTCAATACAAAATAAGATGTTTTAAATTTATTTAGAGTTATTTTATACGCGCCCCTTTCCTCTTTTCAACAAGAACTTAGATTATTCGCCTTCAATTAGCTTTACAAGACACTTGAATGGCGTCACAATTACTGAAAGATAAAATCACATTGAGAGAGGGCTGATGAGCCATTCTTCCTCATTTAAACTTATGTACCTTGCAAAATCTCAAGAGAAAATTTTTTAATTTAACGCTACCCTTGAAACCTTTTTTCTCATCATGTCTCTTACAAGTTTCAACAATATGCACTGTTACCCACAGTTGCTGGGTTTAGCTTCCATTTGGCACAAAATTGGACAGAATCTTTTCAAACTAATATTAATTGTTAGTAATAATTGTACAGCTTGACCAAAAATTAATTACAGTCACCTATATTGTTAGCCAAACAAGTGCACTTAAAAATAAACGAACTAAGTTCCCTGTTTGAAGAAGTGGCATATGCTAATATGAGGTATTGTGCGTCAACAAGAGGTCCAGTGAATAGTTGGCAAAATCCACTAGTTTATCTGCTAGTTCCACTGGTCTTTCTAGTTTTTCCTCAAAATTTTTCATATTCAGAGAGCCTGATGCTTCTAAGATCTTAAAGAATTGTTTTGCAGCAGATTCCACGCATAGAGATGAAACCAGGTTAAAGTTTACCAGGGAAAGTTCACCTTCTAAAAGTTTTTAAATTACTTTTTAAAACAGATTATGGAGGTTTCTACCATAACGGCAATGCAGGGTTAAATGAAATTTGCCAACTTCCCATCGCTCCTAATAGATTATTGATACCTTCTTGACTCACTACATGAATATCAAAAAATTTTACCCTTCTGCTCCTCAGACTTGGCTGTCATTCTTTAATTTGGGACACCTCGTTTGACCAGGAGGCACTTCTGACCTCACATCTGCAATGGACGACCAAAATTTTATTGGAGATGGTTCTCCACATGACACAATATGCAGATTTTCAAACATCAAAATTTCAGATGGCCATAATATGCCTTTCACCATGATCTCATCTTGAATTTTCAGTATTTAGCAGAGATTCCCAAGGTTAAACTGAGGTAAAATTTTTTCAAGCTGTTCAGGAGAACTTACTGATGACTATTCATCAGAAAAAATTTATCATCATCTTTCCGCTCTGAGCTAAAGATTTGGTGATGTAATAGAAAAACGACACTGCTACACCACTTCTTCTTAGAGTGGACTTCTGAAACTACTACTAAAACTGTGATTATACTGTGAACGACTGCTTCTTTATGGTATTATCTACTATGAATTACTTATCTTTAGAACAAACAGGTACAAAAAATTATATCAAAATGAGAATAATTTAAGAAGAAAAACTAAGTGCGCAAGAAGAATTGAGAGATAAACCTTGCAAAATCACAGAGATGTGAGAGAAAAATCTCAGGTAAAATGGGCCCTCGAATAACAAAGTATTTCAAATATCTCCGACAAAAAGTTCGAAAATCCGAAAAAAAAAGTTTATCAGAAGATATAATCACCTATGCAACTTATGCAAATGATGCAAATTTTGTAACATTACTTTTCACTTCCAGCAAAGACGCAGAAAATTGAAGAGCTTTCCGTAGAAGGTTAGTGAATTGACAAAGCTTTAAGTCTTTGCATGCTGTCCTCGTTTTAAATTCACACAGCAAAGTCAACGAAATGACACTTGCTATTGGCAAGCAACTCAGTTAGGAACTGGAGTTATAAAATCGAACGAATCATTCAAACTTTGTTTACAGAGCGTGATAGCTCAAGATTTTTTTAATGTCTTCCATTATTTCATTGTAAGATAAAAGTTATATAAGTTACTATTGGCCTGAAAAATGCTATCTGACCCGGGCAATTTCTATGCATGAAAGGAAATATCTCGGCTTAAATTTCAGTCTGAATTGATTAAAATTGGAATGTTACATGAAAGACAAACAATATTTGCAGTGATGTACAATACATAGTTGTTTAAAACTAACAAATAATAGAATTGGAAAAGCTACTATATGATATGCATAAACATCAAATTGACCCAAATAGAAGAGGTGCAGTTTCACATAATAAATTTAGACTACATATTGATCCGCTTGATATGTGTAAATAAAGTTGCTTATCATTTGAGGGGTGTTGAAAAAATATAGAATACAATTTTAGAATATTCCTTTTAGGAAAAAATGAACTGAGTATCTGAATTGGACCCAAGAAAATGCTTTAAATTAAACATGGACAGTCCCGACCTCATCTGTCGTCTGTCACTCTGCATTATGTAGCAAATGCAATGGAGATTTTAAGACGGCCAAAACGAGGAACTAAATTACAACCGAATTATGCATTATAATATACTGCAGAATCAGCCTGCCGCACAAGATTTTGCCCAACCACAGGCTGGTATCCATCCCATGATCAGTCCCATGATAATGCAGCTATCTGTATCACTGCAGAAAGATGCCGCAAGTGATGTTGATTCCTTTTTTCCTTTTGTTGCTCTTAACTGCTAGTTTAAAAACACTATCTGCTTCTTTTTAAAAAATTGGTTTTAAAAACTAAAAATAGTAGATGATTTTCTCCAGCTTTTTCTTATCTTAATTTTTAACATCTTTTTAAATATGACTCTTCAGGACATGGTAGACTAATATGACTTGGTAAAATAATCATCAATGGAAGAACTGCTGTTGAGTTAGTTAGCGAAGACCTAGACTATAATCTCAAGAAATTGCTTCAAAAAACATAAAGCTGATTTCTTACATTTAAAAGCTGAGATTGTGGAGTGTAGGAGGGGTGAATACTTGGTTTCCAAAATACATTGCAAAAAATCTTAAACTCATTCACTTGAGTTGCAATGAAAAACTGACACGAATAATTTTGTATTTTTGCTAAACCCAACAGGAGGCATTGAAACATTACATAACACATTTGCGGTGAGGACAGTGTTGAATATGCTAAGCGTTATAATCTTGTGTTGCTTAAACCTAGCTAATGTTCCACATTATACGTCAGTTGCATAATGATCCCACTTTTGAGAAAAATGATACATTTTAGGGCAATGCCTTGTCATTAAACGGATTAAAATTAATGGAGGAGGGGGAGACTGAATTCTGCCAAGAGCATTTTATACATTAAGGGGAGTCCAGGTTCACTTCATGAATTCATCACGAGGGTTGAGAGGGTTCAAACAATTGTAAAAAGTGCATTACATGATACTTGAGTACCCCTCCATGGTTGAAGAACAGAGCTCCTGCCTGACGGATCGAAATATTTGTCATGAAGCGGAGCAGATAATGAGATACACAATTTTGTGATACGCGTATTTTATCCGAGTCTCACAGCTAAAGGTAAACAAAGTTCCTAGTTTTCTGAATAAAATTTGGGTCGACCATGACATGCTCTCTGATTCATTTCAACTGTTTTTGCTCGAGGATGAACTTGTTGCTTGGAGTCGTTGTCTCATTTCAGCCAACTCTCGTGCGTTATTCTGCACTAGCAGCTCAAGGCCTCGCACCCGTCGGAAGATTTTGTCGCAAAGCTCTACGCACAAAGGCTTTCCACTTGCTGTTAAATCACGTAGCTGTTCACTTAGTTGAGACTGGTGTTGAAGTAGTAATGTCATCTGAGATTTTGAAAAAAAAGAAAAGAAAAAAGACAATCTTAGGAAATAGCATTGCATTAAAAGGCCTCAGCAGGAGAGAAAAGAACTAGAACGGATCATGACAAAAGGATGAGAAAAAACTGATGCCATTTGATCCTTTTTTCTTAACCCTTTCCGGTCTGCGGCAGTTTTCCACGGCCGCTGTGGCAGGTCCGCGTCTTTTTCCTGAATTTCGGCCGATTTTCGGTCACTCCTACACTCCTCAGTTTTTCCATCTATTTAAGACTTATAAACTAATTTTTAATGGTTGTGGGGGTTCAGTATGACAAAATAAATGTATTTGTCTGCAACAAATTTTCTTAACACAATTTAAAGCAGTCGAATATACCTGACATCGGGCCTGCGCAGAAGTACAAACTTTTGGGCGACTATATCCAACATCGGACCTAAACGCGTTATTTTTCACGGCGAATATATCCGACATTGGACCGGAAAGGGTTAAACTGCATTTCTTAAATTTGTGACTTGGGACAATTTAAGCTTTGAAATCTTCTACCGAATTCTTTCTGACCATACTTTTAAACGTACAAAAATTAAAATAGTGTGCATTCAGTATGATTTCTTAGATTTTGATCCTAACATGATAGAGTGATGGACGAGTCATCAAAATTAAAGAAGCAAACAAAATAAAAGGCTTGTTAAAGCACTTCTTACCTGCTTTACAACAGCTGCTAATTTTTGAGCATCTTCATTTGTGTCAAGTAAATCGGACACTTTCTGAACTTCAGGCCTGATGCATGATTTTAGCTCAGCATTAGTCTCATCGGAGTTTAACTGCATTAGATAGGCATTCAATGCTTGACGAACGACTGTACATTGAAGAGCACATCTCTGAAACCAAGACAGATTAGTGATTTCTTTGCAAGAATATTCCTTTTCGCATTCTACTACTATTTTCTAATAGTCTCTTAGATGAGTAATCACTTTACAGGATATGATCAGCCATAAATCAAATAGCTAGCCACATTAAGATTTTTTGCTTTTACAATGACTTGAAAGAGGGCAGGCGATCATGGGAAGTCTGGAAGTTTCGAACCTATTCAAACACTTAAACATCCTCCCCCCCTCCACCACACACACACCTGCTCCCTCACCCTCACACAGAGAGAAACCACTATTTTGGCCTGACTTTTACTGTGAAAACATGTGAAAGTTTTCCCTTGAGGTATTAATCATTCAGTGAACTAAAATCATAATTTTAAATTGGGACTTATTCCTCCGCAGGCTGATTATTGAAATTGATAGACAAAGCAATAGGCAAAGAAGACAAAGGGAACGTGGAGTGATCCTATCGGTTAAAACGGGTGGTTGTTATGGGCTGAGGGGGAAAATGATGGGCTAGCTACACCGCCTCTTGAGGGTTGCCATCAATTTGTATACTACTTTCCTCCTTTGTCCATTGCAACCACCTGCTTCCACCAACAGGATCACTTTATTTTCAGTTTGACTTCTTTGTCTATAGCTTTGTTTATCAATTTTAGTAATCAGCCTGCCGTTCATTATTCAGACTGTAACTCAGGGCATTAGTGCCAGACTAGACTTAGACTCACTTTGATTGGGTAGACACCGCTGATGTTTTTTATATTAATTTAAAAAAAAAAATAATACAATTAAGTAGGGCAGAACATAATTGTTACAGACTTGGCAGAACCAAAAAAAAAAAAAATACAAATGGGCTCAAGTACAATCCGAAAAAAAGGGTGTAAAAAGTAAATTACTTGACTGGAATCCAGGGCTTTGAATTCCTCTTTAGACATGATTTCCAAATCAATACCGATCTCCTGCAAGAAAAAAATAAAAATGAACAATGAAAAGGCAGAAGGCTTGATTTTCTTCAGATTACCTCAACAAAACGCAAGAAAGTCAGCACACGCACATGAACTAAACCTTACAAAAGAACCCTGCACACCTGTGAGGGTACAGTGGCTCCCGGTATATTTTGAACTTAGCACAATCAAAAGAATAGCACAGAGAGAAAAAAATTAGGCAATTTTATTGTGTCAGAGTCGATATATTTGCGATTGAACACGTGGACTTTTTCCTAAGTGATACCATTTTGCATCTTTTTAATCATATCCATCAATTAATTTGGAAGAAAAGCAAAGTTACTGCGCCCTCATGAGATTTCATAATTAAGTCAGAAATAGTGGTTCCTAATTGTAAAATGAGGTTCAATTAATGATATCCATTTGACAATTCATAAAATGCCTATCAGTTTGAGAAACTTCTGGACAAAGTAAAAATACTTTGTGAAGCACTCATATCAGTCACTATCTTTTAACTCACAACATACAACACATTACGGCTCAGGTCCACTCAATGAACGAGCTGAAGTTGGAAGACTTGAAGTATTCCTATTATTAATTGAAATAATGATGATTTCAAGTAAAACTAGTCTTAATGCATATTCTATCAAAAATTTGCTCCCAAATTCAAATTCTTAAGCATTAAAAAGTCAGTTTGAACTTTCCATAAGGATCCGGATTTGGATTTTTCCTTTATGGATTTGCCATAAGAATCCATGTAATTTCGAAATTTTAAACACTTATTCCTCGAAATAGCAAAAACTGCACTTATGCACCTTGTCCTCCAAGGCCCTCAATTAGAGGAGAAAATATGATAAAAATGTGAATGCTTCGGATTTTACCTGTAACTGGAATCCTAGGGTGCACAATTCTTCATACTGATGCTCAATTGACTGAAAAATAGGGTAAAAAAAGCATGAAAGAAAAGAAGCACCAAAAATACTATAAATCTCAAGAGCCGATTTACTTTTTTTAAAAGAGCCGATCAAGGTTGCTTTCTGGAGTTTTCTCAAATTTTTCTCACCTGATAAAAATATTCCTTTATTATTTCAACCCACAGCTTCAGAAGATTACCTTAAAAAAAGAAACAGAGACTGAGAGGCCATAGAAAGCTGCTACAAAGCGAAGAAGCTTGTTGAATCAAGGTTCTCTTTTTTGCACTTGTATTTTGTATACCTTCCAACATGTGTACTGATTCCCCCTAAAATTTAAAAAAAAAACACCTTAGCCAGTAAGGCCACTTCTTAGGAGCCATTTAAAAATTTTTAGGAGCAAAATTGAATTTTTGCATACACATCCTGAGCTATCGCTACTTTGCGATCGTGAGTTTGAAAAGATCGGCAGGGTGTTTCAACTTTTTTTAATGCCACAATGGCCCAGCCCCCCCCCCTTCCCATTTTTAGGCATATTTGGTACATGGTGCACGGAGAAGGAAGAACACTGCTACTATTAGATCCTTAATTGACAAACAGTGATATGAATTCACGACCTGCAGTTGGAAATTCAACTCACTCTTTCATATGACCTCAATTTGAATTCCCCTCCCAGTCTCATATAATAAATTGACTACTTTCATCTCCATGGAAGACTAATAAAGATTTCATGTCAAGTACGTTTTAAGTGGCAACTTAAAATTCTACCCCTAAATTCCTTCTTAAATTAAAGGAAGACTCCACTTACTTTGTTCTTCCAAAAGTTGCCAGATGTTGAGGCAGCATCAGACTCAGTTGCTGAATCGCAGGTTTGTTCGAGAGGATGCATGATTTTTTCCAGGGAATCGATGACATGATCCAGTGATTCACAGAAACTACTCAATCTTCTTGGAAAATTTATTATATTATCATAAAGGACACTTGACTCTGAGAAAGAGTCATGTTTCGATGGGTTGCGATCATTGTAAGGCTGGACGACAGATAATAGCTCTTCCAATTCTCGTTCTGGACTTGGAGAAATGGATCCGGGAGTTTGAGGCGGAGTTTTTTTCAGGTTTGTATGGCTAAAATAACTTTGATCCTCGCTTTCAAGCTCTTCTTGTAATGACCTCGGTCCACTCGGAGATGACATGGGAGGATCTAACATACTTCTTGACTTCAAATCTATAACTTTATCAGTCTTTTGATCACATGAAAAGTCAATAACAGGGCTCTGAGACTGAAATGCTTCTTCAAATGGATTTGGTTCATAGATGATTACACGTGGATTGTTGTTCAGCACGTCAGCTTGAGGATTGAGGAGACGATTTGTTAAATTCTGTTCGTCTCCACTTAAAACTAACTGATTAATATTCCTTGGTGATGATGCAGATATTATTTCAGAGTTTGGGGAGCTTACCAAAATATTTGCATTGCTATCACTAAAATTATTGACTACTGCATTAAGAGTGCTCTGATCTGCAGCTAAGGAGTCTTTTTCTTCACAACTACAGTTATCCATACAGCTATCCAGGCTTGTTTGTACGGTTATATTGTTGAGCGGACTGTTGAGGCCTTCAACTATACCACTATCCAGTTCCTCACTTAGAAACTGTTTGCTACCAGGGCTATTCCCTTCTGGGGTGGTGCCTTCATGTGATTTTTGATCTTCTGCTATTGATGGAAATAAAAATCTACTATGATCTGCATCTATTGTAGGCTTGTGAGCTTCTGTGCTACTTGTCCAACGGCTGTAAAAAGAAATAATGGATCTATCATTAAAAGCGTAAAAATAAAGATCATAAAATAGTAAGACCAACATAATTCACAGAAATTTGAAGAATTATCTAAAATTGTTGAAGCCTCTAAAATTGTTGAAGCCTTAGAAGCCTATAATTTTACCTAAAATTACCTAGCAACTTATTTTCTTAGGAGCTACATTAAATGTTTCTACCTCACTTCAATTAGCAGTGACAAACGCACTGTAACCATTACAAAGACACGAAAGAAAAGTGAATTTTTCGGCATTTTTCACCTGCATTATCCAGTAGAAATGTTGGAGGTTCAGGAGAACTCTTCTTTCCTTACAGCAAGCTAGTCAGGAAGATTAGAGAGACGTATAGGGTTCTTCACGGCAACTACTTAAGAACAAAAGACTCAGCTTATCTGACACAACGGCAGTGCCACGTCTCCATCAGCAAAACACATTAAAAAATGCTGAAAAGTTCACTTTGCAGCCCTGCTTTTCTCAACATTAGGAGAAAATATTATTTTGAAGGCTCCTCCTTCTCAAGAGGTTGTCAAGGAAATTTAATCAAATAATGACGAAATTTAGTCAGCATTGAATCCCTTAGTTCTCCATGAAGGACTCTTTTTACTAGAATTTTTTGTACATTTTTAATTCAAACGCACATTACATTCTATTATTTAATTCTAATTTGAATCAACAACTTTTAAAATGGATCAAATTGATCAAAACAATGGATTGATAGAATTTCTGTACTTAATCTCGAATGGGACTCTAGACAAGGTATGAATTAAGGCACTAAGACACAGGTTTTGGCTTCAAAATTTCTCAGTGGGAAATGTGGAAATCAATTTCCTACATAAGATATGAACTTTAATAAAATGACAAACATACAAATTACAAGATTTGTAGAATCTAACTTCCATTTGATCTGTGCTAAAAATACTTTGTATCTCATCTAGGAGTTGATTTCCGAACTTCCTGTTAGGTGAAGCCTTCTCTAAGATTTTAAAGGGATAACAAGAAACTTTTCTTCTGGTTTCGACCTTGTCAAATGATCATTATTGAACATTTTTAAGTAAACTTTTTCCATGACTTTCCCTAAATGAAAATTTTACAAAATCTCAAAAAGAGTGCCCTAATTTAAGCATTTCAACAGTATTTAACAATTTTTCATTCGTACAATTGAAACACTGCTGATAGGGTTCCGATGTAAGAGGGGATTTGATGTTCCCACACTAGAAAATTTCAAAAGAGGATTTTTCAATGAAACTACCAAGATGGAAACTTTGCCCTACTGTGTTCATCTTTCAAACCTGTCATTGAAAAATAAAAAAGATAGTACTTAATCATAAAAATACTCCAGTTGAAAGAAGAATAATACCTGTCACTATCTGTAAGACTAGAAGGGGGTGACTCAATGAGATCACCGTCTCTACTAAAGGTAAAAGAGCGTTGACCGATTATTATCCGTCTTGGCACATCTGGTGACTTGTCCCCTTGACTGTCCAACCAACGCCGGTTGTCTGGTGTTAAAACGCTCCCAGGAGTACACCTACAAATAAATTATTAGTTTTGATTACCAAATAATAATAACTACTCAAAAATAAACTTCAGCCCACAGCTGCTTTTTTTCATGGACAATTTTCAGCAATGCCCGATTTTAATTCCGAGTATAAAGTATAAAAATAATTACAATACATTAGACTTTTAAGATGCTACCTGTAATATGAAAGAGCAGGTGGAAAAAATGCATGAGTATATATGTTGTAGACAAATCCCGTAATTTGGACACATCGCGATCTGTCTAGACAAATCGCGATTTGTCCAGTCATATCGCGATGTGTCTAGCGCCGTTTAGACAAATCCAGAATTTGAAAAATAAATCGGGATTTGTCCAGACACATCGCGAAGTGGCCGGACACTTCGCGATCTGTCTTCCGACTCTTTGGACAAATCGGTAAAAGTAATATCGAAAGAAATACGAAAATATAATGAAATAAAATATGATTGAAAGAAAAATTAAAGAAAACGAAATTTTTGATTCTGCGCCCCCTTAAAAATAAAATTGCAGATGAAGTAGTGGATCATCTGGAGGATATATTTGCTATTTTTTCAGCGCCATCTTCCTTGCAGGACGATAACGGTCGTGAATTTTCAAACCACAAGATAGAGAACCTCAAAAAGCTGTGGGACAGTCTGTCCATCGTGCATGGGAAGCTTTGACACTTCCAAAGTCAAGGCAGCGTCGAGCGTGCAAACCAAGACGTAGAGAAGATGTTGTATGCGTGGATGGCTGACAATAAGTCTAAAAACTGGAGTAAAGGCTTACGGTTCGTTCAGTACAGGAAAAACAACGCTTACCATCATGGCATACAACAGACACCGTATTTAACTCCTTCTTTCATTTTTCTTTTGATCATATTTTATTTCATTATATTTTCGTATTCCTTTCGATATTACTTTGAACGATTTGTCCAAAGAGTCAGAAGACAGATCGTGAAGTGTCCGGCCACTTCGCGATGTGGCCGGACAAATCCCGATTTATTTTTCAAATTCTGGATTTGTCTAAACGGCGCTAGACACATCGCAATATGACTGGACAAATCGCGATTTGTCTAGACACATCGCAATATGACTGGACAAATCGCGATGTGTCCAAATTACGGGATTTGTCCACAACATCTACACCGTTTCTTGGAAGAATGGCTATTTTAATAAGAAATAGTCTCAGTTACATGCACGCACAGTTTCATAACCCTAGCTGCAAAATTGAGCGAGATAGAATAATTTTTTAACAGCGAGGTTGGGCTTTATCCAATAGGACATGGAGAGGAGAAGCTGTAGCAAAAGAGAACGGGAATTCTCATCTCCAAGAGTATTTCTTCCTTGCCCGCTTTTACAGCTTTTTAAGAAGAGATGCACACAAGGAAAGATGACTTACATTGTTTCACAAAAAGCATGTCACTTGAGCTATTTTAGGAAATATCATGGCAGTGAGGATCATATTGCAAAATATAAATCTAAAAGACAAAAAGTGTCTCAGCCCAGATATGTCGATCTATATAGATCAATACAGATCAATCTAGGCGTACCTATATGCATCAATATATCTACATAATCGATGTTTACATAGACTAATTTTCAAAAACATGCCAATTATTCTGAGTCAAAAATATTGATGAAAAGATTAAAGGTTTTTACGTCTTTGATAAATTGAAGGTCAATCAATGTAAGCAATGAATCGACGTTTAGTGTACTCAATTTTGATGGCATGGTATTCTTTTTAAAAACAAAGTCGATCAGCATTTGTCCATACATTAAAAAAAAAAAAAAAAGCTGACCAAGCAGGGAAAAAAAGGTGAACAACAATCATACTTGACTTTGGTCAAGATGTTGCGCGCTGCTTTGTTGAATCGGCCTTGGTGTTTTTCCATGGAGGCTGATTTGTCAGAAGACGTTGAGCTGGGTCGGCTGTGTCTGCTCGCTCGCCGAATGGAGAAGTCGGCCTCCCGTTCGCGTTCCTTCTCTCGAAGTCGCTCCATAATTTTGGCCACTATTACTGAAGGAGCTGCATGAGAAGGACCTTTGAAACAAAGACAGTGAATTAACTTGGATGTCACAAATTCAACATCAAAGTTTGCCAAATTTTTTCCACAGCAAAGGCAATAATTAAATCCAATGACAATCTGTGTACGGTCCAATCTGCTCACAGGCAAAACCCTTTGAAAGTTTATTGGCATGTCTAAATGGTATTACAGTTGGGAATTGCCATTTTTTCCCCAAGAGTCATGGTAAAACTTAGGCTACTCTGTTCCCCTATCCTATTATATTCGGATTGGTGTCCGTTAAGTTGTGCTTCGTGGTTGTATTCCTTGTTTACAACAGATCTATTCCATGAACATGTTTGCCACCAGCCAAATGTTGAGAAAAACCAATGAGCTCACAAAGATTTATTGCGGACTTACTTGTCTTAAAAAAGACAGATGAGAAGATGAACAACTGAGTTCTAAAATATCATCATGAGAGAGGAGAATAATTTCATTTTTAACGATTTTTTCAAGCCTGCTGACAATAACTTGTTTTATGTTCTTCTTGGAGAGGTCCATCTAACTTAGCCATTCACAAAGAAGATTTGAAAATGTTTTTCCCCTACTGGCTTTTTCAATGTTTTGCTTGGCTCCCTTAGTATTTTCCAGACCTGAAAGACAAATTACAGAAAGTCTTCCTGACTTTCAAATTTTGTAGACCTGCATGAACCTTGTACTTTTTTAAAGTTATAAGTGTACGTACATGGACATACACATTCATCCACATACAATAAGCTAAGGAACCTGATAGGCAAAGTAACGTAAAAGCGCATTTGAAAATATAAATGTTCACAAAAATAATACACGTACAAGGAAAACAGAACTGATCAGTTTTATGGCAAAAAATGAGAAAAACAAATAATCAACTTAAAGTTAGACAAAAGGGTCAAAAACAACTCATTCCTAAAATTTTTAAGAGGATATTATAATCATCAACCTTAAACATATAGAACACGTAAATAAGTAAGGTAAGTTCCACAACAAAATATGTTTAAGCAGGCTTCAGATTGTAGATTTTTTTCCAGAAAAATCATAAAATAAAGTAAGTAGAAAGCTAGGAACAAAAAAAGTGGCGAACCAAGCATCATGTTGTAAAAGGGTGGTAATTGGCAAGCAACTGACGAGAAAAAGCAACAAAAAGGAGGGGTAGAATGGAGTAAAAAGTTTATTGTTAAGGGTAAGAAAATTATAGTTCTTAAGAGGAGGTTATTTTGATTCAATACAAAAATGTCAAGTTTATGCACCAACTGTAAAAAGTACTTGGTGAAAATTCTGAAAAAAAAAGAAGTCAAAAGGGCAATCTAATTGTGAGAAAGACTGAATTGAACTTACAAGGAGCGAGCGCTTGAAGAGTGTCGAGAGGGCAGTAATGATGTGGCCGAGCCTGCAATCAAATTACCGAACCATCACCAGACATGCAAAACTTCAGGCTGTTCCCACCACCATCAGATGAATATAGCCATGATGATTCACTTTTCATTATCATAAGATACAGATATTCCTAAACTTGTGGGGTGTAATTAAAAACTCACGCAATTTACATGAATATAATTGCAACATCTATATTAGAAGTTTTGAAAAAGGACATGAATGCAATAGTTTAGGATTGGTAACATATCGATGGCTAAAATTGAGTATTTCATACGCATATCACGACTTGGTAAGTCTCCACCCCAGTTTTACTTTTTAAAAGGAAAACTAACCAACAGATACTACTGAAATTTCCGGTGAATTTCCTTGATTTATTGTGCAAGAATCAAACGAAATTTCAAGGAGACATTTTGATTTGTTATTCTTGAATACGATAGACCATAACTGGAGATTTTGGAACATTGAAATTGTGATTTGCTTTTTCAAAATTTAGCCATCGATATGAAAGAAAGGGATGCAAACGCGGTTAGAGAAAGGTAACATTACGCTTGTTGCAGGGTACTGAAATGAGGGGCATGCACAAACCACTCGAGACTCCTTTAAAGGGCAGAAGCAATTCAGGGTTCTTCACTCTCCAGGGGATTGACCTCTTTCACATGATGCAATTCTTACTTAGAACACATTTCACGAAACGGTCACTAGTCTATCTCCATGGAAACTTCAAGAAAACCCCTCTATCTACTCCATGCCGATCATGTCTTTCTGCCACTGTCTTCCATTTATGGCAGCCCTTGAGTAACAAAGAGCTTGATGCAAAAACGGCTTTTTTCGCCCCCTCTGGAAGTTCTTCAGACTTTGTCTATTGATTACTCATACTTGAGCGCTTCTTTTCCCATATTTTCAGACCCCCAAAAAATTTTGGGGGGGAGCTAGGGGGGGTGGAAGTCAAAACCTGTGAACCTCGATATCTCTTGAACAAAGAAAGTTATCGAGGTCTGGTTTGGACGAAAAATCGTGTAAAATTGCATACTTTAAGATTCTAAAGGTCGAAATCCCGATATCACATTTTTAAGTCAACATATGTGCTTTTTTCCAGTTTTTAGGTCTAGAAAATTTCTTTTAAACGAAAAATTTGCAAAGATCTCAATTTTTTATTTGAACCAAAACCAGTTTTTTAAATTGTTCGTCTTTTTCCGCATCCAACGAGTGGTCCATTAAGCTGGGGAACCAAACGGTTCCGGAGTTATGATCGATTGAAGTTTCCGCTCAACGCGCGCCGACCGATTTTCGCGCGCAAAAAAGTCGGATTTGACTGTTATTAGATCAGATTGAATGTTCAAACTGAGCAAAATGCTTTATTAGGGGCTCTTGAGGGTCGCTGAGTTCAGAAATTACAGATACTTCCAAATAACATACGTTTTTAAAATTACAGCTCCGCAGCGCTATTTTAGAGGCCCACTGAGCGCCGACCGGTCGCTCAGTGGTCCTGTCCGAAGCTGCAATTTTAAAAACGTGAATTTTTTGGAAGTATTGGTAATTTCTGAACTCATCGACCCTCAAGAGTCCCTAATAAAGCATTTTGCTCAGTTTGAACATTCAATCTGATCTAATAACAGTCAAATCCGACTTTTTTGCGCGCGAAAATCGGTCGGCGCGCGTTGAGCGGAAACTTCAATCGATCATAACTCCGGAACCGTTTGGTTCCCCAGCTTAATGGACCACTCGTTGGATGCGGAAACAGACGAACAATTTAAAAAACTGGTTTTGGTTCAAATAAAAAATTGAGATCTTTGTAAATTTTTCGTTTAAAAGAAATTTTCTACACCTAAAAACTGGAAAAAAGCACATATGTTGACTTAAAAATGTGATATCGGGATTTCGACCTTTAGAATCTTAAAGTATGCAATTTTACACGATTTTTCGTCCAAACCAGACCTCGATATCTTTCTTTGTTCAAGAGATATCGAGGTTCACAGGTTTTGACTTCCACCCCCCCTAGCTCCCCCCCAAAATTTTTTGGGAGTCTGAAAATTTGGGAAAAGAAGCGCTCAAGTATGAGTAATCAATAGACAAAGTCTGAAGAACTTCCAGAGGGGGGCGAAAAAAGCCGTTTTTGCATCAAGCTCTTTTGACCGACCCAACCCAAAAATTCCAATCCTAAAACCAAATCTGTCACTTAAACAGATACGTTCTTTTTTAAATCTTCTAATGTAGATGGACACTTTTTTTGTGTAAAAGCATCCAAATAAGCAATCATTAACTTCTCCTGCGGTGCCAATAAGTATGGGGGGTTTGGGGGACATTCATAAAATATTTAACGTTCAAGGAGGTGAGGGGGGTCTGAGCCTATTTTATGAGTGTGCTATAGGTGAAAGGGGACATTCGGGCCTGCGTTACATGACGATAAAATGGGCTCGAAGCGCTGATCACTCCAAAATCGAGGATGAAAAATCAACGGAAGGAGGCTATTTTTCATTAAAAATTCATCACGAAACGCTAATTTGAGGAGGGAGGGTAAAACTGAGCAATGCGTAATTTTTTAAGAGGTGCAGACCTGTGTTACAGGTGTTTTAAGAAAAAAAAAAGGGGGTGTGAAAAATCGATTTTCAGCATTTCGTTTTTAATGACCAGCCCCTTGTCTATGTTCCAATATCCTTCTAGGAAGTATAATACATAATGGGATATGAAGTGTTTAACTTCAGTTTCCCAGGATTGGTGATCTATCGAAACATGCAAAGTGGGACGTTTGAACATTTCAGAACATTTCAGACTGAGGCCCTCCTTGACTCCACAGCTTGGACTATCTTATGGCTATTTAAACGCTTCATCCTTCTCTTTGAGAACCCAATAGTTATAGCTTAACTCCACATTGAATGATATTAGAAACATATATTAAAGACCACTTTGGCGGTAATTGCACACAGCAGAGAAGTAAAAGATACAGACACGATATGAATAACTTATCACAGTTAATTTAGAAGTGTATAAGTTTCCAATCTTGAAGCAGCCACATAATACGAGTGATTGAACACACCGATGGCCAAACTCAGAAACCATGTACCTTACTTAAAAGTAGATGCAGATTTCCCATCATACATAGATTACTAATGAGCCGAATTTCTTGAACATTTCCGTGATTCATATTCTCTGTTTGATGAATTTCAGTTAAATTCTCAGGCTAATCTGACATTTTTTCCTTCAAAAAAATTCCAACTTTTAAAAAACCGCAATAGGGATAGGTCATTTCTGAGTTTTGCATCCGATGAGGAAAAGGAGAACACAAAGTACAAAAACATAAAATTTTGTTAAAATAGATGAGCTCATTATTGGAGAAAAAAGTCCCCCTGCCTATTACTTCACATGGATGAATTCAACTTAACAAAAAATATATTCAAATTTGATGTAAAAAAAATTAGTATCCCCTACGTTCAAATTTTGTTTGTTATCTATTCTCGAAGAAGCTTCTTCAAAGTTGTTGGTATCATCAAAAATACTTAAAATTCTGAAAAAAGGAAAGAGTAGCACTTTCCCTCTAAAATTGCTTATTTACTAAATATAGAAGAACAAAAGCCACAACTTATCAAAGGTAACCTGTGTTAATACAGCGGTATGGTTAATCAAGCAAATCATCCAATTAATGAAAAGAGGCAAAACGAGAAGGAATTTCAAATTGAATATTATTTGCTCTTCACAGTGGGATAACTGAGGAGGCGTTCCTTAGATTTCCTTCCAAAGAGTATCGTGTAATTACAGATATGTAGCGCACTCAATTTTAAGTAAACCAATTACTCTGGAATATTAATAAGACTAATTAAAGGAAAGTACACTGTGCAAACCTTGAATTTTTTACTTGAACCAAACGTTGGAAAAAAATCTTGAGCTCTAACCGGATTTCAAACCTTCTTTTGCAAATTTAAGGTTTTCATTTACATAGATTTTAGTGAAAATTTGCAATGTTGGATTTTCACTGCGCACTGGTGGGCAATTTCGAGAAATCTAATTCATATCACATTTCTGAGGGTGTAGAACTGAGCCCACTGAAAGAGGGACTGCAAGGGATCTGGCTCTTTATCACTGCACTCCCTTTTGGAATGTTTTCCCTCATCTCTTGTTTGTTATTTTCTTTTATTTGATTCACTTGTTCAGAATTAATTTATTTTAAATTTTATTTCTCTCTCTTCTTTTTATTAAGTGCCTGTTGCGATTAAACCTTTTTGATTGTTATAATATTTATTGTTATGTATCTTTGTATTTGGACATACACTCATGAAATCAGTATATTTCTCAATAAATAAATAAATAGATAAATGAAGTTATCCATAAAATCAACAAATACAGTCTGTCCTTTAAGGAATCTCTCAGATATCACAAAAAAAAAAAAAAAAAAAAAAAAAAAAAAAAAAAAAAAAAAAAAAAAAAAAATACTTCTAAGTTAGTTCTTCGATGGGTCTGTTGCACTCAAGAGATACTGCTGTGTGAGTGGACTTTTAAAGGGTAAAATGTCTCAAAATTCATGATGGTAAAATTGAATATGCCGTTTGCTCGTTTCTGGTAAGGAAACTGCCCCCAGGCAAGGACAATTGAAAAAGCGTGTTCTAAACCAAACTAATCGCATACTGTGGAGTAGATTTCAGACTTTTCTAAGGTCACCATTGTGATTTTTGTGACATTTTACCCCTGTAAATTCTGATCACACCGCTCTTTCTCTTGCCTTCAACAGACTCATTAATTAACAAGTATTGTCACTATTGCCTAGCAAAATGATCATCTAACACTACGGAATAGCATTGGTCATACTGACTGGTTTTGCTTGCAGAGGCACAAAATACGTTAACTGTCTCTATGACCGCCTTGGTGAGATTAGGTAACATTAAAAAATAAACTTTCTTCCAAAGAGACCGAATCGCATAGAAACACAAGGAGGAGGAATCCCAAAGCTTTGCAACCACTTTGCAGATGAAAAATGCCAGCTATTTACCTGTTAATCCTCGGTAGCCACAAAATCCTGATTCAAATGTATGGACAAGGTCTTGCTGATGGCGGAGAAAATCGTCGATGACAACGCCTTTCAACTTGGAGGGCTGCAAGAATCGCTGGGGAATACGCCCAGGGTCCGCATACTGCGGAGCTCGACCAAATCCCAAGCTGAGCAGAACCTCCTCTGGATCTACTTTCCGTGCTTCTAGCAAAGAGTCTACTCCACTAGAACAATGACTGCCTGCATCATCAATATCAGCACTCCTGAAAAAGTTTCAATTGTTTGAACATATTTTCACTGATAAACGAAACTCTTTGATTTCCTCTTCACAATTTTTAGGGGTCATCATGACCTTGGAACTTGAAGCTTTATTCTTTAGATTCACTGGATTCAGATTTTAATGGGAATTTCATAAAATAATTAACCCAAGTGTGTTTGCGGTGGAGAAGTGTACTGATGCAAGTAGAGTGTAACTGTGATATTATCCAAAAACTGCGTGAAAGTATCACAAAATAACAACCTAACATACGAATTTTAGGCTTCGTCAGAATAGTATGGTGCATGCGCCCATCCTGCAGAATTTACAACAAAGTTTTTTGACGGTTGAAATATTGTCATCTCGCCCACCCACTCTTCTTTGCAGCCCTGTTCTTGCTCTTGACAAATTTTGGTTATTTCCAACATCAAAAAGGCTTTGAAAGGTAGAAAATAGGAACACAAAGCACAGTTTTGTCATAAGACCCTCCAGAGGAATTTTGGCAAGACTTTTAGAAAAAAGGAAAATCAGGAAAAACAGGATTCGCTGATGGATCGCAAATGACAGCCATGACTTGAAAAGAAAAGGGAGGAGGAATCTTTAAATGAAAATACAGTAACACATTTGACCAGAGTATTTACACTTTTAACAGCTTCTGTAAAACTTGATTTGAACATGTAAAAATCTCAGGATACCATCAGTCTGAAATCCTAGAGGGTTTTTGTCTCATGCTCCAGTAAAATACCTTTATCTGGGTGAATTTTTGACCAAACTAGCTGAACAAGATTACACTTCAAAACTAAGGATATGGACAACACTCTATCATGAACCGCTTTTCAGCAACTTGCAGTTTTCTCAAACCAGACCAGTTGACAGTAGTTTTGGGACACCCTATGTCCTTGGAATACATTGAAAACTTCAGGACATGGTACGTAACCATGCTCACAGTTGATCAAGACTATTTAAATTACTTGAAATAAACTGGCAATTAACTAGAATACTTCAAATTAATTTCAGTATGAAAAAATTAACACTGGCCAAACATGCAGGTATGGTTCAGCTAGTTTGCAAAAGGTGAATTTCCTGGAATAAATGCATCTTTAAAATGGGTAATCATAGAAAATTCTGACTTGTAGAAAGTTGAAATAACTTGCTGTCAGAGAGGAATTCTATTTTAAAATTTAAAGGAAACACTTACTCATTTACAATCCTGTTGGTGAAAACGCCGCAAAGAGACTGAGCTGAAAATAGAATGATAGAAGATTTATTTACCGCCAATGAGCAAAACATTTTGACAATGATATTCAGAGCATTTAACCAGCGTGCTGCCTAATTTCGAAAACAGTCTAAAACGCAGCCCAACCTGAACTATGGTTTACAAACATAGATAACAAGTTTCTGTCATAAATCCATCATTTTAAATTGTCTTGGAGGGACATCCCTTCTAAATATTAGTTGTTATTCCATGATTTTCTTACACATACGTCTTAGGGTTTAATCATCAAAAGAATTTTTATAACTGTTAGAAACTAAGCCATTATGAATATAATTGCTCACTGTACGTTGAGTAGTATACCATAATTTAAAAATAAAAAAAAGTTTGTTCTTATTCATAAAAAAATTCAAGTTTTAGCACTTTGATCAAGATAACTTACTTACACGCTCTACGATTTTATGCAACTTTTTTAATTTAGGATCTCAAAATATTGTCCCCTTTTAGAACAACACGCCCCCTGACCACTTTGCGCTCCAACTCTCTAGGCGCTTCTTGCCTCAGATAATATGTGATACTCTAATGATTTTATGATATAGAAGATGATAGGTGCGGTAGAGAGTTTGGGCTCTTCACCAAATGCAGCTCTGGATGAATACTTACCCTTGCCTGAGCATACTAGGTTCCACATAAAAAATCATCATTTTTGGCTGGATAGCAGTACATGATATTCAAGTTAGATTTTAGGCACTATTTTCTTTTATTTTATCAGCATTATTATTATTATTTATTTATATTTGGAACCACCTTAACTGCTTAAAATTGTTTGAACCCTGCGGGTTGGAGGGGTAGTGATGCTTACATCTTTTCATACATAAAAAATGTAAAGATATATAAAAAATAAAAGGGACTTATGCAAAATAGTTTATTGTTCAATAACTGGTGCATACAGGAGCGCAATGGCTCCAAATTTTCCATGGGGTAGGCCCTGTTAAAACGAGATTTTGATGCTCTCTCCTGAAGCATGACTCAGGCAACCTCATGAATAAAAAACATGAACTTTTTAAGCACTTTTTAAGAACTTTTCAAATAATTTTCAAGCACTTTACATGACTTCAATTGTGATTTGTTCCTAAACACACAGTTTTATTCTCTGAGGTCAAGTCGAGAATTTCGATTAATTTTGGGGGTAGACTGCAATTACTCTCATTAATAGGATGTCTCTTGTAGCAATCCATCTCGAGTCAAATGCTTTCTTGTTTCTTAAAATAGCAAACAACATTGTTAGCAATTAGTAAACAGAAAAATTCAAGCACTTTTCAAAGCAATGAGCCGTACAAATATAAGAATCTGTACCTGGGCCTCTTTAAAAAGTTCTATGGGGGCAATACAAAATTTAGTGAAAAGTGTTGAGAGGGGCCCCTAAATTTTGCAACAAAGGACCCCAACGGAGCCCTCTTGGCCAAAGTACAGGAGGCGATGACCCCTAGCCCCCCAGGCCAGTTCGCCCCTAAATGCATGCTCTCACTCACTTAATTTTCAAGCTTATTATACCTAAAGTTTCATAGACCATCATGCGTTGAACTCTAAAAGTTTATCTGGACTGAATTTCAAAGGAAAACTACAACATCTCTTTTTTTAACTGTTTGCAGATATGACACCTTTTTGTTTCATCAAACGGACTGCCAGAGCATTAGTACAGTTGAGCACAGTTCTTCTGAACAATTACTGTATATATATCTGTTATCTAGCTTAACCAAACTCTCCTTGCTTTTGAATAATACATTTTTCAACTATGAAATGTTCAAAAAGAACTGCTCTCAATTTCATTAAATGGAGAAGAGATGGAAAGGAAATTGATCAGTTTAAAGTTTGCTGATCAAGAATCATGGAAATATAAGACAAACTGTCTTTAAACTTAAAGCTGTCATACATTGAGTTTAAAATTTCAAGATTAAAAAATCACTTTGTATCCTTTTCTAGCACAAAAATTAACAGAACTTGTAAATCACTTATCAAAATAATTTAGTGTTTTCTGCCGTTAACTCCGATTCCAATTATTTCATTTAACTCGACCAAAATCGTTCTCCTGAAAATTTAGGTACTATACTCCCTTTGTGATTGTTCAATCACTTGAAGGGGTGTATATCGAAGGGGTAAGTCGGCAGAGGGAAAAAACTCTCTACATTTCTCATCTTTGAAGGTAGAGGGGGAATAATTCTTGAAGACAGCAAGGATAAGATGCTTTATAAGACTCTATCATCATTTTGAATAATATTCTTGTCTGTCAGGAGAAATGGCTGAAAAACCGAGTTATGTGTTAATGGAACTCAGGTACTCAGTTATCTGCTGGATTGGATGTCAGATATTACAGCAATAACAATGTTGTTGTTGTTGTTGTTGTTGTTGTTTGAAGATTCCGTGATGTACTAACTTTTAATTTTCCCTCCTAAACTGTTCACGATTCATCCTGGGAGAGCGCACGTTGTGTAAAAATGCAGCGCGACGGCATGAGTTATGTGTTATTGGAATTAACGCTGAGATATGTGTTTTGAGTTCTACGATTTTAGGTTACTTCCATATTTTTTTCGACTGAAATATTTTGATAGCAGGTAAAGAACATCTACTACACTTCATTTCTGCAGCTAACTCAAAACCGCCAAAAATCGAGTTATAAGATTGCCGACTTACACCGTTGATATACTCCTCCAGGGCGAAATATTTTGACAGCAGGTAAAGAACATCTACTACACTTCATTTCTGCAGCTAACTCAAAACCGCCAAAAATCGAGTTATAAGATTGCCGACTTACATCGTTGATATACTCCTCCAGGGCGAAAACTAGTTGCAATCTCAGTTTTAAAATTTTCTCCTTCTTTTAAAATTTTCTCACTTCACAAAAATATTTGAAGTGCAAGTTAAGCCATAACAGTTTAAAAATTAGCTGACTTCTCTGATTCTTTTTCTTTTTTTTCGCAAAAAAGAAATTGGAAATAAAAATAAAATAAAATAAAAATAAAAAATTAAAATTAAAAAACGACAAAATAAGAAAAAAAATTTTTGAACCAAGTTTCCTTATACACTCACTGACTTTAAGTCATGCGCAAGCCTTGGCACCAGCATTCTAGCACTTTCTGAGCCCCTGGTTACTTAAAAAAATTCCCACTCTCGGATTGCTAAACTTCATCATTTGCAGGTGTTAAAAATATTCTATTTCAATAGAGTTTCTGGTTGAAGGATTTTGAAACACTGAACTGCGAGTAATGGATAAAACAAACACAAAAAGAAAAAAAAAATTTAGAGAGAAAAACTCTGATAATGAGGTAGAAATAAAAGATAAAATAAATTAGTAAAAATTAATGGAAAATAAAGAGATGAATAAAAGCAGAAAAAATAAAAAGGAAAACAAAATGGGGAGCAAAAGAAACAAATGAGGCTCCGATCAAAAGAACTGAAAGAAAATAGAAGTAAGGAGCATTATGGTCTCTATTTTTCAAAGAGACTATGAGGATTGTTGACCAGAAAAATGTTTAAGTGCAATGGCTAAGACTGAGAAAACATTCTACTCTTAGTATCAATCAGTAATGACTTTAATCCTTTTTTCCTGTCCTTTCGATTGCATAAATTCACAACAACAAGAATTAAGAATAGTTTTCATAACTATTGCGAAAGCAAAAATTTGATTTTCTTGAAGGACTTCATTTACAGTGACACTTGATGCTGCCAAAAATATTTTTGAGACTTTTTACCTTAAAAAACAGGGTTATTAAAAATTTCTAGAAAATATGTCTGATCATAAACAAATAAAATTTTAATTTTGTAGAAATATTATGATATATTTACTTCAAAAAGCTTCTGTATATACAAAGAAAGTACAAAGGAAATACAATTAAGATTCGACGACTTACTCATTGTTCAGGAACATTAAAAATGAAGAATATCTATGTGTGAATTCTTAATTTTTCTTTAGTTTAGTAGGGTGACTTTTGAGTTTACTTTGCTTACAAATAACCCTGTAAAAATCAAAAGGTTTTGAAAGTTGACAGCCACTGAACTCACTGATGATTAGTCTCACGATAATAGAAATGAGAAATTAGCATGTCAATCAGCTGATGATATTAACATTTGTCTATTACACACTTGGTTTTAGCCATGACTTAGTACATTTTCTGATGAATGTTTTTCTTGAATGATTGAATGAACTGACAAACAAAACTGACTTTTACTTTAATTCGTTTATTTTTTATTTATTCATTTCTTTATTTCCATTTTATGAAACACAAAAACACACGACTAGGATGCTTATCACAAGATTGAAAAACAAGTTCAAGAATAGAGATATTAGGATTAGGACACCTAGGAACATCAACCAAAAATACGATCGAATGAATATCAAGAGATGAGTTATTCAAATCGGTGCAAAGACATCACCAACAGTATAGTGTACAAAAATTTAGCTTAAATCACATTTTGATTTGTATTGCCTTAATAGTAACAAAGTTACTTTGACAACTTTTACTTTTTAAGTAGAAAAAAAAAATATGCAGAAACCTACTGATAAAGGTAAGCAGAGTTCATAGAGAAGACTTACAGAACCTGCCTGCTTCAAATTACTTAAAAGACCATTACTTATATTAATTGACAAATTTGGACAGAGATGCTCTTTCGATTTTATCTCGGTAGAATGAGAGACGGATAATCTCCAAACATCTGGGGATATCCTCACAAGGGAGCCTATAATCAAATAGGATTCTGGAGATACTTCTGACAGAGAGGATTAGCAGAAAAACGTTTCACTCTTAATAATACTGGTAAAAATAAAAATTAAGAGTGGTCAGAGGCAGAATCAGTGGGCCGAGGAGAGGTCCCTGAAAATCTATTTAGCCCCCCTCAGGAAGTGTATTAGATCTTGCAAAATATCTGCGTATCATTTCTGTCATCTATAAGATTTCAATCCGGTAAATTTTTCCAGACCACCCTTAAAACTAGGGATTGCCGCCGGATCGTTCATTCCATTCTCTTTCAGATCCTTTTTGGAGAAATACCTCTTTGTACCCTCCTCCTCCTATAAAAAATTCCTAGTTTCGCTTACGAGAGAGGCAGAATTCTACCTTTGAAAAGGAGGCAATAAGGATAGGAGGCTTGCTTTTTGTTCGTTGTCGCTCATTTCACTCTCTTGCTCTTGGACTGCGGCTGATACCTACTCAGGGTAAAATATTTGAAAGCAAAGAAATAATACATCCTCCTTCTTTAATGGATTGATATTAGTTCAATCAAACTTTAAAAAGAGTTTTTTTCTCAGGTAAACATTCAGGCGAGGGGACAGTTATGCTCAGGTAGGTATTGAGTATGCGTATTAGTCACAAAACAATTATATTCCTTAGATTTACTTATGAAACACCAATTTTAATCTACAATGAAAATTAAAAAATTTTGGTCGCAACTTGGAGAAAATTAACTTTCAATATGAATCTACCAAAGTATTTCACTCCAATTATAACGTTCTTCAGTGTAAATGCCGAACCGAAGAATTTATCAAGAAACGTCTAAATATATCTTCTATTAGCACACATGACTCACATGAGCTTCATCAGTACGGAGTGTCTGATTGATTACACTTGATGTATATTTTGAAGTTGAGAAAATAAAAATTGTATTTGTCAGAGGCACATATCTTTTGAAAAATGATATAATTGCTATTATACTGGAGAGGAGAAACACATTGAATGTTTCTCTTACCTGTTTCAGCAGGATACACGACTTGATAATTCAGGTAAAAAGATTGTCCTTATTGTACAATGATAATGCTTGAAAATTGGTTCATGGGCAAATAACCGATGATAGATTTAAATATGAAGAGCTTAAAATGAAGGAAACAGGAAGATTAGTTCAGTTCTTACTAAAATATTTCAATTGCTTAAAGAAATTGGGGATAATACCTTCAGCTCCTAGGTTCAAATTGTCTGCACTGACGAGAAGTTCTGGAGAGCTGCTTTGTCGTCCTTCATTGACTTCATCCTCTACTCTAGAAGTCAGAGATAAAAGAAAAAACGTTAAAAAAACCTTCAACATGGAGTTTTAAGAAAATGAGTGACATCTAAAGCATTTCATCAAATTAATCCTGATTTCGAAAATTTTTGAGAAAAAGTAGATGCACTTCTGCAAGACACTGAAGGGCTGCTTAATTTGAATTGCACGAAACAAAAATCATCATTCTTCACCATTAGTATTGTGCTACTTGCCAACTATGTTAAAAAGATACCAAAGAAAACTCACTTGTTATCTCAGAATTTGAGAAGTCAGATGAGTTTACGATTCCGGCCTATCATCGGTACAACTGATTGTACTTGCACTGTTTTCGTGACTAAAGACCCCCATTATCCATTACTGTGTAGTCAGATTTTGCATCTTTGCAGAGTATTAGGCAGTGGAAACCCTATATTGAGCCAATTCTTTAGGTCTCTATAGATATAGATTTTACAGAGGTATTGGCTTTTAAAATTTTGACAGTGCGACTGAGTTTTGATTCGTTCATGTTTTGACATATTCAGTTCCAAAACTAGTGTGGTTCTTGTTATCCATCACATGTGTTACAATGATTGAATTTTCAGCATTGAATTAAGTGGCAGCTTCTATTGGCCTCTGTGTTAAGCAACATTTAAATGAATGCCAAATTCGTAGCTCATAGTATCGCTACAATTTCAATACTGAACTAAATATGAATTTTACTTCAGTCAAGTCTTGGAGAGAAAGAAAAAAAAAAAAAAAAAAAAAACCAATTCGAAAAGAGTTAATACAAATATTGAGAGCATTTGATAATACTTCAACACTAAAGGCAAATGTATGGTAGAAAAAATTTCCTTTACTTAACAATAGCATAAATTGATACATTCAATTTTTTCTGCTGCGTTTTTATCTTTTTTGGGGATACTTTACTTCAAAAGATGAAATACTCCTGAGCATGAATTTACTTTTTAAGCCTCTAATTTTTTAATTGGTTGTGTCATGAAATGGTGGTGATATGCAGAACTACCAACTCTAGATTCACTTTGAATATTCGGTTACTAGTACAAAAGCAAAACCTGAAATGAGTCTCTACAGTTCTTCAAGATTCTATTATCATGATTCCTAAGGAATCGTAGTTTTAAACAGTTGCTAATAATTCAGTTTTAAAGATATAAGTACAGGGTGATCCAAAAGTTCTACACCATCCCTGCAACCCAAGGGATTCTTGATCCTTTTAAAGGTGATTCCTATAAAATTTTAAAGCTCTGTCTCAATTTTTTCAAAAGTTACAGGTAGCTGTTGGTGCGGAACTTTTGAATGACCTTGTGTGAAAAATAATACAATGAGAATTACCGGGCAGTTTCACTTGGTAGGAGAGGAAGAGCATCAACCCATTCTTGGACGGTAACAGGGGATTTATTGCGAGGTGAAGTGTCCGGAGTCAGCGAACACAGCGGCAGTGTCAGCTCTAAGTTGGTCCCAGCTTTGCTTTTGACAGTATTTTCCTGAGCACAATCACTGTCGGTCTCAACGAACACACTCGGGATGCAAGTTGCACTTGTTCTTTCTTCCATCTTAACAGCAGAGCGGACATTATTGCCTTTTACACTTCTTGTACTTGGATAGTTTGAGCATTCGCTGTTCCAAGCATCATTAATCTCCGCGAGGCGCTTCTTTTTACGGCGCTGGTTCACATGCTCTTCACTTTTGTGGATAATTTCTTGAACTAAAATCTTTGCTGCTCGCTCGCACTCATGTACTATACATTCATTCACATATTTACAACTACGGAATATGATCTCCTCGATCAGCTTCTGAGCAACGATTTCAACTGAGTCACCTGCACAGATCTCAAACTTAAGTTTGAGCTCTGCGTCTTCCCGCTCATGCTTGCCCAATCTGTTGATCTTGTGCAGGCTCTTGACCAAAATTTCCTCGACACAATCATTGGCACGTTGAGAGAATAATCTCTGTGCAGATTCACGACTCTCATTTATAATCCCCGTTACAAAAGACTCCGCTATTTCCTCACACTCAATTTCATCTAACGTTGTTTTCTTGGTTGAAAATGATCGTGCTGGTTGAGAGTGTGAACCGAGTGAACCATCCTCCCGTCCCTCCGTGGTGCTTGAGTTCCTGAAATCTTGTGGCTTCTCTACACTGAAGCCTCCCAAATTAGATGATTCTGCATTCCTGTCTGTGATAGGATCCTTTTCTTCAGAGGAAATATTTGACTTGTTTCCTGCTATATTCAGATTAAATTGAGAGCGTTGCGAGAGAGATACTAGGGATTCTGTTAAATTATTCAATTTTACTTTGAATGATTCATTGCTACTGGAGGATGGGCTCGAAAAATATTGCCGAAAACTCCGCAACTGGTTTTTCAAGCGATCAGGATTTATTTTCTTCACAAAATTTTCAAAATTGTTTTTACCTGAAAAAAAATCCAAAAAAATGTGTTATCAAGAGATAAATTATATACTGAGAAAAATGTCATCCACATTTACAACCAGTCCCCCCCCCCCCCCCCCCNGAACGGGAAGAAAACTAAGCACATGATTCAGATTGCTTGAAAAAAATTGATTGCACCAATAAGAAAATTATTCTCATGTTGTTTTTTCTACATGGAATATATTTACCATACCATAATCTTTTCCGAAAGTATTCAATCTACATTATCACCATCAATGGAGAGGCTTGGTGACAAGGCACATAAAAGTAGTTCTTACTGTGTGAAGAGATACATGTTTGAAATCTAAAAATTACATGCGTTCGAACTCACTTTTTGATGCTTAAAAATTGGATTTTAGTCATGAACTTTTGATAGAATATATTTTCAGACTAATTTTTAGTTGAAATCATTGATATCTCATCTATATAACGATATATATCAGATATATAATATATCAATATTTATTTATTTATTTACAGCATAGCAAACGCAACAATATAACAATACCTGATCAATTTTTTCAAAAACTACACTGATGCACCTTGTCCATCGTGCCGCTCAATTTATGTTTGACTTGAGAATACTCAAAATAATAGAATACTTTAGGAAGTTGTTCTTTGATTAAAAAGTATAAAATAAATGAATAAAAAAAAATCATCAAATGTGAATTTGAACAGTAACTGATGCAATTTGTCTGCACACCTATTCTTCAAATATCTGTAGCCTATATTCTATCTTTAACTTGCCCAAAATTAAATTAAAAGATTGCTATCCGTAAACCGAGACAACAAATTCTAGGCAAGAAGAAAATAGAGCAAAATTCATTAAATCCTCACATAAAACTAAATACACTTGGGATACTACAGAAGTGACACACATCTAAAACAATAAGTAACTATAAATTAACATCAATCTGTTCGTGTTTAAAAGAGATAATTTTACATTGCTGCCGTTTGTTAATGACAATAAGAACTCTAGCGATATGAACATGGATTGTAATTTCTTTGAAATTTGAGAAATATTAGAATATTTCCTCTTTAAAATCTGATGTAAAATGCAATTCACAGAGCAGGAAATCTGGGAATCAACTCTAAGGTGGGATATCAACAAGTATTTATACTTAACACTGATATATATGCGTCTATTAAATTTAACTACTTAATGATAATGGCCCACTAGACAAGATCTGAAGTAGAAAAAAACATAACATGTTTTCTCTTCAAAATCTTACTTAGAAAATGATTCACACAGCGGGAAGTTTTGAAATTAACTCCTGAACGAGATACAGATAACAAATTTTTTAAACACAGATCAAATGGAAGTTCGATTGTACAAATGCGGCCATTTATATTTTTGCCATTTAACCAATTTTGAAAGAAAACGCTCATATCTTGTTCAGGAGTTGTTTTCAGACTTCCGGTTGTGTGATTTTTGTTTTTCTTGGGAAATTTTGAAGAGAAAAGAAACGTTGTGCTTTAATTCATGCCTAGTCTAAAAGCCCATTATAAAATTGTTACCTCCTTTAAGAGTTGATTCCTGAACTTCCTGATGTGCCATCATGACTTCATCATGGCTATCAACAAGCATAAGATTTTGAAAACAGGTATCAGAGGGCTGTCAAAATACCTTGTCTAGTATCCTGTTCTCTTAAAAAGCAATGAAATTTCAGATCCTTTCATTGAAAAATTTGTCAATACTGTTGTGGTCTGTTGTAGTGTAAGTACTGGTTATAAATTCTTCACAATCAGCTTTAATTACTTCCATTCATGTACTATTACTTAGCATACTGATGTAGACTGCCTATTGCAACTTCGTACTCCAGCAGGGGGCAAGTAAGTAGAAAATATCATTATTGTCCTATGCGCGCAAACGCTTTGTAGTTCAGAGTGTCTGGATCTGACACTCTGTAATGCAAAATTTTGTCACAAGGCACTCTGTAATTTAAAATCTCGCAACGGTTTCCAATCGTCCTTTCAATTTGAATTATAAAGTATTCCGTTCCACGACTTCGCATTTTAAAACTAATTTGAAAAAGTCTTCGTTTGAAAATTTTCCCAAATCACTTTCTATAGTTCTAAATTTCGCCGATTTGAGAAGCTGGTTACTTTGAAGAAAAACACTTGGTCCCTTGAACTTCGCATTAACGAGCAGCTACTGTACATATACCGATATGTACAAAAGTGAAGAGAGCATCACTAAAAAATCACAATATCCAAAGAAATATACAAGTGAGAGACCTCCCGAGCAAGATAAAAAAAATAATTCATGCTGCACAGAATTCATGACTACGAATTCTCAATGAAGATAATTAATGAGTTGCAGGAAATAAAAAAAAGATAAGAGTTAGCTTCTTTGGGAAAGTCATTAGAATTTAAAATCTAATCAATGTCAAGGGATACAATAAAGACAAAAAAATGGCGCTCCACACCATTTCTCTGGAAGGGGGCTTTGCCTCTAGGAAGCGCACGATTTAAATAATAACTAACAGGTTTAGTTATTTTTCTCTTGTTTGAGTGGCCCCTAAAATGGTCAGGCAGGGCTTAGCCTTAAAAAGAGCCCCTCTCAACCAGTGTGTGGGAGCCCTGAGAAGCAGGAAGAGGAGAAAAAGAGGAAAAACCAGTGGGTACAAAAGGAGATTAACATTTCCTTTTAAAAAAAACCTAATATGCTGCAGCTCATTGAATTAATCGTCGATTTTGGCCAACTTTTACCAGTATTCCATCTTCGAGAATTTCCTGGAAAATTTATTGATTATGGAAAGCCATATCCGAGATTTTGGAAAAAGCAATACGTAAGTATTTTTTCTGGTTACTCTTACAAATTTTTGGTGCTGCATCCTCATACTTGCTTTTTTGTTTCTGCACCCTCAATTGCTTTTACAAAATTATGAGGGGTTTTGCCATCACTTTTCTGCTTGGAAAACGTAGCCCTTTAGAATAAATGAAGGAATGCAGCATGCAATTTTGTGGGGCCACTTTGGGCTGAAAAGAAAACACCGTGAGGAAAACGACAACTACAGAACAATGGAGTTTCAAAAGAGGTGAATGAGAGAGAAAGAAAAAACGATAGACAAGAGGCATGCTCGAAGTGCACAATAAAATTCACTTGTCCGGTTACCTGTCTCCATTTTTAATGTTGTCTTAATCCATCTCAAAAAACTGACTAAGAACAACTCTTCCAATTTTTAACTAAATGAAGCTTGCGTACAACATATAGATAAAAATGATAGCACTTAGAATGGGATCAATAATTTCAGAAACATGACAGAAAAACACAAGAGAGGGCATTCAATAAGTCTATCTCCCCTGTCATTTCCACAAAAATTGTTCAATTTTCAAAAATTAAAAATATTTAGGTAACTTAGGATGTTCCCTTAACAAATGACAGATTGAACACATGCACACAGAATGCAAGGTTCTTCAGTTTTTCTTGAGCACTTGAGGGCTCCTATCAAGAATGGGCATTATCTTCCTGCAGTTGAAATTGCAAGCTCGCAACCTGACTATAAATTAAGTCATTATTTTGCTGGATGAGGCACTTTTTTCAATTTGAAAGTAGTATTTGTCCGGGTCCAGGCATGTAGGAAATGCAATCTAAAAAGTCCACTTAGGAGTTCGGTCTCTCCATAGTATTTCGCTCTTGCATGCTATAAGGATCTGAACAATAAGGATCTTGACGCCTGTGCTCAAGGAAGATTTCTTATAAGTACATACAATTTTTGGTTTCATTAGAGAACCATTTCTTCTTAAATTAGAGTATAGAAGCTTAGAAAAGCATCCGTAGAATAAACAGAAGTTGTAAGGTGAGCTGTGCATACCTCATTCACAATACTCAATTAAATGGGGAATTTCTATACATCAGCATTAAGAGGCTTGTTTCCTACTGTCACACTTAGTCACCTACTTGGACCTGAAGGGACACAACTTTGAAAAGTAAAAGAAATGCCTGCTTTGTAGGATGAAAAATTATTCTCCTTACGTTCATAATGTTGAGTCTATTTTCCAACATGAAGACTTACAATTCACACAGTAGAAAGATACTGTTCATTTTCAGCAAAGGACTTTGCACATAAAAAAGACTTAGCATCTCACATTTGGATTGTAATAAAAATCCTGATTTGACTGTTCAATTTCATATTTGAGTGTTGGTTACTCGGTAAATAGTTTACAAAACTTAGCTACCTGTCATGGGATACTGGCTCGTGAAGAAGGTGGCTATTGAAAAACTAAATCGACAGAAACTATACAAAATGATGGATTCTAATCTATGCTAATTGTTCATAGGTATATAGTCACCACTGGACCCTTGAATAAAATTTACAACAAAAATAAAATTACAAACAAACAATATTATATTTCACAATTTGGTAACCTTTTAAATTTTAATTACTATTTGCACTTGGCTGAGTATTCCTCATTTTTTGCCACAAATATATATTTATTTTAATCTCATAACTCCCCCGCCCGACGCAGTCTTGTTTTCAAAGCTTGCTCTACTTGGAGTAAGCTGCTTTTCCCCTGAGCAGAAGGTAATAGGTAAAAGGTAATAGGTGACAGGAACTCCCCGCAGGAGTTCTCAGGTCAGAAAGAGTTACAAAGGCACAAAGGCAAAGCATTCTTGAGGACTGGACTTTTAAAGTAAGTGCCCTTTTTGGTTACTTCCACTCTGACAAAAGGGACCGCAATTCCATTGACATTTGCTAATTTGGTGGATTGGTTTTGTATATTCCTAATTTTCAGATACATCAAGTGTATCAAGCTTCCTACAAATCTACTCTTACATTTTAAGAATCAAGCAATTTTTGTGGAAATGGCTGGGAAGATGCAAAGACGACTTATTGAACACCCCTCAAACTTCACCACTACTTGGTAGCCTGGAAACTTAAAAAATATATTTTATTGTAGGATAATATGACCACACATCTGAGATATCAGAGGCGAGTGAGTATTAAGACCAGAAGTTCGGTCCGAAACTAAAGAACACTATGATGATAATCTTTAAACCTATTGTATGCCTTTGGTGAATGGATTGTGTATTTTTATAGGTAAGCTCAATTTATTGGATCTCAAAAGCAAGTTTTTTACATAAAAGTATCTCAGCAAATTTTAAATGCCTATTTTGATTTTTTTCATCCTCCTGATTATAAACTGTACAGAACTTTAACAGAAAAGAAAAAAATGTATTTTATTTGATGGCCAATAAATTTTATGTGAGAGGAAAATTTTTAAAGAGAAAAGAAAATCTTGCCTTGTTTTCCTATTCCCATTAAGAGGAGAACTGATAAAGATTTTGTTTACTTGATGGGCCATTTTGATCCCATAAGTAAAACATGGGAATAGCAAATATTTAACCCCTTACCGATTTCACATTCCATCCTATCTCTTCAAAAGAAGCATCTTAGGCTTGGTTTCATGAAAAATAGTTTCAGAAAGGAATTTTGTGATCCCCGGGGGTTGAGGATCAGTAACAACAGGACCCGAACAGATCGAAGGACAAAGCTGATCCTTAAATGCTTTAATTATCTATTTCTTGATTACTTGCATATGAATATGGTCGTATACCTTTTGAAAAAATATGGTAAATAAATTCGGATTTTCGCTACCTTTTTTCACATTTTCCCACAATGTCTTTTTCTTTCGTCGCACACCAGACATGATGCAAGTAACAAAGTGAGACTGTCCTTTGATGGGCTATTACTTCAGTTATTGCATTCCATTAAAACTTACTCACACACATATGATTATAATGCAATAATGATATAATTAAACGATAATAACAAATGCAATTCTCTGGGTCAACAATTACTATTCACAGAAGAAGACCCATCAAACGAAAAACAAAACTGTAATTTTGGAGGCAACAATGCGACTTGGATATGTTACACTAAAAAATTCCACTTGAAATGGGACAGTTTTAATGGACTTAAGAAATAGAGGGGGGGGGGCATTAAAGAACCGTAAAACTTTGAAAACGATGTAGAAAATGAGAGAATCAAAAAACTTTGAAAAGATAGGATCCTTCTGACATAGGAATAAAAAGATGAAGTGTGACGCAAACTGGATAAATATGGAGGATTATAGAAATAAACCCAGTTAATCCATAGCACTATAAAGCTTAGCCTTGTTTATGGAGTGAAAAAGAACTTGTGTGTGTGAATACTATCAACTCAACTGTATCTTGGATGATCAATCAGTGTCAATTCCACCCAAAGTCAGACCTGGGTCTCACGTCATTCCTCCCTCCATTACTATTGACTATTGTTTTGGTGCGAAGACTTCTAAAGGATTGAGCAGTTCTTATTTTAAACCATTCATAAACTTACAATTAAATAGGCAGAGAGAAGATATAGCATGTATAAAGCCTAACTTAGTTCTATCCTCCATATTCCAATAGGAAATTATGTTCAGTTAGAGAGTAGGTACCTACTCCATTTTTTGAAAATGCCACTTTTCAATCCATTCAGTTTTCCTCCCAAGGAACTGCTATGTGTATATTGATGTGACGTTTTTTTTCTACTCATAATATAGTCAATATTACAAAATAGAAGCACACCTGTCTAATTGAATGGGATCCTCCTTGATAACTATCCTAAGGTAAGTGGGTGCTTCCAAGCAAGGTTTTAAAGTGCGCGTTAGTAAGTTGGCCCTTCAGAGTTAACTTCTCTCATTTAATTTTTTTCTTCTTAAAACTTTACGAGTATTAAATCTCAACCTCCACCAATAAAGTAGTAGTACGTTGAATTTTTTCTTTGACGCCAATTTTTTTTCTCTTTCCATAAATTTTACTTAAAAAAAGATAAAACATTTTTCTTTCTTGTGAGTACATTTTAACAATTTTTTTGAAGTTAGTACTACTAGAGTAATGTCGAAGATGTTATGAGCCTATTTTCCTCTCCACTTTAATTGAACGTACCTACACAATCTGATCTATCAGACGCGGATTGGAGCAACAAATTACTGCAGAACACTCGTCAGAATTCAACCTATCCAAGTTGAACTCGACAAATTTATGTTCAGCAACAACAACTCTGCCGTAGCACTTGTTATGAATTGTTAGTGATTGAATGAAGGTGTCTCTCTTCTTTGTTCCAGTTAAAAGTATGCAACAGCCCTGAGTATTGGTTGAAGGTCAATATCCCGGCCTCCTCCGTGATGGAATGGCAACAATCATTCGAATCTGTTTGACAGGTTGCAATACGTTTCTGAAACGTTTCTCTTTAAAATGACAATTCAATCAATACCTGAGAGTAAGAATCTTTAGAACCTGTACCCTGATTATTGAAAATTGTGTTTTCCTAGGAGATAAGACGACACTAATTTGAAATGAGGCTGTGTAATCGGTCCGCTATGTCCCATAGGTATCCGATTCTTTAACAGTTAGCCGTTTGAACTCTCTGTTTCAAAATGCTAACCAGACTAACCTTAAAAATATCCTCATCATCACTACTTCTTAACGTAACTGTTTTCACAGCTTACCAAAAACCAATAGGACACCTCTAAAATAGCCATAGAGGCTGCTAAAGGCACCTTCTTCCAGCCTGATGACCAGTCAATTGCTCAGCCCAATGAGCGATTACCATGGACGCCCAAATTACACAGACGACTGATCACATAGCTTTATTTCACCTGAGTCTTGTCTTGTCTACCAGACTAGGTAACACAAAATTTCAATTATTAGGCTGCTGAACAGTAAAAATCCAAAGCTGAGAATGCAAGGCCTAAAGGATGCCGGATCCTAAGACAATGCAGAGACATGTCTGACAGACTTTTTTCTACCACAGCGTCCTTTCCAAACTTTCTTCCACTAGATTCTATAGAAAAATATTTTTCGGAAATAGAGAGAGAGGAGTCCTCAGTAAAGTTTATAGTAAGAACTTGCCAAAGGGTAGCTGCTTCGTTAATATGAGTAAAAGTAAGGAAGTACGTAATGATACTTACAGATGCGGAGGCTATCCAAAGATTTATTATTGGCACAGAACAAAAGAAACCTCAAGATTGCTTCGAGATAATTGCTTCACTTTGAGATATTACTCCCCTACAGACTTCAGCTACCTATCAACACAGAATGACAGAATCAACATTAAAATGATGAAAACACAGTCACATAAGGACAACAGTCCAGTTTGGAGGTAATTTGCAGGTGTACATAATATAATGAAAATATCATCACAAGCATATGTACCTAAATTCGGCTAGTTATCAGGATAACGAAGAATAAGTAGATAAAGCTTTGCATGAAAAATTAGATTACACACAAGCAACAGGTAAGCAATCAGATTTGTAGCCTTGCAGTGATCATTTGGAGGAAATATATTGTGATGCGATACTTCCAGAGCTCAGCATCAAGCTGGTGCTTGAAGGTTCCATGATTTCTCAAGGACTGCAGGAGCAGTACTTATTCATTACAGATATTAATTACAAAGGTGAAATTAAGACATAGAACTATAAGTACATAAGATTAAAGATGTGACATTGAAGAGACATTTACTGAAATGGAGCGAAGTTTAAAACAATCAGTTGACTGGGCCTTGACTGTGGATGTGCACTTTCAGATTGATTGGTTAGCAAGGTAAAAAAAATTCTACCTGCCACTTCCAAATTGGCAATTCCTTTGAGGACTTCAGACGTGAAATATGGTGCGACGATATGCGAACATCGTTAAATACGATAGTTAATCATGTGAAGATGAAATACTCACAGGGTGGACAAGGTTCTCCGAAAATGAAATATACTTAGTGATAAGGACGTAAATTTGAGGCACAAAAATAAATAAATGTAGGGAGAAACGAGATGGCACCGAACTGGAAACAGCTGCAGCTGAGGTAGGGAAAATTTCAGGGGAACATTGATCAGTTGCTAGATAGTGATAACAAATTACCTAATTATTTTTGTGTAATCATAAAAATTGAATAATGTTAAAAATATATTTTTTACAACATTTTGGCAACTACCTCAGGTCCAGGTCATTTTGATGCCAACCCTCCAAAATGAGTGCACAGATAAAACTCCCTGCTATTATTCTTGAAATTTCGCCAATTGTTAGGGTTGTGTTATCAGTAGCTAAATTATTTTGGCGAGTAAATTAACCTGTTGGATTCCATTTTCCACACAGTCTTTGTCAATTATTTCTCTTTTTCACTACTTATTGAAAACCAGAGATTTTTCCTATTCTGTTTTTAGACAAACTGGTTTATTCCTGTGATAAGAGCCCGCGAACTTTCGGGGCCAATCAAACGCGTCAAACAGGCGGATCAAGGTGATCATTGACCAATCTGATGAGAGTGACTGCCTCGCCATCAAGTGCTTATCCTTATCAATTTTAACAGATGTTGTTTTTGTTTTGATAGGTATGTGTCGTGATTCTTGAAAACACTGAACATAGAACAACTTTTATCATCATAAAATCATGTGACATTACTTCAACCGCAGTGATTTTTACTTGTGCTTGTTGTAGTGCTTAGAACATGATCCACTTGAGTCTTCCATAGCTATCCTTCTAGTCAAAAACCTTTATAACACCCTTGTTTCACAAAAAATACAAATTTGCCTTTTGCCATGGGTTCCGCCAAGGTTTGTGTTCTTGGAGCTGGGATTGTCGGTTTGAACACAGCCCTTCTCCTTCAAAAGGAATATCCAGAGCTACGCATCACACTGATTGCAGATAAAATAAATGAGGAAACAACTAGTGATGGAGCAGCCGGTATTTTTAGACCAGGCACCAGTTTCCAAGGACCATCAGAGGAAATCACCAAGTAAGAGTTGCAAGTTTTTCACCACAACCTAATGTTTACCAAGCAGGTGTTGAAAATCACTTTGAGTTCACCCAGGGTTTGTCAGAGTGAATGGTAAGTGAATGGCGAAGCTTTCCTGAAGCAAGCGGGTTGTAAGCACTGCCATTTTAGCGCCATTTAAGGCGATTAAAGTCAGACTCTCGGCAAACTGTTGTGCAACACATTATATTGATTCAGTATTAAATAAAAAGGAGGGAATTAAAACATGGGTAAACAAGGCCAAAATATGCAAAACACTAAAGGGCAGGACGTTTCAAGCTGTTACCAGCTTATTTTCAGCTGCAAAAAACACAAAATAGGAGTACCGGACAAAACAGCCTCATAATGTGACTTCATCGCGCGGCGCTCCAGAACATTGCGACTCTATTGTACTCAATGTTTTCAACCAAAAAATTTCAACGATGAAGACCTTAACACTTAAATTTTCTAAACTTGTTCCTCATATTTTTACTTTGTTATTCTATGCATTTTTTTATTCCAAGTATACTATGCCTACCAGTATCAATCAAATGGAACTGCAGCTTATGTTATACAATGGCCGCGATAATTGGTACCATTTTAATTGTTCATTGAATCATGCACTCTCAAGCAATCAAATTTTATGCTGCTGTTCGTCGCAACTTTGTGGTCTCTATTTTTCCCCCTCCTTCTTGGTACTCAGACTTTGCCTTGAATTGCTCAGGATAGGAGCAAGAGCCTGAAAAATCGTCCGAAACCAAAAACATTGGCAAAATTCAGAGAACTGGAAGCAGAATCCCTTTTGGAAAGAAACCTCACATTTGGTACAGAAATCGATGGTGAGGTTTCTTTCCATAATGGATTCTGCTTTCATTTCTCTGACTTTGCCAATTTTTTGGTGTAAAATGATCTTTTAGGCTTATGCCCAGGGGCTATCATACTTTTTTAGGCTTAGAATTCAAAATCTGCCAAGACTTTTTACATAATCGTGGTGATATTTCGCATGCCAGTGAGTTCATGAGACCCCTCAAAGACCAAATTTAGGATCATCCTATTACAAAAAGGAGCACAACAAGTGGACTACATTTTGCAATTTGGAACTATAAATTCTAGCCCGGTTTAAAAATAGCGTATGTGCCATTAGTTTCCCTATGCACTTACGTGTTTTTTCAGAAGAGCCAGAGTTTATAGTTACAAATTGCAAAATGCTGTCCAAATATGAGCGATCGTTTTAATGCTACAGAAACACTTTTTTCACCTCACCAATCTAATTAAGTGTGTCTGCGCAGCAGTGTAGAGTTGCTGTTTCATTTTATTTATTGGAGCTTAAGTATATTTTGTCCACAAAAAAAACGAAGTTCTATTGGACCGAACTTGTTGATGGGAATAAAAATCAACCTCTTGATTGCTTTTATCTCAAAATAAATTTGCCTAGAAGTACTGTGGCTGCACCTAGCACTTCAACCATCCAATGAGGTCATTTCAACCTCAGGTCAAATTTAAAAGCTGCAAACATGGTTGCCCGGTTGTACTCTAAACTCTCAGAATTTTTTTTTTTTTCGAAAGAACTCCCAAATAAATATCCTGTTTGATTTATAAAAAATATATATATATGTATTTGATTTATTTATTTTTAATTTTTTTTTATTTTTTTTTTAAAAATCAATTTCTAGTCAATGGATCATAGACTCTTATAAGCACTATGAAAGTCTTTTGGATGACTATGATGCTGGTGTTTCGGAGCTATCTGGTTTCATTTTCTCTGACACGGATGAAACAATCACTAAGGTTGGTATAAAATGTCAATTTTTGCTGAAAGTCAGTTTGATGAAGTGTTAGAAGCTCAACAATTTTAACCTGAGATTTTGATTAGCCATCAATGAGATATAACTGAAGCTATCAATTCATAAAAACAAGATGAATGGTGTCAGAGGAATTCTGTTTTTATGTGCAATAAAAATCAATCAATGCGATGGTTTGCAGCTCATAATGTTCACCCCATTGATAATTGGTCATGGCAGAAAATTGCCAAAATTTCTCTCGTACGAATCAACGCTGCAACAAATCTCCCATTAAAGACACTTCTGATGCGTGGATTCTAATTTGTGGAACTAAATTTCAAATTTGTTGATCCTTCTTTTTTTCAGAATCATTTCTTAGAAAATTTAGTCCCGGAGTATCGAGAGGCTAGTGGGGAAGAACTCACTGTCAACTCAAAGACATGGAAGTACGGTGCTTACTTCACAACATTATTGATTAACAGCTCCTATTATCTACCATGGGCACTCAAAAAGTAAGAGATCTGACCTAGGTATTTATTTATTGTGTATGAGATTTTTTTACAAAGGGGAAACCCAAAACAACATGACATCCTTTGCCCTGGCCGTGTAACAAAAAGGACAAACTAAGTAGACATTTTTTGTTTAGTACCACTTTTAGAGTACCATTAATATTTATTTATTGTGTATGAGATTTTTTTACAAAGGGGAAACCCAAAACAACATGACATCCTTTGCCCTGGCCGTATAACAAAAAGGACGAACTAAGTAGACATTTTTATTTTTTTGTTTAGTACCACCTTTAGAGTACCATTAATATTCCAATGTTCTGGTTCAATTATAAGAAAAGTAATCAAGTTAAATCTATAAGTGACTGAAAAAAATTGCCAGGATTTTTCCAATTTCACAGGTTAAAAAATTAATTTTGAATTGCTATCACTACTCAGCAGTTTACTTCTGTTTTTAGAGAAGAAAGTTGTCTCTTTTCTCTTGTAGCTATTGCTGGATTTTAGGGGGTGGCAAGGTCTGGAAAAGATTAGGTTCTTGGTAATAAAATCGTAAATTTGCCCAAATGTTGGGCATCAGAAATGTTGAATTTAATTGAAATTACAATTCCTACGTCGCAGCCAAATATGTAAAAGGAAAAAAAAATCTGACAAATCGTAGGGAGGCAGTCAGGGAAGTGGCTTGGTTTTGAAGCAAAAAAATAATTACCTAATCATTCTCTCTGGGATTGATACAGTTATTAAATTGAATCCCTGATTCCATTATTTCTTAAAGTATATTTATATTCCTCAGATTCACAAAGCAAAATGGAATACTCTTAAAGAAATCAATAAACAGCTTTCAAGAACTTGAAAATGATTACAATATTATTTTCAACTGCTGTGGTCTTGGAGCCAAGAAGCTCTGCGGTGATAAAAAAGTTGTACCAATCCGAGGACAAGTTATCAAGGTAGTATTTTATTTACTCTTTAAGTATTTTGAGCTTATTTTTCAACTTGCAACTAACATTTTGTTGAAACTTTATCTTGCAAGGTATCTTTTGCTAAATTCAGTGATCTTTTAATAGTAAAATATCAATATAATTTTAACTTTAAAATGAAGTATTCAGGTTTTAAAATTTTTACTTACAAAGGACTTACTTTTTTTAATGTTATTTTGCTTTTCTCATTTAAGCTGCAAAATGTTCTCCAAATATGTTGTCAGGTTTTTGCTCCATGGCTGAAAAATTTTTATTACTCTGAGTATGATACGTACATTTTGCCAAGCAACCGAGATGGAGTTGTTACTTTAGGAGGCTGTCGTCAGTACGAGAGCTACTCAGTTGCTGTGTCACGCCATGATACTGCTGCCATCTTGGAGAGATGCTATGAATTACTCCCAGCACTGAAAGATGCACCAATTTTGCGTGAGTGGGTTGGACTCAGACCCCACCGATCAGAAGTCAGAGTGGAAGCAGAGAAAATTGGCAAATTATTGGTGAGAGACTGCTCTTCTTCTTTACGGAGCACAGAATTCTAAACTAATGATGAATCTTTCAATTTACGTGATTCATTCTGGTGAAAAAGAAAACCAAAGACTTTGCTAGTAGATCGTTGTTTTAAGAAAAGCGCCTTTCAATTATGTATGCATTTTTTTTCTTATTCTCGACTTGTTTTTGTGAAAGGTTATTTTGATATATAAAAGCACCTAAAATAAAAGTGCTAAATAGTATATAGGGGTCTAACACATCAATGGCAAAACTGTAGGAAAGTGTATCTCAGTTTGATGTTGCAGAATTCCTATCATATTTTTTGATTTATTGGAATAATACTTAGCGTTGCTTCTTGAAAATCACCCTAATTTTTCTTCTGCGTGAAAAATGTTCTGAAAAAATTTTAAGCAATATTGTTATTAGTTCTTTGATGAAATGAAGTGGGATTGGACATTTTTGAAACAAGGGATATGTATTTTCCTGCAGTTTCACCATCCACATGTGGTATACACAGATACTTAAAAAAGCATACTGCCCGCTCTTTTACTGGTAATCGTTCTCCCAAGAATTATTTTAGCTTTATTTAAATGAAACTCTTTTTAAACAGGTTATAAATTAGGAGGATGAGATATTTGCCTGCCCATGATAAGTGGACAGCATCAATTGATAGGCCGCACCCCGTGTGCTGCTGGACTTGGAATAAAAAGGAAATTGTATGAATGAAGACTTCAACATGTTGTATTACACAGAAAGAGATATTGCGCATGATCTCATTTAATTTTAATACTTGTTACCCTTTGCCCTCTTAAGCAGAATTTGCATAACTCTTATTGCTAAATCTAATTTTATGCTGTTCATTTTGTAGTTTTTCAATCTTTTTCATAGGTTATCCATAATTATGGGCATGGAGGATATGGAGTGACAGCAGCACCAGGCACAGCTAAATTTGCTGTTGACATCCTCAAAGATATAAGTTTTCTCCCATCAGCAAAACTTTGATTGAACTTGGGTCTTCTTTTGGAAAAAAAGTAAAGGCATGTTGTCTTCGACTTGGAATTCAAGTAATTAAAGATATTTTCCTCGTACAGAAAATGGTTGCAACTGTGAGTAATTTTATTCTTCTTTTTAATTCTGACCCCCAATAGTTATTTCCCTTTGTCATTTTCTTCTTTCTTTTAAATATTATACGCATGCTTTATTTTATAAGTTTCTTGTTTTCTTTTTCCTAAGAAAGTATACGAAAAATTTTCTTGAAATTTGTTTTTATATTGAGGTGCAGAAAATTATTTTCTCCAATTTCTGTGGAATATTATAAAAAACGACCAATATTTACCAACAGAACATGTAAATTATCTTTAAACTTGTCTTAGGGTATAATATTAAAAAGTATAAAAATGTTCGAATATTAACAATCAAAATTTCATTTTAAAAAAATCGAAGTTTTTGAAGGGGTTTTCATGTTCCTTTTGAGTGTGTGATTGCTCAATATTTTCAATTCCTGCTATTTTCAAGGTGACACTGTTTTTTATAGTGCTTGCCTCTATGACAGCCCTAAGTAAAATGTGTCCTCATTCATTCTCGAGCTTATTTCTCTTAATTAAAATGTGTTACTCTAACTTCATGTAGCATTCATGATAAAGCCAAGGTACCTCCCTCTGGAAGCATGGGCAATGATGTTTTCCAGTGAAACACTATCAATCAAAAAATAGTCTAACTTTATCTGTGGTAAATACTAGGATTTAACCATGCTACTAACAAGTTCTATCCTACTCCTGAAAAAGATATTTTTAAACTTGCATGCAATCCTAATGTGAACTGAAACTGAAAAGTTTGAAAGATTGAACTGAATAAAAAATTGGGCCAATACCTCGACAGAGAAGATCTAGAAGATAAATTATGTATATAGAATATTTGAGATGCATCTCTGCTTTCCTGATAAAAATTACCGAGTAAATATTTGTAAACGAAAATAAAAATCCCAACCTGGATTACAAAAATTAGGTACTTCCTGTTTCGTTTTAAGTATCCCCTCTTTATGAAAGACAAAGATATTGAGAAAGAAAAAAAAATCATTTATGTAGTTCGATGCTGACATTTGCGATCAAGTTACATTGAAGGGAAAGGTATATGTCCCATGAATTTATTACGCTAGAGCCAGCATTTACAATTGAGCCACGGGGTGCAAGAAGAGCACTTCTTGATTGCTGTGAGAAGCTCCGTCCCTAATACATGTCCTAGAAAAGAATCTGATAGAAGATTTTTCCGAAATTTTTTCTGTAGAACATCTTGGAATCATAAAGTATATGGGGTAAAAATCTCAATAAAATGCTTGCATTTACTTTCTGCACAATGAATAAAATATTAGCGGATATTCTAAAACACCTGTCTCTGTTGCTTCCAGTACTGCAATATCTTTATTTTGTAGAAGGGGCAGGTATTGAGGAAAGCCTTTTGTTTATTTTGCTTTAAAATCTAAAATTAGGGTATACTCATTTCGTCAAATTTGATATTTTGATGTTTATAATCCATGCTCTTTGAACACAAACTTGACAATTAGTATTTTCGAATAATGAATGGAACTCAAAAATAAATGTTGAAATTTTTGAGACCTCTCTTATATTCCACACTCTCTCTCTCTTCCTCACATTTGACACTCTAAGGCTTACACATTTTTCATAGCCCATTAGAAAGTGTTGGGGGAGGAGAAAGGAATCTTGCCCCTCCTTCAAGATTTTCCTCCTATGATCAGTACGTATAGAGGTGTAAATAGAGAACCTTACTATGATCTAGGTTGAATTTTCTATAAATCGAGTACATTTGTATGTGAGACTTAGTTGAAGTTCAAGGACTTTGGCTGTGCAGTACAAGTGAAAGTCACCAAAGTGATAAAAAACAATCGAAAATGATTCAGGTCAAAGGTTGCAGTGTGCTTTTGATAAGTTTGTTTTTATTACATTCATGGGTTTGCTGCTTTTGGGAAGGGAACTGTGCTAAAGTTCATCCATGAATAATCAGTTGATGTTGAATGCTGTGCTGGGTCGCTCAGTGGTTTCATAATACCCAGTAGTAATTTATCTCTGCCAAATTTGTGCCGGCTGAAATAGCTTCGATACTTTCAAAAATTCTGTGTTATCATAGATATTACTGGTAAGATGTAATAATTTTGGAGAGCAATTTAGTCTGTTCTCCTCTTTATATCCAATTCTTTAATAGTAAGTCTTTAATTATTTTGCGAGAACGTTTCAAAAATATACCCAGAAACTTTGAAAATATCACAGAATCCTCGAATATTCAGAGAAACGAAGGACACAAAGGAATTCCATTGAAACTATTTCTCCTCAGCTTTCAGGAATAAATATTCACTACCAAAATTTGAATTAAACCAGAAAGAGTAACGTGTTTGTGAATATTTCTTTTCATAGAACTCCCAAACACATGCTTAGCACCAATTTTGAAAAAATAATGCCTGATGAAGGAGCTTTTGATCTTATTTGGTAAATACCTAACCGTCCTTTTTTCAATATTGACTTCCTAAAATATTGGCACCTGAAAAGACCCCCCTAAGTATTAAATATTAATATTCACTCTCTTAAATATTATTCAAGCTAAAAACAGTTTTTATAGGTATCTAAGTAGAAAAGAAAAGTAAGTCGTTTGTAATTGAAAATTGATCCAGTAGCTTAAATTTAGCTTATATCGGAGAAGTAATATTAATTTACATCTTATATTTTATCATTTAGAGTGTCTAATGAACGAGAGTAGATTTAAAGCACATTGCAGATCAGAGACAGAGATGTGAATAAGGACACAGACAAGTGAATAATTTTTAACTTCAAATCATACTTCCTATATTATATATCTTAGGTTTAATTTGAAAACAGGCTGTACCTGTTTTAATTTTTTTTTTTTGTAATATTTTTCATTAAATATTTTGGTCTATAAGAGAATGTTGTATCTCATTTTGTTCATTTTGTGTGGAGCTCCTAAGATGGCTCTCAGAATCAACCACTGTACTCTCAAGTTTCACATGAGTGCATTTAGATAATATCTCTGAAGTGCGCAATGTAAATGAAGACAGTACCTAGCTTCCAAATTTATGTTTCAAAGTCGTAATGCAAAGTTAAATGAACTTCATCAAAACAAGCTTGAACGGTTACAGGAGTTCAACAGCTCCTCGTTGATCAGTGCACTTGCACTTGGTTCAGTTGAACTGCATTCTGCACTTAGGAACTCCTTTTTCTGGCTTATCCATGAAAGCACCTTGCACCCTATCAGCATAGGGGTGTCAATGACACATGTGTTTTTTTCTAAAATGAGTCAGAAATAATAGCCTTTTATTGCAAAATGTCACCCATTTTACAAGATACATGTTAATCACCTTTTAAAGAGAGTCTAAGCAGCCCAGACAAAAAAAAAAAAATAATGCAAAATGTCAAACATAATTAAATGGCTTTAACCAAGATCAGCCTACCCGTATTCAACATGAATTTTTCCAATTAAATTTTTTAAAATTCGTGGAAAGTTCACAAAAAATTTCAAAGAAGCATGTCTTTAAGGTTTATAATAAAAAATAAGACACAAAAGAAAATTAGGCAGTCTTTAATTCTGTTGGGTTGTCTTTGATTAGAAGCGTCCAATTGAAGTATTGTAATATGTAACTACCTATTAACTATTTTTGTTTATTTTTATGAGGATTAGTGAATGGTTGTTTTTTTATATTAATTATATGGTTTCTTCAATTTCGAGATCAATTGCTCCGAAAATAAAAAAGAATGCAAAATTAACAGATAAATCCAATGTGAACCAATGTGACTAAGAAGAGAGTTTCATTATTTGTGAAGGAAAAGATTTCTTTGGAGTACCATATGTCTCCAAGAATTTTGCCCACTACTTTTGATCAGCTAGAACTCTGGTTTTATTTTAATATCTTTAATTTAAATTGTTGCCAAAATAGTCTTTGCAACAATATTAGAAGATAATCTCTGGAGTTGAAGATGATTTTTAAATCTTAATTGAGTATTATTATTCTGTGCAAGTTGTTCATCAGTAAAATTTTACCATTTCTCTCTAGGTACAGTCCAGTACTTTATCTCACCCCTTTGTCATGTTAGAAAGTTCTTAATCTATCCAAGATAATTAATTGAATAAAATTCTCATATATTTTTATCACCAGCCTTGCCAAATTTTCTCGTCTTTTACTTAAACATGTATTTTGATCACTATGCTAGGTATTGATAACCACTTCATGAAAGAACTTTCTGGATGCAAATTTATTTAATCTTTCATTTATTTTTTATTTTTACGACTCTTCTCATTTTCGGCAGATTGCTCGTTTTTTATTTTCTGATCTTTTAACCTTGCTGGGTTCTCTTTTTCTGTATATTGTAATGGCAATGCTCTATTATAAAATATTAAGCTCATGCCACAAGCACACTCACAAATGAACACTCGCAAAGTTCTTTCCTGTACCTTGAAAATAGTCTCCTCTGCCATCCTCCATGGTCGAAACTTATATGTATGAATGTGTGCAATATTAGCTCTAAGCCAAATCAATGCAGAATTAATTTTCTCAGAGTTTCAATGACAGCTATCTTATCATTAAATTTTACATTTTAACTTCAAGAAACTTATTGTCGATACAAGAAGGATATTTATAGTCCCAGTTATTTATCTTTGCAGACATTTTCCTGCCAGCTTGAGTCATGTCTGATCTTCGGATAGGAATCATTGGTGCTGGAATTGTTGGGTTAAATACTGCTTTGGAAGTGAGGCGTGTACTACCAGATGCAGATGTCACCATCTTGGCGGAACTTTTCAATGATGAAACAACCAGCGATGGTGCTGCTGGCCTCGTTGAGATAAGCACATCATTTCGTGGACCCTCTCTTGACATTACTAGGTGTGTTCAGTTTAATTGTGTTTTACCCAAAAATCATTATCAAGATGTTTACGAAAGCTCAGACTTACATTACAAATATGTATCAGCTAGTCTCTCAACCATCACTTAAACTCGACAAACAAAGTATTGCTTAATTTTTTTTAAGGGGTATAGACCTGTTTTACGAGTGTGTTAGGAGTGCAAAATTTACCAGGCTTCCACATTTTTATGCCTTTTGGCCTCCTAAAACATTTCCCACCAATTTCGAAAGTGGGGACCTTTTTTGTCATGCTGATACGGACAGATATAACCACAGTCAACCTAACTCTCTTGGATGTTGCCTAATTTCCTTTTATCATTAATTTTAAGGAACTAACTAAACAATATTCTGCCTTAAAATTATGTGAGAATATTCTTCTTAATCTGGGGGTAATTCATGTACTAATACATGCTGAGAGTAAATTATGAAAAGTATAATACAGATAGGCTGACTTTTGTTAATACTGTTCAGCTATTTTACAAATTACTACTTACGTTAGCTTTCCAAATAACTGTCAAAATATTATTTTAATCCTTACTTAATCAAGAGCACCTAGTATTATGAATTGGCATTTTTGCAGGTCAAGCATCTTTTCCTAAAATATATTCTTCTTTTTCAATTTAGGCAATGGGTCAAAGACTCTCATGATTTTTACAATAGCCTGAAGTCCAATCCAGATGCCGGTATTGCACCAATCACTGGATTCTATCTTGCGCAGGAGAATCCTGATCTTGTCAAAGTAAGTGACAAAAATTATCTTTATACCCACTGCAAAAATCCAATAAAAAAATCTGAAGACACACAATTTTAATATTTTATTCATCTAAAGATTTATTAGAAACTTTATTGTGCTGTGTCAATACATTTTGTGATAGCAAAAACTAGGCTTTTGAACCCTTTCCTCCTTCCTTACCACGCACGCATCACGCAGGTGAAAATATAAAAGATATACATAACTCAAAAATAAAAGAACTGATGGAATGCTCAATTTTTCTTTAACAATCTCAATTTTCTAAAATTACTGAATTCATGTACAATAATCTGGCCTGTTTTTCAGAACCCATATCTAAATGGTATCCTCCCTGTTTTTCGACCTGCCAATCAGGATGAGCTCAAAGACCTTGGAGCCTACCGTTTTGCCACCTATATGTCAACTCTTGTTGTCACCTGCAGAATGTATTTACCGTGGGCTTTAGGAAGGTAAGTTTCCAGACAAAAATGAAATATCATTTGGACCGAGTTTAATAGAGACGCATCAAGTTTGACCTGAGAAAAAAAATCTGTAGTTTTGATCCTCCATAAGACTTAATGTGGCGACAAATATTTTTGCTCAACCTTAAATTTTTGACACGGGAAACTTTACGACTGGTTAAATTCAATACTACTCCTAACTTTCTCTTTTCCTTAATGCAACTTGGTGCGTTTTTGCTAAACTTGGTACTTTTGTCTAGAAAACGAAATAGGTTAGCATAAGTAATATAATCAAATATAGTGGGTAAATTATGCTCTGAATACGGTAGTTTCACTCTCATCGTTTGACATTATAATACCAGGATGGGCGAACGGAACACCTGGCTTATCGCAACTTAATTTTTGAGTCACAATTTTTCAGTTTGGACTGTTGTGCCATGCAGCGAAAGGATGTGTGGGGTATCAAGACTCCCACCCCCTAAGCAGTGACAGGGGCCGAGTTGAGATTCTCAAATAGCTTCTGCTATCTTATGATACATTGTTAGAAAAGTAGAAAAATCCAAGACTTTGNGGGGGGGGGGGGGACCTGCTGGTGTCAATCTAACACTGTTTCAAAATAGTGACTTCTCAAAGTTTTGAAATTTTCAACTTGATTGAACTCTCATTTTTAAACACAGGCAGATAGAGACCTGAGGTTCTTGCCAAAAGTTTCAAATTTGTTTGCTCTTTTCAGTGATGCATCATGAGATCGAGTTGTCTAAAAAAAAATTGTGCCCTTAAACGCATGGTGCCAGGATACCCCTTCCCCTCCCCACTCCCTGTAATTAAGTCTCTGTCTTACAGAACCCCAATTTTATGATATGTTGTAGATATCATACAAATCCAAGACTTTTTGTACGAACTGCAGGTCTTCATCTATCTCTGTTTCACAATGGCAGCTGGATATAGTTAAACATTTCAAAACCTGATGTTGACCTGGTGATGCATTGAGACTTGCGGTTCTTTGCAATAATCTCAGACCTTTCTTGCTCTTTCCAACAGTGTTTGAGGAAGAGGGTTGCCATTTGGAAATCTCAACTTGACCCTTGCCCGCTTATACTGAATCTAACAAATATTGTAGGAATGTTCTATTATTGCAGTTTTTGAAAATTTTTTGAATGTTCTGAGGATATTTTTTGCCATTTGAGGTTCTTACAAACAACTCTATTTTTGTTTTGTACACTAAATTTTTACTCACCTAAATTCTGTCATCGTTACTAATTTGTTACAGACTTCGAGATGCAGGAGTTTTCATAAAGAAGACGAAAGTTAATAGTCTCTATGATATTGAGGATGACTATGATATAGTTTTCAATTGCACTGGCCTGGGTGCAAGACGTCTCTGTGAAGATATTGGTGTTGTACCAATTAGAGGCCAAGTTGTAAAGGTAACTCAGTCTTTTCTTTACAAAATTATCTTCCATGATATTGTTTCTTTTTCTTGTATTCATGAACTCTTAGGAAAGCTAAGGCCAAATTTTTATGATCTAATCTAATCACCGATGTTGCTCAAGGAAGAAATGAAATTTATTTTAACAGTGCAATATGGCCGTAGGAAAATAAAAATTGCACAGGAAGCTGGGTGAAGGCTTAAATGCTATGTTATTTTCACGTTTTCTGTACCCATCTACATAATGAGCAATATCAATCGGGTGGAAAGTCAGATATAGTTTCTTTCAATCTCATTTGGTTATGTGAAATTTCATCCGATTTTATTGAATACAATTTTTGATCACGTTAATAAATGGCTTCAAGTTCCAAGTAATTAGCCAAACTTTTACCACCAAAATTTAAGAGTTCACTCACAGACCAAGAATTTTCATAGCAGTTCATAGAGCTTTAGGCAGGGGTGCAATAATTGTTCAACCTCCAAACCATGATTCCAACCCTCAATTTTACTGAAAGTTTGGCAACATTCTTAGGCTTTGAAGTAATTTTAAGTAATTTGTATATTTTTCTCCATAGGGTCAACCTTTTTTGGCTCCCTTGTTTTATCAATCCTATCAATTTGATAAATTGAGACACCTTGGATTTTTTTTGGTGGAAAAAACTATATAATACAAAACAGTTGGCGCTTTGGAATTTTTTGCTCGCCCAACTACAGGAATGAATTGATGAGAAACACTTTTTTGTTTAACTATTTGTTCCCAACAGTTTTGTCGTTAAAGTTATCTTAGTAAGTTGCCGAACTGCCCATGTCAGACCTTAATTAATTTATCATGAAGTGAATTAATTCAAAATTAAACACGGAGGCTCTTAAAAACTGTGTGAATGAAAAAAAGAAAATTGAGTTTTGTAATTTACAGTGTGTTACTTCTGATAGTCAGCTACAGTGACTTTTTTTACTGCCTGTTCGCTTATTTTTCAATTAATTTTTTCCCCTCATTTATCCTGCATTTGATTGTCCAGAGGAAACAGGAAAATTAAAAATTGGGATTTTGCATCGTGTCCTAGTTTATAACAAATTCTTGTGATGAAGCAAAATTTAACTACCCCTTTGTTCCGTAGGTGCGTGCTCCTTTTGTGCAGAAGTTTTTTATGAACAATGAAAATGGCAGTTACATCATTCCATCAATGCAATCCGGTTTGGTAACGCTTGGAGGAACTCAAGATTTTGGCCACTGGTCACAATCAACATCAGAATATAATACTCACTCAATTTTTGATCGTTGCCGAGACATGATGCCCACATTGGAGTCAGCAACTGTGGAATGGCATTGGGTAGGACTCAGACCATACCGCCATCAAGTGAGGACAGAATTGGAAAAAATCGGAAATTTACTCGTAAGTCACATACACATTATTTCGCTATCATTTTTAGTTCAACGGATCGGGGTATTCAAAAGACGTACTCTCGGCCTAGGCCAGCAGTTGTAAATTAAGTCAAATCAATTCTTTACCTTCTGGCTAAAGTATCACAAGCGCCGTTTAGGCATTTAAGCTATGTTGCCGGAAATCTCAATATTGTATTCATCTCATCTTTTAAACTTTTGCTCATACTTTCATGAAAATTTCAAGGATTAATCTTGATGACAAAAGAAATATTAAGAAATATTTTCAAAGGACCGTCTATCTTTTTTTCTGTAAGAAATTGGATAACTTCGAGAAGCCTAACAACACAGTGCTTCAGCACAAATGGCGCAACTTGCGATACTTCGGCTGGAAGGTGACGTATTCACCTTTATAATATTTTTTTTTACGATTTTGACATTTATTAAATATGAATTAGCTTTCAAGTGACCTATGAAAGTTAGGAACTGACGATTAAAATATGAACAAAGCAAAAAGTTAAGATCAATTTTAGGGAAATCCAATTAAATTTTAGGGATGTGGATGGCTGTTTTGAGAATTTTGCTCCAGTATGGGAGAAAAACCAGATGATGTCTTCTCTTCTGCAAATAGTGGCGAGCAGTCTTTTAGAAGTTAGTTCAAGTCACAGTTTTTATTACCTCCATCAAATAGTGCCACTTACCCTCTCCAATCGTAAGTTAGGGAAGGCGTCTTGCATGCAACTGGTCACTTTCCTGAAAAAAGCCTGTGTTCTATTCAAAGATTAAGATATACACTGTAAACCTGTTACTACGGAGGAGTGTTACTACACTCCAGAGTGTGCAGAATTCATAAATCAGTTCATTGGGGGAAAAAGGCTTAAGGGATACGCTTTGTCTTCCTACGTTTTCAGTTTTTATAATATTCTCTTGGGGTTAAAATTTATTAGTGAAGTGGACAGACTTTCTTTTGCTCAGAAATCAACGATTATTCTTTCCTACTTTTTTTGCTTACATTTTCTCTCTGGATGCTTCAACTAAAATACCTATCATTTTATTTTTTTTCTTTCTTGTCCATGCGTACTTCAATGTATGGCTGTACCACAAAAAGGCACCTTTTTTCCCTCAAAATTCTTGTAATGGTCTTCATTTTATTAAACATAATTTACAGGATTGACCATTTTGTAATTTACAGGTTGTTCATAACTATGGCCATGGTGGATATGGAATTGCCACATCTCCCGGCACAGCCAAATACGTTGTGAAGATGCTTCAGAACTTACTCAAGTCTCATCCGTCCAAGTCCATCAAAGAAATCATCTCACAAGTTCCCTTGAATAATTAAACCAAATGAGTATGCACATCAAGACAGGGTAAAAAAAACTCTTTGAGGACCGATGTAATTTTCAGCTTTCAATCCAAATTCCAGATTGTAAGGTGCAACTGTCTCTACGGCATAACTTTAATGGTTCCTTCAAATTTCTAAAAAAAATTTAAAACTAGAAAATGTTTTAACTTTGTGTCTCTCACACGAAAAGCTTTTCGTTTTCCACATTTCTTAAGTATCATTGGAATCATCTCACTGATATCAAATATCCTTGTTCCTTGTTCTTGTTTTTTTTTTTTTTTTTTTTTTTTTTTTTTTTTCAACTAGGCAGGAGCTTACTTTATCGTGACAAATTCGAAGAGATAGATATAACTTGTTTTTAAATTGAAAAGTATGGTATTTATGAGATGTGTAAAATGCTGCAAATCGAGGTTCATGTTTCCTAAGTTTAGCCATTTTTATTCTTCTTTTCTTTATTGGGTTTATGATGACAATCATATTGACTTTAATGAACCTCAAGCATTCATGTCTGTGTGGGCAAATAAATCCAAAATTTTTGGTTTAGACTTTGCTTTTGTAACTTAACACTTTTAAGTGCCAGCCTAATTTCGAAATAAATTTAATTTATCCATACAACAGGATTTTGATTTGTTGATATCCTCAAGGAAGTTTGCTTTGGAAATTTTTAAGTCTTACCTAATCTCACCCTGCCTCTGTATATAGTTTAATGATAAATATTTGATTCATTTGTAAGAAACTTGAAAACCTCGTGTTGAAAAATTAGCATCCTTCCTACCAAAGCAGTTATGATCGTCTTTCGTTGATCACACTGGGCTGGAACAGTGGTAATGACCAGCGTTTTGAACGGCGCATTTCCATCATGTTGCTTTGCGATAGAGACACTTTCTACCGTTCATCCAAGGATTTAATTTTAGAATATACTTCATGCACATAACTGATAGGAAATAACTATTGTTTAGTTTTCCGCTTGAAAAAATGAGAAACCAGCCTAGACGCTCCAGTCCGTAATCTGAGGGTTCCATTTTTCAGTGTTAACCATTGATTTCTAACACTTTTGATGGTAGTGAAAAAAGTTGCTCATTTTTTCGTGGAGGCGATTATGTTTGGGCATTTCATTTTATTTAATAACTCCTACAAATGCCTTATTTCTGTACTACAAATGACACCCTGCAGTAAACCCAAGTGCATGTAATCTACTTGATGGAAAATGTCGATCCTCAACAATTTTCCATCAATAAATGTGTGCATTGAATACAGAATTAAAACGTCACATTTCTATGTGCACCTTAATTGCTGCTTAATTCATAACTAAGCTCATGGCATGTCTGTAAGTAATCTCCTTAAAAAACTTCGAGCAGTAAAGGAATATGGATTGTTTGATCAACGTAAGAGGTAACCATGGCAACCATCAAGCTCTAGGTCTATGAGGGAATTTTACTTCAACTTGTTCTCTGGAGCACCTATTTCTTTTAAGCTCTCATTATTCTATAAAACACTTGTCATCGTTTTAATTCTTAAATTACTTACTGAAGAAATCAAGGTTTGCATTACAGCAAACAGCATCATTGATCAGAAATCATCAGTTTTTAACTTAAAGAATAATTTAATTATTTAACAGAGGTTCACAAACTTTAAACTTCCTTCTTCACTGATTAACTTCCAACTTATTTTACTGATCATTTAATTTACATATTCTCACTGTTCCATCATGCCAATTTTCATCAAAAATTATTCTTGGCGCCAAACTCCTCTATCTATTAATATTCGTGTCCCACTAAAAGGAGCAAAAAAATCTAAGATTGATATTTTTATGCTTGATAATTTCATCAAGGTGAGCTAACTCCTTTATCTACCTTTCACTGTTATTTAATCTCTTGCTCATTTTCTTTTGCAAGATTTAGCAGTGTGTTCTGAAAAACATTGGTACCTTTTTTAACCTTAGTGAGCCCTTATCAGTCCTCATGAGTTTGATCATCAAACTGAAATTTGAATCTTCAACGGAACTCACAACTCATTGCATTAATTTCGTCCAATACTCTGTAGTAGTATCTGAGACTTCAAAAGATTCCCTGGGAAAGTGAAGTACAAGGGGAAATTTCAAATAACAATAATCCAATTGGAAACTTTGAAACATAATTCAACCATGAAGGCTGTTCACACCCTGTGGCGGGTTCCTAACTTCCAATATTAAAACTAGTGCCAACTATCCCAAAACTAGATTTTCACTTTAATTTCTGGAATGTTTTCAAGGTCAGTTATCCACCATTCCTCTTGGAATTATTTCTGGCTCACCCTGTTAAATATGAGGCGACTAAATGCACGGTTATTGACAATGAACTTATTTTTGAAATCTGCAAAGAAGAAGCAAAAGAATGGGATAGTCTGGAGATGAAGTTGACAAAGGAAGAGAAGTTAGAAATGAAGACAAAAATGATCGAGAAGTCTCAAACAGAGGCCATAAAAAGAGGGTCCCTAAAAACTCGTGAGTGTTCTTTTTTACCTACATCTACTTATTTACTACCAAATAGTAAAGGCTGCAATAAAGTGCAATAATTACATGGTAATTTATTGCCTTTGTATCCAAGCAGTGAGTATTTTGTGTATTGATTAATTTGAGGGGGCTGCTTCAATTGAACTTTATTGCGATAAAATTGAAACGATTTGCAAATTGCGTACCTATATCTCTCGCATGGAACTCATTTAATTGATCTTTTAAAATCGACACTAACCGACCAAATTATGAAATAAAAATGTAATTTTATGGTATGAAAAACTGCAACTTCATTGCATTAAATTACAAAATGATTTCAATATTTTCGTTGCACTGTACCACTTGGGTTTAAACTTGAAAGAATTTGCTCAAGACTACCTCTATACCTATTCCAGCAAATTTTACAGAAGTTCAAAAATGAGGTAAATAGATCAAGATCAGAGTTATCAATCTATGCCTGTTTTCTTTGCCAAATAGCATGAGAAAGATAGAATTGGAGAACAAAGGCAGTAGATGGACGCTGCAAAAATTGAAAAGAGTTTTCCTAAATACCGTTTTAAGTGGTTTGAAAGGCTGAAATTTTGAATCACCTATAAAACATCAACTTTTTTCTGTGTTTTTATGGTTGCAGATAATGCATAACTGACTATATTGCAGAGAGAGCAGCAAACTAAAAAAAATTTCTGATTCTTTTTTTTAGCAAGTCACACTTAGAGTCATGCTTATGATTTGGAAAACAATCCATGATTATTGCCAATCTTCAAATTTCCTTTTTTTCTTAAAGGAAGGAGTGGGAGGGGAAATATTCTATTGAGAATTGCCGGTGTAAAATTCTAATTTCTATTAACTAGATTGGTGATTAAATTTGAAAGTTCTAAAATTCTCCTAAAAAAATTGACCAAATATTTTTCAGAAAGAAAGTCTGAGAGAGAGAAATTTTCTATCAATGAACAAATTAAACTAGAGACTAAATACATGACAACAATTGACAAAGCTCGTCAGACAGAACGTGACAAAGCTATTGAGAACTTTAAACAATGGGAACAAGACTCAATTAAAGGTAATTAAATTTTTCCTTTTTTCGAATGAAAAACTCTTACAGGTTTATCAAAATAGACCACAGGACACGGTTCAAGAATTGGATTTTTATAAGACACACTTCCTCATCAAAATTTCATGCATAGGTAACGCATTGTAAACTATCATACCTAATCAATTTAAAAAAAAAAAAAAAAAAAAATTCAATGTAAATCAAATTAGCTATTAAAAACAAACGATACGTTACACAAATAACTGGAGATCAGTTTCACACGCATTTCCTTCCATCTCTGATCATGTTGGAAAAAAAAAATCGATTCACAGGATGAATCTTCCCACTGTAAACTATACCATAAGATTAATTTAAAGCTCAATTTGACTTAAGTAGATTTCGGTTTTTTGTTAGTGCGAAGTTTGAATCATGTACACAAAAAACTATTTCTTCACTCAAAAGTTGAATTTGGAAGGTTTTAGGAGGCCAGCAAAATGTTCTATGAAAAATTTCAACAAAATAACATATACTGTGGTGCTTGATTTCGTAATCTTGTCTAGAGGTCCACTGCCAAAAATATTCAGAATTAAAAGATGGGAAATTAGTGACTACATAGTTTCAAATTTCAAGTTTCAAGTAGTAATGATAATAGCCATAGTAGTTTAGAATAATTAGTTCCTTTTTTTCTTCCTCTTTTTAGAAGAAAATTAAACATTGTGTCATCCTTTGCTTAAGTTTTAAGCATATTCTTGTTACTTCTGTATTGGTTTCTGTTACCAAAAGAGTGAATTTTTCTTGAATGCGACAAGCGGCGTCTTCCTTTCCAAGTTCTCATCTAGAAGACTTACAAAATAATTTGGCTGTGCTGGATGATTTCAGATAAGCCGTTCAATCTAAAAATACATTAATGTGTGCTTGATTTAAAAAATAAAAAAATTCAACAATTTTTTTTGTGATCACAGTTGCAGTGAACAAAAATGATATTTTCTCGGATCAAGATTTGATGAAGGTGAACTCACATCGACAGAAAATTGAAAAAGCCAAAGGGAAAAAAGAGGAGGAAAACTTTGTACCTGTTGGAGATTCTAAATCATTAGATGGAGTTCAAGAAAAAAAAAGGAATCCTCCTGATCCTGAAATTCGCAGTATTGGTAGAATTGACGTCCAATTCACACCCCGTGAATTCCCGACACCATGTAGAGAATCCAAACTTCCAGAGGAGGAAGAGGTAAAGTTTTTAATTTTCCTCTCAAGCTATTTTGAATTTTTCTTGAGGAAATCTCATATATTTCCAGGGTAAGCATACATTATATTATGAGTGTGTATGTGTTGGGGTTTTTGTTTATAGGTCTCAAAAGAAAAAAAGTTACTTCGTCCAGATAATTTTTTGGCAGATCATTGAAATTTTCATTTTGTACACTCAATTAAGTCCTCTTTACTATCAGGAAAAGTAGATGCCAAATTATCAAAGACCTAACGTCAAAGCAATTATATCTGACAGCATGGGAAAGAAGAGAGGTCACCTGGGTGCTCTTTCTTTGTGAGTAAGTTCATAAAACTAAGCATAAGAATCTGCTCGCAGTTAGAGTCCCTTCTCAGCGCGAGGAAATTTTATTTACAGTGGCTCTATTGATTTTAGCCTTACTTATGTTCTAAGCTTGCATAACATTCATAAAACATCACATGATTTTTGTCTTTTAAATGAATGAAAGAAGAATTTTTTTGAATTTCTTAGTGGTTGCGAAAACAGGCAGAGGCAAGGAGAGCAGCAGGATTTGTGTCAGAAGACTTGCGACCTGAGGAATGTGATCCACAGTGGCTGAAAGAAAAGGGAGAGTGAGTACCATTCCCTCATTATCAATGAACTTGGAATTTATATCCATTCCAGGAGACAAGTCATAGCTTTTATTGAAGCAATACCTCCACACTTACTAACCCTGACAGATCGGTTTGGCATTCTACAAGTCAGGTTGATTACACCAACTGAGGGGAACCTAATCAGGGTTGCCACAGACAGGGAATACCGGGAAATGTCAGGGAATCTTAAAAAGTCAGGGGAAACCGGGAAATGTCAGCGAATTTCATTTTCTAAATTCTGTGGCAACCATTCCTAATACAGGTTCGAATCGACCAATGTACTTTCGGACTGACTCGTTAGATTAAAAAATTAGCTGTTAGTGAGACAATTTTGGGTCACGTATGAGAGGTCCAGTGCATGAAACCGTCAGTGATGTCTTTTAATAAATTGAGTTAATGTCATCTTTGGCATCCTAATGAGGTACTTACTTCATGATGAAAATACAAAGTTAAAGGCAAAAATATGGGTTATAAGAATCTTTGTCCAATGTTTTTGTGTCCAATTTTTTTTGGTCCATTATACATTTTTGTCCAGTAGTTAGTTTGGTCCAAAAGAAAATTTGTCCTACCTTTTTTAGTCCTCCTTATTACTTTGACCCATACATACTTATATGTCCAATGAGCAGATTTTATTTTTGTCCAATTGAATCAGTGAGAAAGGAAACACACAAACTCGAAAAATGAAAATAATCAAGACACACACAAAACTGCATATCAGGTGTAGAAGTTAATCTAAGAAAAATATTTTTGGCGCCTAAAAGCAAGTACTTAAGGAAAAGGGGTGTTACTGTTAGAAAAGGGGAAAATACTGAATAGGGGTGGTAATGTTAGAAAAGGGGAAAATACCTCTTATCTCAATAGTTGGGTTCAGGACGTTGGGGATTTGAATGCAGTTTTAAGTGGTAAGCAAGCGCTCTCAGATAGGTTTTGACTTCGCCCTCTCCTTTGTACTGCGCATACCGTTCAACTATGGCCTTCACTCTGTCCTGATTCGTGACGTAAGTTTTGTTGACCGGAGCCGAAATGTTGTGTCCTCCTCTTTTCTGGACTATATTTTGTTCAGTTTCCTCTTGGACGTCTCTGAGTTTTTCTATAAATTTCCAAACATTGGCGTGATACGTGCCCACGAGGCGATTAAACTTTGAATGGAAACCTTCGACAACGTTGTTTGTGCGGTGTCTGTTCTCTAAAACTAATGTGTAAGAATTCCATACACGTGGTGGGAAAAGTGGGGGCACTGCTCGTCGACGACCTCTTCCTCGCCTCCCTCGAACATAAGTGCGCTCGATGTACTCAGCAAACTCTAGGACATCTTCATGAATTTCTTCCACGAGCGAATCAAATGTTGCTACCAAATCTTCCTCAGGAATAAATGGTAATGCCATCAACTCCAATAAATGCTTCCTTATCTCTGAATTCTCGGTGTCAAGGTATGCGTTTCTCAACCCCCTGTTCACTATTTGTCGCCACAGAGATTGTCCGAAATGAAAAAGACATCCATTAATCTGGATTCCATCAAAAGCCCGTCTTAAAGCGTTCATATTGCCGATTTCAAAATCCGTAAGAGCATGTTGGAAGTGGAGGTGAACGTTAATAGATACTGCATAAATTTTAAGCTGTTGGTACAGAACGTTGTAAGTGTCTTCGGTTTTATTGGAACACAGCATGTAAACTAAAGGCAGGACAACGCCCATGAAAAGGCCGTGAAGAGTGTAGAGCTGCAAAAATTGGTTAGGGACCGACTTAAAAGTTCCATCAGAAAATATCGTATCGCTGTTTCCAAGTATTTTCACGTTGCTCTCTGTTGAAAAAATGATGATCCTTTCTGGACTACCCGCACCGTTGTCGAAAATAAGGAAGGGCTCGTCATTTTTAGTATGCGAGTAAGGGTGGTCAATTACGACATCGTTCAAAGACTGAGGGATCCGCGGTCTTCCTAAGTTCTGTTGTAGATTTACCACTCGCTTCAAAGCATTTTTCTGTGGCAAGCGCATGAGAATTTCCTCATTGCTGACATTCTGCAAATTTTGTCTGATGACTGTGCTGGGGGTTGCATTTGGTTGATTTTTTGCGGTTTCTTTGATACTCTGAACAATCTCTCGGACTTGGATCATGCTTGTATCTGGTGGATGTAGATGCTTGCTTGTGTCACATTTGAAAATGACCAGTTCGGCAACATTTTCAAGGCACCCAACGCTTGTTATGCATCTGGCATTGCACGCCGATCGTCGTTCGCATCTCCAATATTCTCTAGTTTTTCCTTTGTTGAACGAGTGGTGGTGGTATACATACCCCTCATTACTCAGGATTGATTTATTTTTTGTTGATTTCATTAGGATCGGAGCCATTTGGAGACAAATTGAACTTGGAATTTCGAAAAAAAAATAAAGAAAAAAATACGAAGAGTTACATAAGACTTGAAATTTTGAATTTATTGAATTTGTTTTAACCTTTATAGGTTAGACAAAGATAAAAAGGCCCTTCATTTATTCCTAATCACCATGGTAGCATATCCTCTTGTTAAAATTTAAGGTTAAATTCATATGTTGATATTTGCCTCACTCGTCACTAATTCATTCCTATTGTGCACTGTTCTTGATCAAAAAGAAAAACTTTGTAAAAAGGACAAAAAAAAAAAAGATTGGACCTACAACGCAGGGCCATTTTATGGATTGGACCGAAAAATGTAGGACCAAACTTATTGGACTAACTGGCACTGGACGAAATTTTTTGGACAAAAATTCGCTAGGACGAAAAAAATTGGACGAAAATTCCTGAAACCAAAATATGAGGATATGACTGCTGGAAAAACTAACGAAATGCAAGGCGTATATTTTCATGACATAAGGTACAACATTTCACCTTTGTCCTCGACTGTCTAGAAAGCACATGAAATTACACTGTCAGGCTCATACATTGGATTCTGCAAAAGAATAGAATTCCTAATAAAAGTATGTATTGAAATGAGATTTTCAGTTGCGATGATTGGTGAGAATTTAATTACTAATCTTGAACAAGCCATAAAGTCCTATTTATTTGAGTGAGTAATTCTTGATCAAAAATTATATTTTGGAAGAATGAATCAATTCCTCGGTTTATTGCTCTAAGTATTGATTACTTCTTCCTGACAAGATTTTGAATACCTTTTTTTTCCAACTACCTTTCTCAAACATGAAAATTCAAAATTTTATTTTCCAGCTCATTTTTCAAGCTTGGCAATTACCTAGGAGCTGTTAGTGCATATTCTCATGGGATCAAACTCAGTAATAAAATGGCAGCCTTATATTCCAACCGCTCTGCTGCACATTTGAAACTAGGTAATTTCCACAAGGCAGCGGAGGATGCATCTAAGGTAAGAGCTGGAAGAATAATTACTGAGATAAAATTACTTTACAACAATTCCACACAAAAAGGATATGGATATCTTGGGTAGGCTATCAATGCTGAAACTAAAGACATGTGTACCTCAGCTGACATTGTAGATTTATTTTCAGGTTATATTATTGATGGTGAATAACGAAACACAAAGTCTGATCTTTTGTCAAATTTAAATCCGTATCTACTCAAAAATATTTTCTGTAAATTGCCTTGTACTTAATGTCTTCGGTAATTTCATCCTGAAAAAATAAAATGTGGTCAAAAATATCGCAATAGAGAAATTGATCTTCCAGTTTTGCTTTGAAGATGAGGTATTTTCCCCCCAAGTTTCCCATTTTTAAACTAAGCTTTCATCTAAAATGAGAAGCCACTTCAATTTGCAAGTCTTCATATTTTTTCACACATTCACATTTCCATCTACATGAGAGTAAAATGGTTATTTTTTTTTTATCATTTCATGATGACTTGGACATTTTGCACGTCAATGAGGTGTATTCAACTATCAAAAAAATTATTTAGATTTTTAGCTAACAATTAAATTTCATTTCAGGCACTTGACTTACTCCAGCCAGCCGTGGAGATAAATCGAGAAGCACGAGCCCAAGTGCATGTGCGCCGAGGAATGGCTCTTTGCAAACTTGGTTCAATGAAATACGGTCTGATGGATTTTGAGGCTGCCCTTAGACTTGTGCCTACGGATGATAAACTGCGCCAGGATGTGGAAAATATTAAGCTTCAAATTCAAAGAAATTTTGAAAATGACGGTGAAATCACTGATATAGAAATTTAAGCAACAGTTCTGTTACAAAGATCTATTGCCCATCATTACACATAAGTTTTTTAAGTGATGTTGATCCTGGTCTCCGACTTTATTTTAATTTAAAATTCTTCTTGGGCACTCTATTGAAGTCCAGAGGTAGTGGAAAGTATCACTGTAGCCAAAACAATGCGTACTTATTGTTATATTGTATATAATTCAAAATCGAGTATAAAACAAATGCTCAAAAAAACTTAACAGTTAACCTGACAACAAAATTACACAGCTTAAAATCTAATACAAAACAAATTTAAGTAATAAAAATAAAAAAAAACAAGATAAAACAAATAAGATTGAAAGAAAATTCAACAATATTGAGCTGAGTTGAAATTAATATTAAAAGTGGAAAAATAAAAGACTGGAAGAATGCGAAGAAATGGAAGACTTCAGTGGTTTTGTGGAGGCGTTCTCACAGAAAGGGCACTTGGCACTAATTCAATTTGAAACATATTTGTGAGCTAAATCTATGAAATGGAAGTGCATCTTCCAAAAATTAAAAAATGCACTAGACAAATGATGAACTAACTTCAAAGAGTAACCCATAAGAGCCCATAAGAGGCCATAAGAGTAACCCATGACATAACTTCAAAGAGTACCCTTAGTATGAGTTAATCCAGAGCAAAAAAATTAACAGACATCAACAAATTGGATCCAAAGGATTCTGTCATGAATCAGGAATTATTTTAAACTTTCTTGCCATACAATTCACAAATAAATCGAAAAAAATGGATATTGAAAAAAATTGAAATAATTCTATAGGATTAGAGCAAAAAAAACAAAAAAAAAACAAAATTAAAGATACAAGCCATCACCTTAAAAATTTATTAAATTAATTATTGTCACTACTTTCAGAGACAGCTATAATATTGAGTTTTGTTCATTTTTGCTATTATTACATTTTATTTGAAGTCTCCTAAATATTATGTAATCATGGAAAAAATTTGCCGATTTGCTGATACTACTTGAGGAACTGCCATTATGACACTGCCATCCCTGGTTCAAGCACTTGAACGTTTCCTCAGGCTTAGATCCCCTTTCCCCTTGAGCCCTCAAAAAGCCCCCAATAAAAGTAATGGAATAATTATTGCAGCTTTTTACTTTTTGATATAATATAACTGGGAAGATTAACATACTTTTGGAGACTGAACACATACACAAATCTGATATTTGAATTTAAAAAAATTATGCTAAGTTGGATATTCTTTCATTTAGAGTCTACTTTGCATACCACCAGCAACGACAAAAGTTTCACCTGTGATGTACGAAGCATCATCAGAGCATAAAAATGCGACTATTCCACCCATCTCGTCAGGCTGAGCCAGCCTGCCCATGGGTATCATAGATACAGCTGTCTCGTGGGCTGACTCGGTTTCATAGAGGGCTTTGGAAAAATTAGTTTTAACTATACCTGGTGCTAGACAATTTACTCGTATGTTCTCTAGAGCAACATCTTGCGCCGCAGCTTTCGTCAATCCTAGAAGAGCAGTTTTGCTTACACTGTAGGCGCTTAACACCTGAAAATCAGAGGAGACATACTTTAGGAATGGATCAGCTTCTAATATTAGAATCATCTTAACTGGAGGCTTAACGAAAGACGATTCATTTGAAAATTTTTCTGCTAGAATTTTCAGCATCCTCCAAGGCTTTGACAGATGCACTCATTCTAATTCTGGCAAAAAACTATAAAAATTATCTCCACCGAGCTCTGCTAAATTTAAAGTCTAAAGTTAATGACCTCTTAAAAAATGTTGAAAGTTTTCCTCTTGGAGTTGTGAATTAAGACTACTCTGATTACCTCCCTGGTTACTGTCATTTCCTGTACCATTTAAGGTGATTCAATGGCTGAAGGATTTTGAGTCAGAGCAATATGCAATATATTGCAAAAATTAGCTTTGTGTTTTCAGCTGACTGTCATATACATCTAATTTTGAGGGTGGTTAGGGATAATAAGTTGTCACAAGACTAAACATTTACATGCTGAATTTGATTATTTGGCATGGTAAAGGCAGCCTTTTTTCAGAGGAAAAATATCTCATTCAATACTGGTACCAAAATTAAAGAAGAGTGCCATATTTTTCCTCTAAAAAATCCTGCCTTTATTAGGCTGAATTTGTTTATCGAATTGGGTACGTAAATTCTTTATTCTCATGAAAGCAGAAATAGGATCTCAAAATTCAATGAGAGTACCTAACAGTTAGCTGGAAACTTGGAGCTAATCCATGCAATACTTCATATGCCGTTCTAACTCATGATTTTCCGGCTATCAAATCACTTTAATGTGTGAAAAAGAGGGGAAAATTAAATACCATATTTTCAGTACATACCTTTCAGTATACAAAAAAGACATAATACTAGTTTTTTTTAAAATTTTTGATGTATGAAAGGATAGGAAAAAATGAAATACTGAATGTTCAGTGTTTTTAAAATACTTATTAAGGATTTTACATACCTTAAATGGGGAAAGACCACCAATGGATGATACATAGACGATAGATCCCCCTCCCCGTTTCCGTAGAAATGGAATCACTTCTTTTGTCAACAAAAATGCACTCTTGACATTGACATCAAATATTTTGTCCCATGCTTCTTCTGAACACTGAAACATCAATTTGCAGGGTTGATTAGTATAATTATTTTTTACAATGATTAAAGGTACGACCAGAGTGAGTAAGTAAGCAAGGTGAGAAGGTGTACGTTTCTGCTACAGACCTCCTAAAATCTACAAAATTCTCAGTTGCATTGGTACCGTTTTAGTCTTGGTGAGAAGTTTGAACAACAAATTTCGAATTGAATCAGCATTTGTTGTACAAATTTTCTTGCCAAGACTGAAAAAAAGCTAACAAACTAAGTGTTTTGTTGATTAAGAGTGTTTGAGTAGGAGAGGAGCATGCCTTTCTTTCACTTACCTTGGGACGCAACATTGTCCTCTTCAGGGCGTAAGCACTTAGTGCCGCGCAAGGCTGGAGAGGAAAATTTACCTATTCTGGCCTAGCTTTCAAAGTACAATCCAAAATCAAATTTTTTACCACTTTATTTTAAAATATTTTTATACAGATAAGTCTATTTTCCAAAAAATATCTGATTACTATTGAGGCAAATGACTGCACTCAAGCATTCACCCAAACCGAGTTTCATTTCAGCTTTAAGATCCATGCATGGTAAACTTTCATCGGTTCTCTTCTGCTACAATTGCTCATATTACTTACATCGGAGATTGTTCCAACGGTTGGGTTGACAGCAGCATTTGAAACTAAGATATCGATGCCCCCGAATTTGGTTAGAGCCTGAAACATAGGAAATGAACAAATTTAAATGTTTATCTGGTGCGATACCGGTTAAATAAACCAAAAATTTCGACACGGCAGTCGTGACCAGCAGTGTTTCAAGGAAACACTTTGAATCAGCCAGTCTGCAACGGTGACCAGGCCAAGACATCAGTGGAAGCTTTCGCCAATTATATTGACCACCATGGTAATTGACATGGTAACCAAAAGCCAGAAGTTAGCTTCATCTTGAATCAAATTTTGTCAGAAATAAATCTTTAACTGGTAAAGATACTGTTCACCTTACCAAGTGGCAGAGTAAGCAAAAATACTTTATTGAAATAAAGTTGCAATTCAATGCAAAAAAATGTAATTTTTTCAGTATGAAATTGCAATCTGTTATCATCATTTGGTCAATAAATGCCGATTTTGGGTCATCATTAAACTGAGTTCCAGATACCAGAAAGATTGGCAACTTGCAGAGCAAAGGAAAATTGCAACTAATTTTAATTTTAATAAATTTCAATGAGATGAGCAACTGGTAGACAAGCAACATACACAATGCTCCAATGCAATAGAAATAATTTTACAATGGAATTGCAATTTTTTGCAACCTGTGCTACTTTAGTTAGAGACATAAGTTAAAATTGGTGTGATTCACCCAAACATATAATGCTCTCCTTCCACCGAAGCGAAAGACATTCCAATCCAAGAACAGACATTTTAAAAAGGTATTGTATCGAGGTATTTTGTACCTTTGAAAGGTATTTATTCTCTTAGTAGGATTGATCTATCTGTAAGAAACAGTAATCCATATGGAATTTGATTTTATAAGATTTGGCGCAACCATCCTTTTGCTAAAAAAATTATTGAATTACATGGACGGTGCTTTTTTCGATGAATCCGATATGTATTTGCAAAGTTTACCTCTTGAAATAATCTATGACGATCCTCTGCCTTTGCAACATGGCAAACTACTCCTGAAACATCTGGAAGTCCAGAATTTTGTAGACTGGTGACAGCTTTTGCTACATTGGTTTCTTTGCGACTGCTGACGACCACTTTCGCACCTTCCACTGCTAACCTCTTTGCGATTGCAAAACCAATCCTATGTAGGGAAAATACAAAAAGAAAAAGATCTGATGAATTTTGTATTCATTACAATTTTAGTTAAAGATTGTGATTTACGTAGGATACAAAATTTGCTATGAGATACAGTTATGGCTATATTGATGGCCAGGCCACACTTTGGGCTTGAAATTAAGCACTACAAATTCTAATTAACAGCGAGCTAATTTTCCGAAACAATTTGAAGTTTCAGCACAGTGTTTGACAGCCTCTTACTCAAATATCCAGCTTCCTTCAGAGCTTGTGGAATGGGCTTATGTTCAGCTTTTTCTTCGTTGACACTCCAAGCTGTGGATATGTCCAAAAATCAGTGTAGACACTAAGACGAATATTGTCGTTACAATCCTCCGTCTGACGGCAAGTTACAACCCTTTAGCTACACATCAACATAATTTACAGAATTCTGCGGGTAAGTACTCTTTCATGGGCTGTCGATCGAGAAAATTCTTGTTGCGGGTGCAATAAGAAACCGCAGTTGATTTAGTAATGGAACCACAAATATTCTTACTGCCTAGTTGCTTCTCTAATAAGGCTGGAGAATAAATGCAAGTAGTGCAGCTTATTTAAATGGAGCATTAGGCATAAAATCGCACTTTACCAAAGGTTCTTTCTGATTACAGAAAGTCCTAACCTCAAAGTGAATATCAATTTCTGAGCAGCAAGGCTACGTAAAACTATTGTAAGAGCCAAATATGATTAAATTATGTCAAAGATGTGAAATTAAATAAACTTATATATACCCATCAGTTGAGGCGGTGACAACCGCGATTTTACCGCACAGTTTCTTCGCGATGTTCGCTGTCATGATTCTTCTGTCGCTGATAAGACACGAATGTAAACACGGAGCGCTGCTGTTATCAGTAGTTGACCCATCCGCCGCCACGTTCGTGAAGGTCGTTTCGCTACAGCCGACTTTGACACAGAGATTTAAATTAGAAAGGATTTTAAACAACATCACCTGCCGTCAAAGCATTCACAGAGCTAGACTTGCTTTTCATTCATTGATGAAAATCCAACTCGACTCATTTTCGTATCCAAAATATGACAGAAGAGTTGGGAAGAACACCCGAACCTCCCACGTGAGACCTCGAAATGAAACTTCCGCCTTACAAAATTCACGGATTGAGACCAACAGATAAACTCTGTGCCTGAGAAATCCTCGGAGTCCTTTGGATTGTGAAGGTCGCCCTCATTTTCCAGTTTTATTTTTACGATAGGGGGCTGGGGGCATGCAGCGGTGGCGTGGAACAAGAAAGGAATCACTTCTACTCCCCTCCTCTCAACGAGAACGCAGTGCCACCGTCTGGGGTCGGCTCACGGATTTCACGGTCGTTCACTCTCTTGAGGCTGTATGCACGACCTGACATTACGCTCCTTAACCGTAGACGATGAATGACATAAAAATATTGTTCTTGTGGCCAATTTTTTAATGTTTCGGCTGCAAAATCGCACTGGAAAAACACAAGTACCGGTGCGAGGGTGGAGCGACGGATGTAGGCGTCGAATTGCCAAAATGAAATAAGAGAAGGCATGATCAAATGTAGAAAAGCAAAAGCATGTAGCCCCGGTATCAGGGACCCAGTATCCCCCCTTGCGGTGGGCCTGCCTTCATGCACGCTGGGCTTGTCGATTTCCTCTGAAATTTTTGCTGTGGTAAATGGATAGCTGAAGTGCGCTTCAGCTAGAATTGTATTTACAAATGGGTGGTTTTTCTACGAGGATTAAAAATAAACAAGTGGCACGGGATATAACAAAAGAATATGAACTATGCAAAACGATAATCCGGGTATCGGAACTTGGCTGATTTGAAAACGCCTTCAAGTGCGGCGTGATACCTCTCGCATTCCGGAGAGTCCGGAGTTGTATCATTGCGCCTTAGAAATGCGACGGAAGATTGCATTTGAAATAGCCTTCATGCACGCTGGCCTTTTCGATTCCCGTTAACATTTTTGCAGTCATGAATGCGCTGAAGTGCGCTTCAGCTAGAATTGTATTTAGCAAATGGGTGGTTTTTATAGGAGGATTATAATTAAACAAGTGGTTAGAAATGGAAACAAAATAATATGAACTATGCAAAACGATTATTCCGATAACGGAACTTGGCTGTTTTGAAAACGCCTTCAAATGCGGCGTGATACCTCACGCATTCCGGAGAGTTCAAATAGTTGTATCATTGCGCCGTAAGAATGTGACGGAAGATTTAAATGGAGATAGCCTCCATGCACGCTGGGCCTGTCGATTTCTTGTGAAATTTTTGCAGTGGTGAATGCATAGCTGAAGTGCGCTCCAGCTAGAATTGTATTTAGCAAATGGGTGGGTTTCCTACGAGGATTAAAAATAAACGAGTGGTACGGAATATAACAAAAGAATATAAACTACGCAAAACGATAATCCGGGTATCGGAGCTTGGCTGTTTTGAAAACGCCTTCAAATGCAGCGTGATACCTCACGCATTCCGGAGAGTTCAAATAGTTGTATCATTGCGCCGTAAGAATGTCACGGAAGATTTAGAAGGAAATAGCCTTCATGCAGGCTCGCCACATCCCATCTCGGGCCCTGGTACCCGTTTTAAGGTCCGTGCCCCAAGCACGGAAGGGGGGGGATATCCGAGGGGCATTCCCCGAGAAATTTTAGAATTTATACGACTAATTGGACGCATTTTGAAGCTTCCATAAAGAATTTTTCCATCAATTTCTGCAAAATAATTATGTTTTTTTTTTTATACTTTCAGCACAAAATACTTACGAATTGTTGCATTCAAAACATCTGGAAAATTTTTATTTATTTTTTTTTGGGGGGGGGGGCGTATGATACTATTTTCAGTTCTATGAGGGCCAGGCCCCCCTGGACTCCCCCTTCGTTTCTCTATGGCAAGGGAGTTGAGCCATGAGCCATTGAAGTCGAGGATGCCCAGACTGGAGACCCTTAGCATCTGACGACGGAAGAAAATGAAACGCAGTTACTAAAAATATCCCTCTGTACTGAAAATCTTGAATATAGATAGAAATTTTCTAAGAAGTATACTTCTTTGAAAATTTAAGAAGAATTCTACCCCAGCGTGTTTCTGAAGATCTATTCACCTTTTGCGAAATTTTTAGGGTAAATTTTTCATTTTTTATTACGAAACAAGGGTTGCATGTGAATTCATAGTGGTTTTTAACGGGTAACACGGGCCCCCTCCGGGACCCGCGCCCCGGTACCAGGGACCCAGTATCCCCCCCTCTTGTGGCGGGCCTGATAAGAAAAGCCTTCATTGTGAAAAGATACTTCCTAGCGTGGCCTCAGAGAACGAATAGTTGCATTGTTTCATCGGTAGCGTTGAGTGTTAAATTCGGACTTTGAAAAAAAGTAAAAAAAATTAATAACATGTGTGAGTTGGGTGTGTAACCCTTCACGTTCTTTTCGAAGTAAAATTTCATGTGAAATTCACGTTGAAAAAAAATGTAGGGGAAAAAATTGGCACCAAAATTTTGTTAGATTCTAAAAATCACTCACTTACATGGATTTTCAACAGCCAATGCAACTGGGGAGAATTAATGTCAAGTTAGAGGTTAGTAAGAACGATTGAGATAAATCCAACTCTGGTCTGTTTTCCCTGGATCCATTTTATTCAATAAAATTTTTTTCGCCAGGACTAATTTTGACGCTCTACATATTTCTTTTCGTTGAAACAAATGCACTTTTGGATACCTTTCACAACATTATTTCTGTTGGAACCAAACTTCTCTGAAAAATTCTAAGTTTAAATTGTGTTGACATCGAGTAAAATAGGATTCTCAAACATTTTAGCATGGTTACAGGGATTTGTACAGGGATAACAGTGGTGACAATTATTCGCATTTCTTTCTTTGACTCTCAACTCAGAGGATCCCAAGGATTGATTTTCATTTAAAGATTGAATTCAAATTATTAATTTTTATGATTCAGTTAGAAAAATTCCCATGTGCTGGTTAGTGAAGTATAAAAACATCTGTACATGGATCTTGTGAATATTATAACAATACTTAGAGTGAAAAAGTTTAAAAAAAGAAGAAAAAAATTAGCTGCAAAAATTTCCCAGTATATATAGTTCAATTGCTTAAGACTTGGATGAGCCAATAAAAAATCAGCGAACTTTTTCTTACTTCTTATTCATTACAAAAGTGAACCTAGAGGAATACGTTATCTTGTTTGAAATCTTTCCACTACCTTTTAATTTTATCAAAGAAGAACAAACCGATGCTATTGCTTAACATTTTCTCCACACAGCAAAGAAAAATAGGGAAAGTTTTCAAGAGATGACATTGAGTATTTTTCCATTTAAAAAATGAAGTAAGTATGATAGGCAGTGTGCGGCATCAGGAACTGAGATAGGCCTTCCTGTAGTTTCACCTTCGATTATTGTTTTCTTCCACTTGCTTCTTAGCCTTTTCACTTTAAGGTGTATGATGAGACAGTTACTTAATTTTTTGTTTTCATTTCAGTCTTCAATTCATTCCACCTAAGAGTGCTACGTGACAGATTAGTAATTGTAAGGTTTAAACAGAGGCTTATAATGGACAGAGAAAAAATTACAAGTAAAATAACTATAATAATTAGTTTATTTCCATGGTAGAAAAAGGAGACTGCAATGCTTGCATGAACTATAGACGATGGTTTGTTAGTTGTTAACAATATATTAAAAATATATATATAAAATTCAAATTATTAAAAATGCTAACACCGATATAACATATAACTCTGACATTTTCAATAACGTATAAATCTATAATTAGTCAACACAAACCTGTGTAAAATCTATAATCCTGACTGTATGGTTCACTGAGGTTTACTGTTTACTGTAGCTCAACGACTGGCACCGCTGCTTCAGCCTTGCCCCTTGAAAAATGTAGTTTGAACGCCTGATTTGGATTTGGATTTCTGCATCTTTCAAGGCAACGGACACAGAGTGCAGTTTTTGTCTTGTTTAAATCATCGTTATCGTTTAAGAGGTCAGTTGACTGAAAATAAATTCATTCTCGTCAAAATACATTGCCTCTTCTACCTGACAAACCCTCCACCAAAGTGTAATTACTTTTTATTTTTAATGTTTACTTTACTATCCAGTATTTAGTATTTAGTAACAAATTATAGATAACCAGTACAGAATATAGAATACGACTGTAAGATAGCGATATCAACGTGACGTGCACTTATCCATTATTTCTATGTTCCAAAACTTTTGAAAATACACGCACAGAGTCAGACAGAAAAATATGAAAACACATGCAAATAATCCAAAAGAAATTTCAATTCAAATCACTCCTGAGTAGACATCGATTCCTTTTTCTTGTAGCAAACAGAGTAAGTTTTAGATAAATACACAAAAATTACGGATAGATAAATGATAAACATGACTACATATAATTTTTTTTTTTTTTTCAATTTTTTAAGGGACTTTTTTCTTCTCAGACTAACTAAACTAGAGGTAAAAAAGCAAAATGAAATGGATGAAAAGTTGGCACACAGTCACGTTGAAAGCCAGTAAAATGGGTACCGGTGATGCATAAATATATCAGTGTTACATACATAAACATTTATCATACATATGTAGACAAATATATTTCAGCAGAATATACAAACTTCATCTGTAATGGGCAGAGACAGAGGAGAAAAAGAGAGAGAAAAGAGAAATTATAGACATACATAATATAGATATAAAACATATGATAATACATCAAATGAAACATGAAGCTCCATTTTGAACTTTTCAAAATCCGTCATCATTTGATTATGCGGAGGTGGACACCTACATTTTTTTTTGTGAGTTTCCTTTTTCAGAGAAAACAAGTCAGCCTGGAGCTACTGTGTTCTGGATCATTTAAAAAAATCCTCATACATTGTGTAAGAAAATAAAAAGCAATGTAACAGCAGATGAAATTCTGAAATAGAGTATGTAACAGTCGGCAATGAAAAAGTAAAATGGTGCTGCTGATATCAGCCTTCCTCTCTTTGACTGAATTGCAAGACAAGGATGAAATTGTACAAAAATTGAAGAGATGCTGATGTTATTTTAAGAATTTCTCAATTTAGTGATATCCAGGCCAAAATTTACTCCAAAGGTTGCTCACGATCAGGTGGATCGGATTTTTATGATCAAATGGGAGGAATTTTGAAAAATACTTCTGAGAATGGATAATACAGTGAATAAACAGACAAAAATTTTACAGGTTCAGGACTGAACTTAAAATGGTTCAGCGAAATGAAATAGCAAGAAGAAGTGTGCAAGACATGTTAATAGAATCTGTCCTTGTACATTCATGCTCCTCCGGGCAAAAACAAAATCATGAAAGTCTGAACAGAGAGTGAAAATGGGTGGACTCTGGTGTTGCTCTTTCCGGCTAAATCAACTAAAAGTGTTTGCACGAGAGACAGTTTTTGTCACATGAATAACAAACCTAAGTTTCAAATAAAACCTGTTTAAAAAATATTTACAAAACGCAAGAATAGCTTTGCAGAGCAGATCAGCTGTCTATCTTGTCGGGGTGATTCACACCATAAAGAATTCATTTACTATGAATGAAATTTGACTTCAGATGAACTGAAACTAATCCTGATTGCACAGTTATTTCTGGCGCGGCTCAAATTAAAAGTCTGCCAAAGGAATGCAGAGGCAGGATTGCAAATGAAAGTGATTGTAGAGAAAGTTTTCATTGTTTTTTCTTTCTACCAAAATATATCAGTTCAATTTACAGTTGATACTTATTGTGCCTAACTAAAGCAGAAAATGAGGAAAGAAATTGGCTAAAAATGATGCATTAGAGACTGACCAAAATATTTTCTCATTTTATGACAGTCATACTTCTAATTCTTACATTCCAGACTGCATTGGCAGGTTGATCATGGAAACCAAACTAGAAAGATTAACTTCTCCCGATAATTAGCAACAAATGAATTAGGAGTACAAATTTAAATTTAGACAGAACTTAGTATTGATAAAATAGTTTAGTGCGGATTCAATCTTTCGTATATTTTGACTGTACAATTGTTTTTGAACCTTTCCCTGGACTTAAGAAAAATTAATTTTACAGTTTTACACACTTAAGACATTGAAATGGAATTTAAGATGAAAAGTAAAGCCAAGAAATCAGTATACACACAGGAATAGATATAACATAAAGAAAGCGAAGTGAAAAATAGACAAACAAGGTGTCCAGTGGAAGGTTCAAAAATGTTTCACATCAGTCCCTTGACTGTTATCAATACGTAAGCGAATCTGAGAAATTATGCATGTGAATCAAATATTAATTGTCAGACTGTGTCGTGAGTGAGCAAGAATGATCTGAGAAAGTTTATCGAAACTGAAAATCCATGATCAGGAGACAAACATAAGACTTCAATGTTCATACAAATTTGACAGAAAATTGGATGTTTCCACCAAACAGCCGATGAAAACAGGGAACCAGCAACCTATTGACTGAGAAATGTCCAGTTTTCGTTATCGTTTTGCATTAACTTGTCAAACTGAGGGGATAGACATGTTTTTCAGAATAAAGGTTATTGTGACAAAGCAGTCTGTTGATGCTTCCTGCATGCAATTTTTTCTTTTCACTATCAGGCTCAACCCAGCACAACTTAGGTTAAGTATAGACAACTAGACCACGTGCTGTAATTTTTGGAGCAAAACAATCAAATCCACTATGGATTTCCAAACTTGCAGTTCAACATCACAGAAACATTATGAAATATTGAACTTCGGAAGGGAAAGCCAAGTGCTTGAAAGAATTGCATCATTACAGATAGAACTTATTATATAAACTTGAGAAGGGAATTGATAAATAGAAGCAGTTTTTTTTTATTTTTCATTTTTTTTATTTTTATTTTTATTTTTAGTCTTTTTTACAGTATGCAATTTTCTACGTTAACTTGTAAGTACCAAGATGGGCAAGATTTCATTTAAAAAAAACTCAGTTGATGTTTGATAAAATGGGTGCTGATTATCTTAAAAGCAGTGCAAAATGAATCAAACTTAGGATGAGAAACTTACGTATAAAATTCGAAAGTTTGTGGTGAACAAACTGATTTATTTAAAACATCATACTTTTGGGCATTGATCATGCATTTGAAAAGGCTGTATTTGCAATCGTAAGACTTTATTTTCCCTATGAAACTGGAATCAATCGGGCTGTGATTGAAGTATATACACGTACGATTTTCGAGTTACAATAATAAAGATAGTATAACGTTTTAATACTCCCTGAGAGACACTTGTACGTTGCACAACTTCAATAAAACAAACTTATTCAAAAGGAGACAAAAATATTTAGGAAAGTAAAAGCACATATTTCATGAGATTTACCGTACAAATGAATCTTAAATGTAGATTACTTTAAAATAAGCTCACATTCTCAAAAAAAAGTAATGGACCCATCGTAACTGATGGTAGGTCTCGCATGAGTTAGAGTGGAAGGGATTTGGGACATATAACAAGTTTCCTCTCAGCAACGATATTGCTAAGTTTCGAAATGTTAAATGTTGGGAAACGCACTAAGCATTCAAATGACCTGATCCAGATTGGTACTGGGTCTTTGTTTCAATATTTTGTCATGGTGCTATTGATTTCGACTTCATGAAACTTTGAGATATTCCACTAAAAAGTGAGTGTTATGCAAAGAGAGGAATTGCTGATGCTGAAGAGGATGAACTAGCAAGTGTAATTTTCAATTGAAACTATTTAACTACTAACAATGGTTAAAAATTTTATAGAGAAGAGAGGGGAATGGGGAAAGTCAAAGGAAAGAAAAATTGTGGAGAACGTAACAAGAAAATATGAACCCGTAAGTATTGTTACAAAAAAGTAATGGCAGACTTGAAAGCAACCAAACTACCTGTGTAAAGAAAAAATGAATAAATATGAATAAATAAATAAAAAAACAAATTGTGATAATGTAACAATAAAGAGTGCATCAGTATCTTCCAGCTTGGCAAAAAAATACCTTCGATAAGCTATGTCTCGTAATAGCAAAATCTTTGCTTTCAAGTTTTCTCAGCTTTCAGGTTCTGAGGTAATGGAAGAGGTCTTATCTGCTATGAGGACTGATCAAAAAAAATTCACATTCTAGATCTACAATCACTGCTTTGGGATGCACATCCATTGACTAACTCAAAACTCATACAAAGTTTTAAACTTCAAATATTTAAAAATTCCGCCCGAGTGGTGAAAGGAGCTAAGACTACTAAATGTTGAGCTTGACAGCTACCTCTCGGTAGCATGAACACATTACGGACAGGTTTGGGGTAGAAAAAGCCTGACAAGCTCAATAACTAGCAATCTCTACTATTATTTCTATATTGCTGAATCAAACATCGAAAACTAGGAAGGAATCGCAGCTTAGCAGTACTTTTAATATTAAGAATTCATAGAGCACTGGAGCTGTGGCAAAATGTGAAGTTCTACCAGAGCTAGTTAAAAAGTACTTGCAGAAGCAGTTCCATTCATTGGCAGAATCAACTGATTACCAGTTCTGCTTCTACAAATAATTTTTGTGAGAAACATTCCAGTCTCTAATGCTGTATGAATTCTTAAATGGCTTTGGGGAGGTTTGCATGTGTGTAAAATTAGCCGCAAATTAACAGATTTCAAAAAGATGTCAAAAACTAATATTCTCAACAAGTTTCTCACACTAAAATGAGACCTTTAGTCACAAATAGTAAAATCAGCGAGGAGATTTGTAAATAGATAAGCCTCCTAAAACAGAGAGTAACGCTAGAATAATTCCTCGATTAACGTTTAGAATGAGACTTTGAAGAGGTTCAAGACGAATTTAAAATGATCGAAGCTGTCCTCACAGCAGAAGGAGAGTGAGAAAAACTGTGGTTACGCAACTAAATAACAAAAAAGTTAAAACCTAATAAAACTGTAAAAATAGTTAACAAAATCTAGTCTATGGAGCAATAACTAATGTACAGAAATTCATGTCAATACTAATATAAATGCGCTATATAGGCAACGGTTGCAAGGCCTGAAGCTGTCGAAAAAGAGAAGAAAAATTATTGAAATTACGAAACATTTTTCACAAGGCACCAAAATGGAGAAAAATAAATTGGGAGGGCTGCAAAGATACTGACCACAATATAAACTGTAACAAAAACACTGAGTTGAAAATGTATATGAAGCTACTGCTGGGGCTATCATGAAAAATGGCAAACAAAGGATATCACCAGATTTTAAGATAGCTGCACAGAGTTGAGGTTACAAAACTAATCAAGGCTTATTATAATGCACTGAATATGGTACTATTGTAGGCAAAAGAAGGTTATCAGTTGCGAATGAACAGAAATATAAAAAAAAGGTACTAAGAGAGAGGAAAAGGGACCACCACTTGCTTGACAAAAAAGTCATGTAGGAAACAGAGTTACGCCAGAGGGGAAGTATGACCATAGACCAAAAGAGTGAGATTGATTATTGAAACATCGGCTTTGACTGGATCTTCTTCCGTGTATTTAGGATGCAATATTGGGATAAAGAAGGTTCTTCAAATAACTTTTGATCTCGCTTGATTCTCTCAGAGATGGATCTGTTAATTGTATTTAAAAAAAGAAAAAATTAAAATAAAACCGCAAACTACCTGTGACGCGGTGTAAATTTTTTAAAAGCAGAAATTGATTTTGGACAGATATTTGGGAGCACCAACTAGCTTTACCAAGATTAGAAATGGTGTACCTAAATGCAATTTTGGGGTTATGAACTGTTGATTTGTTTGATACTACACAATTCCCAGAGAGGCATTAAGGCTAAAAGCTAGCGCACCTTAATTGAGATAGGGGATAATCTAAACGAAGGTTGATCAAAAAGGAAATTGGTTATACAAAAAAGAGGGAAGGAAAAGGCTGAAAAGTCTCTCAAGTAAGGAAGATAAATAGTATTCGGAAGAATGTGGCATTTAAAAGACCATGAAATTTACCAAAGCTTTTTCTGAAAAACAAATACTCCTTTGAGGAATAGTGCCAACACTTGTCAGGAGGTCAAGAGACACCTTCCGCTCCACTATTTCTGGTAAAATTATCTATTGCTAAAACAGCAGACCGGGAGGTATTTCAAGGACTTGTTCGTTTAATTTTCATCAAACTTGTTCTGGCCTCAACTGATGTCATTAGTTGACAAATTGTAGCGTCGCATTTTTTGCAAATACCCATTGCACATTCATGAGACTCAGATTTTTAAGCATTAAGGGCAACAATGACCAAAAAGATCGTGGAGTAACTTGAAATCTCCAAAAGATAATGCATAAAACCCTCGACAGAGATAAAGCTAGCTTTCAAATGGATTCTATCAAAAATCTTCCTTACTTTTGAGACAGCTAACATAATTTCAGTCTTCAGTACCTCCTTTTGATTTAAAATGAAGTTAATAAGGCTATTTTACTTTCGATGGCTTCTGTATTGACTCTCCAATTTCCATGTAGCGTAAAATGCTACACGCCATAGTAAATAATTTAAAATTTTAAAAAATTAAATAAATAAATAAAAAAAGAGGAAAACAAATTTTCTAACTTTTAAAAATAATTTGTCATCATTTAAATAAAAATCTTCTAACAAAGATTATTAAATTACTTAACAACATTATCAAAAATAAACGTGTTTCCACTTTTAAAATCCCCTCGTTTTTCTCTTGTATTTTTTTCAAATATATATCAATCATATATATATATTTTCATTTCATAAATTTTTTTACTTTTTTTTTTATTTTTTCCATTTTTTAAAAACAATTATTTACCCTAAGTCACAAATTGGGGTGCCGCAAGTAGAAGGGCGAAAGTGTTCGTTTCTGAGTGATAAAACCTAACAACAAAAATTAGAAAATGCTACACTTTCACCTGCCTACCGGTGGGTGAGCCCCTTTGTACTATAATAGAGTCACATAGTTTTCCGCCCCAGATGAGAGTTGGTGTTGATCGCCGATGCATCTTTGGTGTGGCGGTCTCGTAGTTGGTGCGGCGGTGTGGCAATTTGGTGGTGTTTACTAAGGTAGCTGGCGTTACTGAGAAGCTTCCGGTGGCCCTCGATGACGTGGCATGCGCCCCACTGGACCCCCAGGCCCTGGCTGGACCATTGAACGGATTTTCCTTTGAGCAGACTAAAAAAAATAAACAAAAAAATACGCCTTTGAAATATTTGGCACATACAAACAAAACAACATACAACGCAAGGAAAGATGGAGTCAAAACAGAAAATCTGTTCTTGAAACAGTTCTGAAACCATAAACTGAACCACAATGAAAACTCAGAGCACATGAAGAATGAAAAAAAATTGACAGTCAAAATAATTAAATACTCAAGATTTGTTATTATTTGTTGAGGAGAAAACCTTTGACAAAAGATGAATTTAGGAGGTCTCTGTCTCCGTCCACAGAGCTGTGTGCACAGGACACCATCTAACTGACGGTTGGTTTTCAGCATGGCAAGTGATAAAAAATTTTGAATGTATTATTCAGATTTGAAAATTTCAGAAAAATGAAAAATAAATGACAGGTATTAGGATGAGAGAATAGGACTAAAACTTGTTTGTAATGGATTGCTAGACCATGAAATGAATCTTGAAGTTCCGAGTTGAGTTTTCTTCTTTATATGATTCAAACATCTCGACTCATTTGCAATTGGAAGCGACTTAACATATTCTGCTGGCTGTATTTTGTGGCAGCCAACTTCTGCGTCTAAACTACAGACTTATGGAACTCAATATGTATTACATTTAATAAAGCTTCAATGAACTCAAAAAGTCAGGATTAAAATTTGTAAATGGTAGCTAACCCATCCTGCATATAATGCTTTTAATGAAGAACAGAAAAAAATGAAAATATTCGAAATTTTTCAAGTCTTTCCTGTTGATAAAAAAAAAAAAAAAAAAAAACTGTGCAAAGCCCCATCCGGGCCTTTATTTGTCAAAACTAAGTGATAGAACAGGTTAATTAATACCTTCACCACATACAATTCACTAGAAATTGGAGGGGGGGGGGAAGAGAAACGGAACGACTTCCAAATGAATCAATTTTATGAATTTCAAGAAAAAACGAGTTTAGTTTATGAAAATTTGATAAAATTGTAGCTACAGCTTCAAGCTAAAGTGAACTTAAAAGATTTGCTCTAACAAAAAGAAATTAAGTATACCTGAACTGAGAAGAAGGGACCAATAATATGGACGGTGGTGTCTTCTTCGTGGGAAGAGCCTTGCTCAGGAAGCTTAATAATAGATCCAGTCAAACGCTGTAGTTCTCTAACATTTTGACCACCTTTGCCTATGATTCGGCCAACCTGACTGCTCGGCACAAGGATTTCCACGGTGAGTCTTACTTCGTCTGTTCCCATCACAAAACCTTCTTCTCGCATCTTTTCAAATATCAGGTACTGAGCCTAAAAATAAGAAAACTTCGTTAGTACAGTGATAAAAAGGAACAACAAGATAGAAAAAATGACACTTGCTCATCAGCAACAAACTGCTCCTTCGAACTTGAAGGCGTTTATAGAGAAAGGAAATGGAAAAATAATTGAGTAATCCTAAATGCCCATGATAGGTGGGCACTAGGTAAGCTATGAGTGAAGCAATAATTTTCAAGAATACTCATAAAAATACTATTCAGAGGAGCGTTTGGCATGATGAAAGGAGATTTTTCAATTTTAATGTAGCAGATTCATGTTCAAATTACAGACCGGTAAATGTTCAACACACCATAGCCAGGTTAATTTGATCATGTGTTTAAGATTTCTTTTCTTCCTGAAGCTTCTTAAATGCAGCTTCAGAATCGGGCATAAATTTTATAAAATAGAAGATGGATGTAAAAGCAAATAAAATAAATAAATAAATAAATAAATAAATAAATAAAATATATTTTTAAAAGACAACTTTTTCTATCATTCTTGACAATATTTCTGGTTTTTTTATTTCCTTCAGATCTTGGACAATCTTGTAAGTTTATCTATTTTTGATGGCTTTTTGAATTTTCTGTAACACATGGCCTGCCACAGTGCTTTGGGACTGTGCCATCCTACAGAAGAGTTATTAACTAGCATAGTTTGCGGATAAATTTTAAACTTTAGCTTCGCTGCAATTCTTGCCCTTTCTGAGTAATGCATCGGCTCAGTAACTACTTATTTCCTGTGAGATTATGGAAATACATAAAAACACCTTCAGAAATTTGAATGCTGCAAACTGACAAATTCTCCACGAAAAAGGGCTGTCGGCCATTTGATAGCAATGCTAGTCCACTTACAAGCGCCACCTTGCCTGGCTGATACGGAGAAATTGGCTGAGCGAGCTCTAGTGATATTTACAGGTCGTTTGGTGCCAGCAGAGCACATTAAAGCCGGTGGAATTGACCGGCGTAGCAGGCAACGTTTTATTACTTCAATCATTACTGGATCTGCCTCGGCCTACTAAAGAAATTACAACATATAGACTATCTTATCTTACCTTCCATTGGGATTCTGGTGAGCCAACAATTGTGACTTTTCGTTCACTAGATAAAGGATCTGCTTTTTCTTCTAGAGGAGCAATTTTGACACTGGCACCACTGAATCGAATCATGTTACGGATGTGAGAGCCTTTGGTCCCGATAATAGCGCCAACTGCATTGTTGGGAATATATAAGTAAGTCGTTTCCTGTAAATCACAGTCAAAACCCTATATCACAATTAGAAACATCTTCTTTAGGTTCAAACATTTTGTAATATAATCAAAGTTATACATCAGTAAGGGTTATATTCACTAATCACATCCTTCTTTTCGTAAAGAAGAAAGAAAGAAAGATATAGAACTATTTTGAAAACATTTAGCCCTTTATAAATTTGAAATAGGTAACATCTATTATGTATACTATATTCTTGGTCTTCCGTCCAAATTATTAAAGAATTAAAAGCATTGAAAAACAATGTCCCAAAACATTCTTGAATTTTTTACACCCTCTGTCTATGTAACTTGCTTGACTACACATCCTGCCATATACATACGTCTTGCTTATCACTTTGTGCATCATTGCTTTGTTACAGTAAGTAATTACCACATGTAAAGGAAAGAACTATCTAATTCAATGTATAATTTAAATCTGGTGCAACAAATTTGAATTTTTAAGATTTTACCATGCGATTAGCTACAATATGCAGCCCTGATGATTTGAGGGTCGAAAGGTTGGAGTTCTTTAATAGGGGGCAATGGCAGTTCTGTATTGCAGAGCACCAGGGAATACTATGAAGCGGCATGTTTATGTGTATACTTTCTTCAAGTAAAAGGTATACTAATTGAGATTCAAATTAAATATCTACCTGAGCATCACCGCCTGAAGCGAGGGATGGTGGTGGTCCAGGTTGGTACATCGGAGGATATGGGGCTGGTGGTGCGCCTGCATACAGGCCAGGTGGCTGATAGCCAGGGGCTCCTCTAGGAGTGTAACTCATACCGGAGGTTGCCATCATTGCAACAGGGTGTAAACCAGGGAACATCATACTTTGTGGCTGCAACAGACAATTGCAAAGAAATTAATTTGTTGTAAAATTAAAAACGCAAGATAATAAAGAAGCAGAGGTTTGATGATTCATTTGAAGCAACCATCTTGAGTTTCACATGGTTCAATCTATTTACTTGTTAATTTATTTTGGCTAAGACCAAGAAAAAATCAGCGACTCTCGATTCTTGAGGTTAAAAATCGTTATGTTAAGGTTCATTGAAGAAACAAGAAATTTCTTTAGTAATGATGCTTTTAAATTGATAATTCATGCTATTAAAATCACAAAAATCTTTTAATGACCAAAAATAAGTAAAATTTGAAGTTATTTTATGCTCAACCATACAATAATACAAATATACAGAAATAGTGATAAATTAACATGAGAAAAAGTTTTGGTTTGGCTACACTACTCATGAAAATATTAATGAAACTGAGATTTATCAAGAAAACATCCAAATATCATAAATATTAATGCTATGTCTACAGATTGTCGCTTCAAGTAAATGGGTTCCCAACGAACATGTTCTGCCTGTATTGAAAGACTACGAAGTACCATCATCATCAACCTAACTCGAGGTCAGATAGAATCAAATTCCACTCAAGATGCAAAAAATCTAAGATCCCCCCCCCCCCCCCCNGGGGGGGCAGCAGTTAACTCTTCTTCTAAATCGGATCCCATTTTGAGGTAAGGTTTAGAACAAAGGAACATGAGACTACCATTTTGGGAATTGGTTCGGAAAAATGAATGTAAAATAGAGACAAATAGCAGAATGAATAACTTACAGCCATAGCTTGAAGATCATTTTCATAACTTTGCCTTAGCTTGGCGCTAATTTGTGATTCTGCTGCAGACATATTGTCGATTGACCCCTTGACCGTGATAATTCGCTCCAGATTGAAACTGTTGATGTCATTAATGCTGAAATAAAAATAAAATAGTGAAAGATCAAAAATCGTTTTCTTCGTTAATTTCTTAACTGTTTAATGGTCCTTGCTGATCTATAAAAGCAATTTACAATTGAATATACTTCAAGAAAAAAGGAACTGGAAGTACAACAAAATACCGAGCAATTCGGTTGTGGCTAATTTTTATATTATTTGATATGATGTTCAATCAGCCCAATGAGCTTTTAAAATCTCTTTACTCTTTGCAATCTTTCAGAAAAAGTTTGGCCGAGTAAAAAAGGAGTTCATTCTGAGAAATTCATTCCAGAAAGAAGTTATTTCAAGTCTAGAAGCTTTTGCTGTGAGCTTTGGCCATACCTCTAATTGTTAGAAGTAAATAAATATATGAACTTCCACAGCTTTTTTTTCTTTGGTGTGTAAATATTCATGATCCTAAGCCATTCAATGTCTTGAAGCAATAGATTCAGCCATGATTTTAAGCCATTCAAATTCTTGTTGCAATAGGTTTAACTATGATCCTAAGTCACGTTTTCCCCCACAGCAGCTTGCCGGACCATTTGCCATTCACATGAAATTTACTTCATTGATTGGCACATAGCCATACTATTTCTCTTGGCTGAGAGGAGGAGGTGGTGCTGCTGACATCAAAAGATACAATTTAACTGAAAAAGCTCTGCGAAATTTCTATCAAGGTAGCAATTGAATCAATCATACTCAAAATGACTTAAGCACCAAAAGTGGGATTGAGAGAAAAACAGTAGTAACAGTTTAAATGACCCGTTCTGAATCTCAGAGCGTTCAAATACTGCAGCAATGAATGAATCACATTTTTAACTATCTTAAGGTTTTGAAATGAGTTGATTGATACGTTTCTACCGATTTTTTTGTATTTTCATTTCTGGGGCTTCTGTCTTTTCGAGAATGACAGATTCAACTAGTGGTGCATAGTGGTGCATACAACACCAACAATTCTTTCAATTTATCAGCAATAGATTTTTTGTGATTTGGAGAAATAGAAAGCATAGAAAAGGAGATTTTAGTACCTGGAGACTGTAATTTTTGTGTCCGTATCTTGCATTATTCTTTTTATTGTATTTCCACCTTTCCCAATGATGCGACCAATCAGATTGTTGTGAGCAAGAATTTTTAATGTAATTTCACTGCAACAGGAGAGAGAAATATTTGTTAGACATACAAAAAGATTAGATACTTTGACATGAGCACAATCAGAGAGATCAAAATATTCAATGTAGCAAAAAATCCATGCAATTCTATCGATAAACGAACAAACCGCGAATTTTCTACCATTTTTCCGCCACCATTTTGAAGGGATTCGGCATTTCTATAATCCAACTTGGGATTCATTTTCCTCAAGTTGAAAAACCTCAGAGTGCTAAGGTAAATGCACTTTCATAGATTAGCAGCCTTCAAATTTGCTTCCTGCTCTTAGTCGCAATTTTTAGACGGGTTGAATATTTTGGAAAAATAATAATAGAATCGTTTACTTGTCCCAAAAAATTGTCGACTGTGAGTTTCATGCTTGTCTGTCAATAAACAATAGAGACGTCAAACTTCCACTTTGAGCGTTGAGCAAACTTCCAAACTGAGCAGAACCAATATCCCTTGCAAATTTTTCCCCCTTTTCACGTCTATATTTTATTCTCTTTTCACGGCCTTTCCGTGCAACATTTTAGGGATGCACACAAGAGCATTTCATCAAGCATTTCCAGCATATCTGAGCATAACCCCAATCCACAGTTGGAATCCCCCCCGGGTCAAACTGTTTCACTTCAAGAAAATTTGATCTTCTTCAATACTCAAGCACAAAATAAAATACTAAATAAAAAAACTAGGCCCTGCCCTTGGCTCAATCTAGATGTTCGAAACTATTAGATCAATTTTCTTTCATGTTCCTATTGAATGGAAGCTTACAAGTTAAAACTGTGCTAGTTTCTCTCACTTCACCCATTTTTTTAATAATTTAGAGCTTTTAAGTCTAAAGTTGCATAGTTCTATAATTTTTTGCGAGAGATATAATGAAACCTCTTGTCCTTTATTATAACTGACAGTCCCTAATGAACCTTCTCTACAAGACTTACAATAGGAGAGGGGGTATTATCCTATCTGAAAATGTTTCTACTTTCTTCATCATTCTTTTGCCTCTTAAAATTGTAGTGATTACCAATTGCCAAATTAGCACTAGAGGATGGACACACAGGGGCGTAAGGTGGTCTCAAGTAATGAGTTTCCATGCTAAAATATAAACTTCTTTTCAAATGAGTTGCTTGCTTGGAAACTGAGGGTGAGCTTAAGTAATTTTTTGCCGATTTCATTAACATGATTCGTGCACCCTTAGAGGGAAAAAACTAAGCACTTCTAAGCGCCCTTTGAGGGCATATCTGAGCACATTTTCCGAAAATTTTCCGGTTTAAAAGAACATTTACAGCAGCTTCCTAGGAGCAAACTAGATTCACTTTTCTGACGAAATGCAAGTGTACCTAACCATAGCACCATAGCATGTTACCATTGATCTGAAGTAAAATTTTAGCTTACCAAACAAGTAGTCAACCAATTCTCTACCTAAATTTACTCGACATAATAATGAGTAGTATTCCGCTTTGATGCATTCTTTCGATTTTAATAAATGTTACAATAAATAAAATAAATTTTTTTAAAACAAATTAGCTCTTAACCTTACTTTTGGTTATATGAGGGAACTGAAGGTAAACTGATAGAATTAATCCAGTATCTGCATGCTAACTAATAAGTTGGAATTATCTGCATTAGATGCTTCAACTCGATTACAAGTGGAAAAATTCTTGATAAAGGAGTTGATTTCCTAATCGGCTTTCAGAATGATGCAAAGAGTTTTGATAGGTGACACACTGATAGATTTTTTATATTGATTTGACGTGAGATAGCTCTGCTTAAAGTTGTACACAATCACACAATGTTACATGTATAGGGAGTGTCAGAACACTCGAAAAACTGAATTGAGAAAAAAATTCAAGCAAAATAGGGGAAAATTGACTCATATTATACGCGGGGAGGTTGAAAAAAGGATCAAAGAGAAATGAGCATTTTTCTGAGCTCTCTCCTGAAAACTAAGCACTTCTAAGGCCTTAGAAACGAAGTCTCAAAACTAAGCAATTCTTAGCTCTTTTCTAAGCTTGCACAAAAATATCCCTTGACAGGGATTAATCAGTAAACTCACACCCTTCAAATTAGCGAAAAAAGTGGGATTTTAGCGATCTGAAGGGAGCATAAATATTATTCCTTCTATCATAACTGATACTTACCCTTTGCTGGTGGAGTTTGCTTCTTGCTGCATAACTTCTAAAATTTTTTTACAAGCATTTGTACAATTTTCTGGGTTTCCGTAAATTGAAATAGCTTTTTCTAATGATCCAACATTGTCCTTCCGATGAACATCAACTCTACAACAGTAAACGAAAATAAAAAAATAAAAAATCCTCAGATCTAAATAAGTTGTAAAGGGAACTGGTTTCCGATTTGTTAGTATGCAAAACATTCCTAAAATCTAATTACACACTTTAGACTGTTAGTTGAATTCAAGAAGCAAGCAATCTTTTGCAAAATCACAGATGCTGTTCCTTTAAAAAAAACAAAATGACTGATCTGAAATAAAAAAATTTCGACGATAAGCCGTCAACTGAGTCATGCAACCTAATCAAAGTTTAAGTTGGGAAAGTCGATGAGGTATAAAACCCAATCTGTCGTACAAAGATCAAGCCATGTTTGGCATCTTACTCGAAGCTACAGTTTTGATTGATGAAACACTTTCTCTCAAATCTTCCGACACAAACATCAGGAGTTCCGCAATTTGACAGATGCATTTGAGATGCTAGGTGCACCAAACTAGCACTGCTACCCACGGCTGCCAAGTAAGTTTATCTTTGTCCAAGCTACCCGCAAAGTAACCCAAAAAACCCATTTATATCTATAAAGGCAAAGGTTTTAATCAAAAGGCTTCAGCAGAGTACATGCTCTGATTAATGTTAGTAATATATATTGTTTATAATACTACTTCATTTAGAAGCGTTAATGAGGGCTCACTAAAACTGAAAGGAAACTCATTTCCGTTACTTTAATTTTTGTTAGTGTGATTGGAACATTGGAAAAATGAGTATTAGTGAGAGTGACACAGAAAAAATATCCACTAAAATCCACTAAAAACACAAATTGGTAGTTAGAAGATAATACAAATCGGAGACAAATTAATTGAGTTTGCAGGTGCTTCCTCAGAAAGCTTCACCAAAAAGGGGGGAAAAAAGGACTTTTACCCTTGGATAAGCCATGAAATCACCATAAACAGAGAGGAATACAAAATAATAGGAGATAGTTCTGAGATTAAGGGGTTTAACATTCGAAGTATGTACATAATTTTCAAAATTCGGATAACTGACTTAAAGTGAAAGGATAGTGTTCTATCCATGTTTAAGAGAACAGTGAACATTTTGATTGCCACTGAATGTGTTTTAAAAAAAAGGATGAGCACAATTCAGAGAAAATTTGGAGAACCAGATATCAAGAAGAGAGGAAAATTAGTGGAGGGATTCAGCATGTCATAATAGAAATCAGAACACTCACAGACGTTATAGAATGAAAAGAGTAAAGGGTCATCTTGGACATACCAAAATCAGTAGGAGACATATAATTGACTAAGAAGAGAGTTTTCACAGATCCTGTATTGCTATCATGTAGGTTCTGCAAATTAAAACTTCTTAGCTGTATTAATCTTCAAGTTTTCTTTCAGTAATGATTTTCTGTTCTACAGGGTGTCCAACAGTTAAGGCACCATACTTCGGGAATCAATTTTTGGTGTGAAGATGAGACTTTTTATTTCAAAAAAAACTTTCTCTGAAAACGCTTCCTTCCACCTTGGAGGCCTTCAAGGTTGTGAATTTTTTCTTGATATTTGTCCATAACTGTTTTTCAAAGCGTCAAATGCTAGGGAAAACTTAGTTTCAAGAGTAATTTACAGTGTACTTTCCTTCTTAGTGTTTTCAAAGGTTTCCACGTTCACAGAAAGGCGGTAGGCAAGAAATCCACACCTAAAAAATTACTCTCATTTTATCTAACAGAGATCTTGCCACCGCCTTCCACTTCCTATTGGACTGTAAACGTTTAAAACCACCAAAACATGAGAATCATGCTAATAATAACTCTAAAAACTCGAATTCTACAAACATCTGACACTAAACACACGAGTTGCAGCCAAATTTTGGGGGAACATCCTAGCTTTGATGGGCGGTACCACAAACAGAGAGCATTATCAGTGAAACTTCCATAAGCAAAAGTCTTAATTTGACTTAAAAAACCAAAGACTAAAGAATGGTAAATTAACTTCCAGACACCCTGCATAGTATTCCAATGTCCTCAAGACTTAATAAGGGAAATTTTTTCAGTCATCATGTCATTTAAATTTTGATTTTCCCCGCATAACACTAAAAATCAACTGTGAATCATGACAAAACTTGTCATGATAATGAGGAGCATTGAGTTTGTAAAAAGACTACCGTAGTGTGCCAGAAAATAATCTGAAAAACCAATTGACTGAGAAAAGCTGACATGGAAATAATATTGGCAGGCAAGGGCAATCACTAACCTGCTTCTCTTTAACTTACAACCGACTCAATCAACTGGTGCTTACACTGGTTCAAAACTCAAAATCTAAACTTTTTGGAGAGGGTTTCCACTAGTTACTTTGGGGTTCATTTTCATGCGCATTAGGTAATATACTGTCCGATAACATTGTATAAGCATATATGTCGATTTCTTGATGAATAGTACCTACACTCCTACAGTTACCGAAACTTCACGATGAATCTTTTTTCATCATTTTTGCCGTAATCTTTTGCTTGCCTAATAATGACCAAAAAGATATTTCATACAGCCGTTGCAGTGTAAAGTACAGATAACTGAGTTATTAGATTAGTGATCGGGCAAAAAACCAATATGTGCATAGAACTTTTAACTTTCATTGCAAGGCTGATATTTTTTTGTTATTTTGTTCTTTAAAATGCCTTCACAATTGAGGCGCTGGCGCAAAGAAGGCACTTCTCCAGTGCGGTGCTTAAGAATATTCACTACTTGTCATTCACTGTAAGGAAAGCGAATTAGCATTGCATTGCACAGAAATTTTCACTGAATATTCTCCATGAGTCTGCAATGTTCGATAGAAAAATTTCAAAAAAAATCATTCTACAGCTTCTCTCTGACATAAATTAGTGACATAGATTATGATAGCTATGATAGCTCAGAAGTGCCCTCCTCACATCTGGCGCCTCAATTGAAGTAATAAAAATAAGTACATAAGTAAAACTGATAATATTCTTTTTCTGAGACGGAGACTTGACTCATTCATCCACCACATTCTTAATTACCAAAAAAAAAAAAACTGTGCTCATACAAATCCATTACAGTCTTACATTTAATGAAAATAAACAATTTAAAAAATGATGAAGCATGCTAAGCAAGAGCGATTAGAGCAAAATCAAACTTTAATTACCTGGCCCTGGTTTGTTGAGTGATTGTTCTAATTGTAGAACCCTGTCTTCCAATAATAGCACCAACCATGTCTGACTGAACAAGAACACGGAGAGGAAAGTCTGTTTGGCGGCCTGGCTGGCCGGGAGCATTTGAGAATCCACCCGACTGGAAGCGTGACCCTCTGGTCCGGCTCCTTCGGTCCATGGCTAAGTCTGCTTTTAAAATGTTGCCATCAATTTCGTAACCGTTTACTTCACTTACAGCCCTGAAACACACAAGTTAAGTTACCTTTAGTTCATGAACTGAGATCTAGGACTAAAAAAAAGATGCGCCATGGTGTCTACAATTCTTGACCATGCTCAATATCAGATTTTTCCCTGATTTTCAAGAGCTCATTTCCTAATGAGAAACCGTAAATTTTCCCCTCTCCCAGAGTTTTCTGGGGAGGAAAATTAAATTTTCCGGAGTTTCAGACATGAATACCGATTTTTTCCCCATCTTCCAGCTGATTCTTTGGCGCACATCTACATTTTTACCTCCAAAAGCTCTCCTGATGTTTACATTATCTGGTCAATGAAAGCTTCTATATTAGTGTGATGATTTGATGACTCAAAAAGGTCATTCAAGACGTCAAAAATGACGGTTTAGGTGCAATGACATAAAACTTAAAGACAATAGATACAAAAAATTCCCGCAAAAGTTGAAAAATAAATAGTCTCTAAGCTGTAGAAGAAAATTCTCGGTTTCAGGAACGGATCCCTGATTTTTCCGTGGAATTGTTCACTCACTGATAATCCCGGTTTTTCCCGGCCCTGGACACCATGGATAAAAAGCTCCGAATATTTTCGTGGTTTTTCGCCTTTTCCGCGTCGCTGCATCCAGCACTTCTAATTGTAATTTCAATTTTTCTCAATTTTTTTCAATTTTTATTTCTCCTTCTCTCTTTTTTTTTTTTTTTTTTTTTTTTTTTTTTTTTTTTTTTTTTTTTTTTTGCATGTGGAAGCGTCCACCCATGAGTACCACTAAATCGTTAAAAAGTGATAATAGATATATGTAAAAAAAATAAATAAAAAAAACCCCGGAGTCTGTGTTTTTGTTTTTCAAACATTCATTTATCAATTCCTCTTCTGAAGAAAAAAAGGGGGAAAGAAGCAGAAAACAACTCCAATTTAAAGGCTCTGAAAACTTGAGGAACTGAAGTAACGAATCTAGGTAAATATACTTTTTTCAGCATCTCGCGAAGCACTTGAAATAAGGAAAGTAAAAATAATTCGAGACTCACTGTTGAGCTTGTTCGGGTGTTTCAAAACTGACTTGAAACGCTTTGGCAGCTCCATCCCTTGACGAATTCAACTTTTCGAAATTTACGATTGTACCGTGCGAGCTGAGAAGGGCCTCGATGTCCTCGTTTCTGGTCTGATTTGCAATATTACTAACTATAACTTTAGAACTTGAACTGAAATAAAAATAAAATTAAAAAAGAAAATTAGTCGACGAGGAAAAATGGGCAGGATAAAAACGAAAAAGAAAATAAGAGATGGAAGCTGCCAATTACGATGCGAAAGGCTAAGTGACTTCGAACGCTATATTTTGTGACAGTGGATCTAAGAAGTGACTTCTGGAAATTTTCCCATATTCTGAATATAATAAGAAGATAGCCGAGTTCCTGTCAAATCCCGATCAGCGGGTCTTCAGTAGCGGGGGGCGGGGGGAGGGGGCATCAATGCAAAAGGTCTACGTTCCGAAGTTATCGTCATCTCCGCGAGTGATCGACTGAAAAAGTATTGTGATACGTGAATTTTTTTTCCTTCTCACTCATAGCGAGCTTTCGAGTGGAATCGCTCAATGAGCTGCTCCCACTACAACCGCGACTCCCGCGGCCAAACTGAGGTCACAGACTGCTTCATTCATTAAGATTTGAACCGACGACTTCCGTCGAGTCACACGGCATCTTTGCTGCCGGATCGTCATCGAAAATTCCCATTTTTTTCGGATTGATATGCAACTTTCGTATACCACAGGAATGGAGCTCTTGCATGCGTCAGAGATTTGCGATTTAAGTAATTTTTCTCCTGAAAAAGTTCGCGAGAGACAGGACGGTGAGTGTGTGCCACTGGTTTTCTCTGAAACCAACGCCCAAGCTCTAAAAAGCTCCTGCTGAAGTTAACTCCTAGGTAGGAGCCATTGGTTTTCTTTGAGACGAACTCCCGCTCAAAAAAAGCTCTCAAAGTTGCGGTCTAATAAAGGAAATTCTCCACCGTACGCTGAGAGACCACAGGACAGCTCGCAAATATAATGACAGGGCTGCCACTTTGTTCAGGGCCTTCAAAGATGGAATCACGGCAACCTTCCTAATGTCATTGCTCCCTATTCTATGCAGGGCGAGTTTGACTAGATACAGAGGTGGACTCGCAGGGTAGCGAGGGGGATCCCTTCCCCTGCGACCTCAACTTAGAGAGCTTTTCTTGAGCTTGGGAGTTCGTTTCAAAGAAAACCAGTGACACCATCGTGTTTCTCGTGAAATTTTAAGCGAGAGTACGTATGCGTACGAATTGCAAATCCTTCGACATGTAAGAGCTCATTCCCGAACTTTTGGCATTTTTCGGGGGGCAAATTTCTCGCCTTTTCCGAGTTTCTAAGTCGCTTTTTTCTTCCGACGTTTCAGGTTTTCCAGACCGTTGGAAACGTTGACGCGAATTCAGCCTCATACATACAGCTGAAATATTTTGGAAAGAATGGTAAATTCTATGATGATTCTACTTGAAGTAGAAACAGTACCCAGCAGTATCATGGCGTAAATCAAGTGCCTTGATTATTGACACAATGATACTGTACGGTAAAGATAACCAGACAGCTGGTAGCGTTTACTATACTTTCAATACGACGCAGTATTCGCAATCATGGGGTGTGTTCGTGATTACCATTCTCATATCGCTGAACCCTAATGCCCTTTTTCCGTGTTGGTTTTCTCGTACATTTTTCGTTTAAATGCACCCCCTTAAAACCTATTAACTGCACTGGAAAAAAAAAAAAAATCGCTTAAATCTAGAGTCCAGGCTCTGAATAACATTGACGAGAAAAAATACTCTTGATTCAATCCAATTTTTCCTTGAATCAAAGAGCCGAGCCTCTTGATTTAGGCGGATTTCCTTTGGATTCAAGAAAGAGGCCGATTGAATGAAGAGTATTTTCTCTTGTTTATGTTTTTAAGAGTCTGGACTCCAGATCCAAGCGACTTTTTTCCAGGGTGACGAAAACATTGAAATTCGCGATTTGGTTCAAGTTTCCAGGTCCTACCTCTCCCACGGGCTGGTTCCACTGTGCGACGGGTCTCTCTGCGGCCGCGGTCAAGAAGTTGGCGAAGATTTTTGGGGGTACTTTTTACAGGCGAGGTGACTACTCCTTCAGAGAGCGCGCGGATCTCTCCCTGCGAATTTATCCCCTTTCTGCCCTTTCTCCGCGTAAGGTGCGAGGGAGAGACAAACTGTAGGAAAGAAAGAGCGGGACAAGAGAAAGAGAACCCCCCCCCCCCCCACCGTCGAGCAGATTACACGGTCGGAAGAAAGACAATAGCGCGGCAAATAGCCCCCATTGTTTCCGAAATTCGAATGTTGGACCTGAGCTGGGGTGGAGGTAAAAGAATGCTATTGAGCGATTGCGTAAGGAGTGACCTGGGGACTTGAGCCCGCGATTCTTGGAAATAAACGATTATATTTTCAGTGAGCCTCGAGGCTTGTGCGGTTCGCTCGCTAAAGGACTCATGCGTAAAATGACTTACTCTATTTCAGTCATAAAGAGCAGTTTATTTTAACGATTAGCCGAATGGACTGAAGCGTCCTTCCAGCGACCATGCGATAGTGCTTAAAGAGGTGTTCCAATTTGGTTTCTGATACGGGAAATTTGAGAAAAATCCCTTTAAAGATGAGAAAATGTGTCGCCATGTGACGTCGCATGGCGGCATTTCGCATCGTATAAATCCACGATTTTGAGAAGGATGGAAGTTCGATATTTTATAAATCGTTTTTATTGAACTTTGAACTCCTTTCATGTGCGCACGTCTATTGTGTAAAAAAATGGCGATGTGAAACCTTGTGAGGGGGGAAAAAAAAGAAACTACAGCCCTTATCCGTTCTCCAGCTTCCATTAGGTTGACAGTTTTACAGGGGCGTGAGTGCACGTCCAATTTTGATCAGAGTGGAGGGACACCATTCATCATTTCTTGCCATACGAAACATATCTGAAAGATTTCCTTCATTTGAAAATTAGGCGAAGCAACGATTTTCAGACTGATGACTCCCGACACTTTGACGGTAATTGGTTCGAGAATTTGATCATGTATCGAGGATTTACCTTCGGTAAATTCACGAAAAACCCAACACGTTGTTCACCATCCACCTCGTAGGTAAGTTGAATGTTGGAGTCCCGAAAGTAAAAGCTTCCACCATTGCCGAGATGGCATGGAGGGCCTCTTGTCTCTGGTCTCTGTGTCGCGACTTTCCTCGCGGGATTTCCTTCGGCAAAGGCGCGTCGCGTCGCGTCGGCGTGAGGTGGGATGGGCGGGGCGGCGTCGTGCAACGGGAACGGGGGAACGCTTTAATCGTTTAATAGCGTTTCACTTCCACTTCCACTTGTCCACTATAAATAGTATGCCGGTAGTGTGAGCACCCAGACGGCCACGGCCGGTGGGCGAAAATGAGCTTCTAATTGNGGGGGGGGGGGGGGGGGGGGGGGGGGGGGGGGGGGGGGGGGGGGGGGGGGGGGGGGGGCGTTCTGCGCTGCCGAGGTGTCTTCCACACGCGTGGCCGTTTTCACCCACACCTCAAAACTTTGAGACTCCTCGATGGACCGCGACGGTGCTTACTCAGTAACATTTTACGCAAACCAAGTATGACACGTGCCAATGACCCAAAATCAGGCTGCAATGGTGTTTACGATCACATCAGAGTCGGAAAATTCAAGCTTCCGACTCCGAGGTGACTTTTCTTCGAATTTAAAATTTCCGGACTTTTCGATTTTCTTTGATATTTACGAGACAGCTCGCGCGCGAAATCTCTTGAAATTGAAGAAAAATGCATCGTTTTTCGGGCGGAGGAAAACATTTCAGGGTTCCACACCTGAACTACCTGAATTTCCAAGAGCTTTTCACCCTGATCTAGGTTTGCTGTAAATGATCGATTCGATAGGTGGGGCAGCCCGTCCAGACGGATATCGACTGTTTAACGTACGATTCAATGCGCTATCTGCAGTCGACGGTGCATTCGAGCATCGATCCGTCGTGGTCAGTGTAAATGGGAGTATAAATAGTGAGCCTGACTGGTGCGGTCCGTGTTGCCTTTCCGCACGAAAATTGACATTTTATAATGATGAAAATTGATTGGTTGTGGGGCGGCTCGACGGACGACACCACTGTGTGCAGTGATGCTGGTCACGAGTCTGATCTCGTCGCTTCGCTGACGTAAGGACGTATCTCGATTTCCACGCAATAGTCCCGGAAAGCATGGAGTTATATGAACAACAGGGATCACGTAGAAATCGAGTTACGCTCTAACGCTAGAGGAGCTACGATCCGTGGACTGGGCATGGGCTGTCTGGCCTGCCCCGGGTCCGGAATCTCGTGTCCGAGGCCCCAAGCTAATGTCCAAGTCATAAAGGGTTGCCGCTCTCACGTCAAATCAAAAATTTCACATCCGCCACACTGGAAAAAAAAAGCACATTGGATCTAGAGTCCAGACTCTTAAAAACATCGGCAAGAAAAAATACTCTTGATTCAATCAGATTTAAGCTTAAATCAAGAACCAAGCCTCTTAATTTGAGCGGATTTCCTTTTGATTTAAGCTTAAATCTGATTGAATCAAGAGTCCTTTTTCTTGTCAATGTTTTTAAGAGTCGGGACTCTAAATCCAATGTGTTTTTTTTTCCAGTGCATATCCGACCGAATCCTGACCATAATCCGATTGTCCGATAATTTTACAAAATTGGTCGGATACAAACAGAGACCGCGCGGAGCTATTTTCCCTGGAGTGTAAAACTTACTTCCGGTGGAGAACACTCAGATCCGCCTGATCATGATTCGTGAACGTGGAAGGGAGCAAATGGTTTAGCAAATCCTTTCCTAATTTGTGAAAACTCGTTTGGCAAAGTGATCACTCCGACATTCATCAGTTATCATTTGGATGCTCAACGAGTTTCTCACCGATCATTATCCGGCGAAAGATTACGTTGAGAAACAGCTCTTGGATGTAAGAATCCGTGCTTTATGGACGCCCGTGTTGCATATGCAAATAATTGAAGGCGCACTGGCTGACGAAGTTAGCACTGACTCCCGAACTTAACTTTAGCTTCATCCGGTTACATTGCTCAGATTGATAGGAGAGGATCTTTAAGATATCGACGGTGAAACTACCAGACCACGTACCTCGTTCGGGTATTTAGAAATCTCCGCTCCTATTTAATATT